AATAAGGTTTCTCTCCTGTATGGCTCCTCAAATGATGCTTAAGATTAGAAGCGGCTGAAAAGCATTTCTCACACTCCGAACAAAAATATATTTTTAACATTCTCTCCACTTTGAACGAAATGACGTTTGGGAAGAGATTAACATAATTAAACACAGGCAGTAAAAATACAGTTTTTAGCCATACCCTGTAACTTTAAAACTACACATCCATCTTCATAATTACATATTTGGAATCAGCACACTTAAAACATAAACATAACCAAAAATCAGCCAAATCCATCCAGGGGTTAAAAAGTTAGCTGGAGGTCCCTTTATAACCGACCGCAAGCACATTTTCCTGCCCAAAACAGTTCCATAGATTTGGGCTGTGAGGTCGGTCTATTTCAGGCTGAAAAAACGACTAAGTCCCATCGCGAATGGGACTTAGTCTCTGCAGCTGAAATAAGGCTGAAAAAAACGGCTGAAAAAACGACTAAGTCCCATGGCGAATGGGACTTAGTCTCTGCAGCTGAAATAAGGCTGAAAAAAACGGCTGAAAAAACGACTAAGTCCCATGGCGAATGGGACTTAGTCTCTGCAGCTGAAATAAGGCTGAAAAAAAGACTAAGTCCCATCGCCGAATGGGACTTAGTCTCTGCAGCTGAAATAAGGCTGAAAAAAGCGGCTGAAAAAAAGACTAAGTCCCATCGCCGAATGGGACTTAGTCTCTGCAGCTGAAATAATTTCCCATTTACTGAACCAAGTGGGAAATAGCAAGGCAGGCACAAAGGGTTTGCACCAGGTCTGGGGACACAGGGGACACCGTCTTAAAGGGGCCGTGTCCCCAACAAGTCTGGGGACACGGCCTTAAAGGGGCAGTGTCCCAATCTTCCTGATGTCCCAAAAAAGGTGTTTAAAGGGCCAGCACCAGTCACATAAAGAGTCCATAAGCCCCAATATGCCCACCGACAGTCTTAAAGGGCCATACACACCAAATAAAAGTGCATACATTTTCACAATCTCCCAGGGGCCATAGTCATGCGGGAGGAGGCTGGCAAAGTAGGCTTCTCCACAACCCAGGGAAACAGGGCAATTTGCCATTTAAAGGGCCCGTTACAAATAGCAGTTTGTAACAAGGTGTCAATCCATATCTGCCAAGTGACCCGATGTAGGGGACCAGTCCCTATTCTGCTCTGTGTCAGTGTGTATCAGGGATCCTTAGGACAGGTGTCAATCCATATCTGCCAAGTGACCCTATGTAGGGGGACCAGTCTCTATTCTGCTCTGTGTCCGTGTGCATCAGGGGCTCTGAGGACAGGTGTCAATCCATATGTCAAGGTGTCAATATGTCATATGTCAGGTGTCAATCCATATTGATTGTGATTTAGGAATGTTAGGTGATTTCTGCCCTTTATGGATTAAAACCAGACTCTGTATCAACTGTGTAATTTTCCATGGGAGTTTTGCCATGGATCCCCCTCCGGCATGCCACAGTCCAGGTGTTAGTCCCCTTGAAACAACTTTTCCATCCCTATTGTGGCCAGAAAGAGTCCCTGTGTGTTTTAAAATTCGCCTCCCCATTGAAGTCAATGGCGTTTCGGGCGGTTCGCCGGTTCGCGAACATTTGCGGAAGTTCGCGTTCGCCGTTCGCGAACCGAAAATTTCGGGTTCGCGACATCACTACAGTTCATTAGTCACTTCCTGAAATCATCCAATAAGAGAATCTACCATATTATATAAGCAGATTTTTAATTTGTCTAAAAGATATCTATCTTAATTTAGAGCAAATCAATACACCTGGATAAAAACAGCGGTATGCTAACACGTGATAATATCACATCAATATATAATTATTCTTAATTCCACCTGCAGAATGGAATGTTTATAACTATATATTCTTAGTTAACTAAGATTTCTTAATATGGAAATCTGACCTGCTTTATCCAGTCATATATAATGCTATTAATACATTTTAATTAATTTAATTTATTTAAATGAAACCAGTATAATTACCAGTTAAGTAGATATTTCATCCGATTGGTAGTCTCAGGAACTTATTTGGATGTCTCTCTCTGCATGGAGGTTGGAGTCCCCAAACTTCCAATTCCTCTCTCCTCTTTTTCTTTGCATATCTCTTGGATCTCCCTCTCTGTCTTCCCTTTGTCTTAACTTTTAAAGGGCCAGACTCTCTGTACGTCATCAGTTGATAACCCAATAGAAGCACTAGAGGTGTGGTTATCTTCCAGATCGCAAATTAGTTATTTGGTCTATAGAGGGCAGTCTTGTCCCACTAAACATACCTATGCAGGAAAGAGTTAACTTTTCCTGGTGGCTATTTTGACGTCATTTTGCTTATCTCAAATGACCACTATAACTTACGTATCCTTCACAGATCAAAGGGTTCTTTAAGTTTTGTCCAGACTATGCGTCTGCAATTCCTGCCATAATTTCTGATATGACAGATCATGAACTAAGTTTACCCTTTTCCATACAATGGTACCTTATATATATATATATATATAGACAGTAAAATTAAATTATTTAATCTTCTCTGTCACAATCGTCTGGGTTTAGATTTGATTATAATCTTCTTATCACTTGTTTATACTATGCATTCCTTAGCTCTGGCAAAGAGGCCAGTCTTACAGAAAGAAATCTTGTGTCTTTTTTTTTTTTTTGTTAACTTGGAATAACAAAATGGAGTCTGGTCTGTTCAGAGTGACTCAGAATATACACTTTTAGTTTCTATCATAGCACAAAATGTCTGCCGATATAAATACCCTGACATAACCCCCCTTTAGTGCATTTCATAGCCAAAATTAATTTAGCTTATGAATAAGCACTATAGAAGTTATCAGACATATTGTGCAATCACATCATTTCTAACATAGGCCCGTGCGTGGAATGAACATTTTTGTATATATTTGTACCTGTAAAAGTTTTGAACTTTACACTTAGTACAATCAACCATAATATCATTATTACATAGTACATTATTTTCATTTGAAAAATGTTTTTGGGAGTTACATATGGTATGGTCAATAAAAAGCAAATCTCCATACGTTCCGGATCAATTAAGAGAGGTATAGCGCTCCCCATCTCAAAGGCCAGATTTAATTGCATAGGCTCAATTGTCTCTCCATCCACATTGGCAAGCATCGCATGAACAATATCCTTGGATACAAAATACAGAGGTATGCGTCCCCCTGCCAATTCGATCATTCCAGTTTGCACTTCGTCGAAGAAAAGCAAGTGTGTGGAACAATATTGGGTCATGCAGAAATAGAAGTTCACGCTTAAATAAGTCATGACTTTGGTGCAACTCAGTGGATTTGGCAATTAACTCCGAATGCAAATTTGTTGTAACAACTGTGTCTTCCACAATAGTTAACACGTCTTGGAGAAGTGTTCTTTGCTGGTTTATCACCTGATGAATATCGTTAATGTGTTGCTTTAGCGCATAGATTTCCATATCCAGCTTTTGGACAGTAATAGAGTTGGCTGCAGACATTCCAGTTGCGACAACTGCACCGACAGTGGCACAAACTAATGCAACAATTATAGCGGTGAGGAACCTTTTGGGTCGGTTGCTCATCGGAATAGAACTGGATACAAATGGTTTCCGGGCTTGCTCCAAGATGTTTCGCACACGGTCCTGTGCTCTTTGGAGGTGCATCTGGTACCAAGTCTGTAACTCAGGAAGCTGCATCGATGAAATGTTGTATGCCTTCTCGATGGAAATCTTGGGGTCCAAGCTGACGAACACACGTCGGGTCAGGATCCTCTTCTCTGTTAAGATGAACCCTGGTGTCTCTTGAATCAGGATGCCGGAGGATGGTCCCATCTCTGCGATCGGGTCGGTCCGTAGCTCTTGGCACAGGAGCAGTACGATCCAGAAACACGCCACATCCTTCTTGGACATCTTTCGACAGTCACGGATCAGGAACTCGTTTCAGACTTATCTACTAATGATTCAAGGTTTGTTAAGCATACAAACTTATAACAGTGTGACATCACTTGGCCTAGGACAACACATTATTACGATTCATCAACATATGTATTCTGTCTTATTCTATTTTTATAACTTCATCCCTCACTACATTTATTACTGACTCTTCAATAATTTGCCTATAGCAGTTAAACAAGCTAGTAACCTGCTTATAAAATGTAGTTATTGGATGGCAAGGAAATGGTTAATGACATGAACGTACATGAGATCATGGCACATCACAACATTTCACATCATACTATACCACGTGAATCAAGCATTCATCCAGGTTAGTCGTTCACCCTTCTGCATCCGAATCCACACCTATAATCCTTAATTGAGATTTAGGATGACAAGCACGCAACTGGTTAATGTGAACCCACTTTCCAATAAAATCACCATCCTTAGGAATTTTTATCTTATACGCTACTGGGGAAATTTTGTCAATAATGACATATGGCCCTTTCCAAGAAGGTAAGAATTTCTTTTCCTTAACTTGATTTCACGCAAAGTTATACAGATAGACTTGATCTGTTATCTCATATTCCTTTTTCGTGGTTTTTAAATCGTAATAGGTCTTAACCCCTGTCGCTGCTTTTTCTAGATTCTTTTGGGCAAAAGCAAATGCATGCTGTAAATGCTTGCGCAAATCTTTGATATACTGATGCGTAGTGGCAGCATTGATCAAGTTATGATCTGAAGTACGATATAGTAAATGCTGTGGTAAAACCATCTTTCTTCCTGTCATCAATTCAAAAGGTGACAATTTGGTAGCAGTGCTAGGTGTAGCTCTAATCGCCATTAAAACTAGGGGCAATTTAATGTCCCAGTCTTTACCAGACTCCTTAACATATTTCTTCAGAATATTAACGATAGACTGGTTATATCGCTCTACCCCCCCGCTAGACGCAGCGCGGTATGCAATATGTAGCTTTCGTTTAACACCTAGAATGTTCCACATCTTAGCCATTACTTCGCTGGTAAAATGACTACCTCTGTCTGACTCAATTCTTTGAGGCAGACCGAACCTGGAAAAGACATGGTTAATCAACAAAGTGGCGCACACGGTACTCGTGTTCTCTTTACAAGGCAAACATTCTATCCACTTTGTGTACATACATGTAACGGTTAACATGTATTTGTTACCTCTTGAAGATCTTGTTACAGGACCTATAAAGTCAATTTGAACATCAGACCAGGGTAATGACACCCCCCTCTTCTGAAGTGGTGCACGATGGGTTGGACCATGGGGTTGATATTGCGGACAAATCAAGCATCCCTGACAGTATGTCTTAACATCCCTTAACATGTGTGGCCAATATGCATAATCACGCAATATCTCATATGTGATCTTATCACCACGATGCCCAGATGTAGGTGCATCATGTGCGTGTTGGAGCATTAACCCTCTGTATACAGTTGGGACTACCCATTGTTGTATACCATGTTTAGAAGTCCTGACCAGTAACCCATCCATGATACTAAATTGGACTTTATATCTCATCAAGATTCGTAAATCTTCATTATCCTTGCAATCCTCATCTGTGATGGGATTGGCAGTAGGGTCTTCTATATGTCTATAGAATATGCCTATGACGGGATCGTTCTTTTGACTAGTAATCAGGTCCTGATTAGGAGCTTCTTGGCTCCATTGCACGACGTTTAAGTCGGCATTATCTCTAGCCTGTCGTCTAGTTATGGCTTCAACATGAATTGAACCCATAAGATCATCAATGTTTAGGGTTTCACCATTGATGGCAGCTTGTTTTGCCAGTGAATCAGCTAAGTCATTACCATCCTTGTCAATACCTTTTATTTTAGAATGGCCTTTGGTTTTCTTCCAATATATGGATAAACCATTTTCCTTAACCAGTTCATCGATTTTACAAAACAACTTCCCATGTTTAACAGGTTTGTTATTGCTCTTCAGCATTTGGTTACGTTTCCAGCTAGGCAGATATTCGACGAAACTGTTGCGAACATAGTTGGAATCAGTTATAATAACAAATTCTTTGATACCATATTCTATTGCCATTTGAATGGTCTTATATACTGCACAGAGTTCGGCTATCTGACTGCTTTTGGGACCAATATTGTATCCTATAGATACATTAGGATAATCACCTGTCCAGGCGATTCCGATACCTGCAACTAACTTCCGTTCAGCACCAACTACGTGGTGATATGAACAACCATCAATGTATACCCACGGTAGTGGTCGACAGTATTCCTCGTCATAAACTTTATAAGGAGATAGCAATTGCTCTTCTAGGAAGTCATCTCCGGTGTCATTATCATCCAGAGATGGAGCAGTACAGTCATGTAATTCTGCTAAACCTTGGGCAACTGGGCTTCTCTTATTATGTTTATAACGGACTTCTAACGGCCATCCCTGTAAGGATAGAGTCCATGCAGTAATTCGACTGTTAGAGAGATTACCGTCTCTAATTCTTTCACTCTGCAGATAGTGTAGAGGTTGGTGAGCTGTTTCTACAATTATTTTCTCACCTTGAATATAGCTACGAAAATTTTGTAGTGCCCAGACAGTCGACAATAACGCCTTCTCACACGTGTTGAATTTAACTTCAACAGGTGACAAAGTCTTGCAGCATATGCAATAACTTTGTTTAAACTGTCCTGCTTCTGATACAGAACAGCACTGATGCTTAAATCGGTATATCCTGTCTCCAGATAGAAAGGTTTACCCCCCTCTGGGTATGCTAAACAGGAGATCCTGAGTTCGAATCTCAGCAGTGCCTCCAATATGTGGGGATATTTATGGGATAATAATAGTAACAGTGAGAATCGCCCACTAATTCAATTCTCAGATCCCAAAGAACGTTTATCGTGTTAAGTGGAATGTATTTCATATAATTAATATCACAATGTATAAAAATAGATTTTTATTTATATGACAAATTAATTAATAATAATATTATGCAACATGCATGACAATAATCAATGAATATTCAGTATAAAATGGTATGCAATACAAAGAAATGGGTATTACGTTTCAATGGCTAAACGGCATTATCTGTCAAGACTTCTGACGATTTATGAGGTATCCTTACACAGATTGAAAGTGAAACTTTTCACACAGAGAACAGAATTCCTCAGAGTGCAGCATAAGGTCGTAAAGTTTAGCAGACAGTTAGAATAACCCTTTCAATGCTGGCTAGATCTCCTAGGTAATTAAGATCTATTCTTATGTAATTTTTAAATAAAATAACATTTAAACCAGTTCATTAGTCACTTCCTGAAATCATCCAATAAGAGAATCTACCATATTATATAAGCAGATTTTTAATTTGTCTAAAAGATATCTATCTTAATTTAGAGCAAATCAATACACCTGGATAAAAACAGCGGTATGCTAACACGTGATAATATCACATCAATATATAATTATTCTTAATTCCACCTGCAGAATGGAATGTTTATAACTATATATTCTTAGTTAACTAAGATTTCTTAATATGGAAATCTGACCTGCTTTATCCAGTCATATATAATGCTATTAATACATTTTAATTAATTTAATTTATTTAAATGAAACCAGTATAATTACCAGTTGAGTAGATATTTCATCCGATTGGTAGTCTCAGGAACTTATTTGGATGTCTCTCTCTGCATGGAGGTTGGAGTCCCCAAACTTCCAATTCCTCTCTCCTCTTTTTCTTTGCATATCTCTTGGATCTCCCTCTCTGTCTTCCCTTTGTCTTAACTTTTAAAGGGCCAGACTCTCTGTACGTCATCAGTTGATAACCCAATAGAAGCACTAGAGGTGTGGTTATCTTCCAGATCGCAAATTAGTTATTTGGTCTATAGAGGGCAGTCTTGTCCCACTAAACATACCTATGCAGGAAAGAGTTAACTTTTCCTGGTGGCTATTTTGACGTCATTTTGCTTATCTCAAATGACCACTATAACTTACGTATCCTTCACAGATCAAAGGGTTCTTTAAGTTTTGTCCAGACTATGCGTCTGCAATTCCTGCCATAATTTCTGATATGACAGATCATGAACTAAGTTTACCCTTTTCCATACAATGGTACCTTATATATATATATATATATAGACAGTAAAATTAAATTATTTAATCTTCTCTGTCACAATCGTCTGGGTTTAGATTTGATTATAATCTTCTTATCACTTGTTTATACTATGCATTCCTTAGCTCTGGCAAAGAGGCCAGTCTTACAGAAAGAAATCTTGTGTCTTTTTTTTTTTTTTTTGTTAACTTGGAATAACAAAATGGAGTCTGGTCTGTTCAGAGTGACTCAGAATATACACTTTTAGTTTCTATCATAGCACAAAATGTCTGCCGATATAAATACCCTGACATGCCTGAGACAGTGGTGCACCGCCACGGCTTCAAACAACTCCAAGAATGCCTGCCTGGGGGCAAAGCCACAGGCTTACAAAGGTTCCGATACCACCAGATTGGACACTATTACTCAACACTCCCGGGAAAACACTTAGTTCACAGAGAACTGACAACCTTTGAACAGCTGTGCTTGGACAGAGAGCGTCTCCTGAGAGACATCACAGTCATATACTCTATGCTTCTTACCACCACACCAACCCCTGAAATATATAGCAAGCTGGAAACAGGGCGCCAACACAACTGTGTCAGAACCACAATGGGCTGAAATCCATCCACTAGCACTCCAAGAAACAATAAGCATAAAATTACAAGAGCTGAACTACAAACTTATCACCTGCTGGTACTGAACCCACACACATTTAAACTGCATGAATGTAGACAATACTGATACATGCTGGAGATGTGAGACCAAAGCTGGAACAGACATACACATTTGGTGGTCATACCCAAAAATCCAGCCCTTCTGGCAGCAAATACATGGAAAGATCAAAGAGATTCTGCTCCAACCCCTGCCAATGCTCTTGAATCACACAAAACTTCCTCTATCCGCCTACAAACGCTCGCTCCCTAGACACCTCTTGAACGCGGCAAAATCCTTCATCCCAATCAGGTGGCGCACGAACGATGTCCCAACACTACAAAAGTGGATGGACAAGGTAGAAGAACTGCATGGCATGGAGACACTCACTGCCTCTCTCCGCGGGACAACAGAATGATGCCTGCAGATGTGGATTCCATGTTTAGACTTTGTGTCCAAATGCACAGTACACCCAACCTGAGGCCCCACCTCCACCTTCTTCTCCCTTCCTTTTCTCCAACCTTCTTCCCATTCCACTCCCATTTGCGCTTCTTATCCTGCACCAACGTCCTCGCCTCCTACCTCCCCTGCTTGTCTACCCCTATCTCTCTATTGCTGGCCCAAACCTGCACATTTTCTCACCAGCCTTGGGGGGGCTTGCTGGATGGCCAGTTTTAGGCTTCTCTACTACTTTAATGGAAAAAGAGAAAACTAAAATAAAGATTGCCAGAAAAAAAAAAAAAACACTAGAAGCAAGAAGGTTAATTGTGTGGCATCTGACAAGAACTTTATAACCAGACGCAACATTAACCCCTTCAGGACCGAGGACGGTTCAGGACCGTCATCAGCATTTTTGCGTTGCCAACCGGTGATGGTCCTGAACCGTTGTAATGGTCAGATATACACCGGCGATCGGCGGTGCTCCCGTTGTGGGGAGACTGCCTGCAGCCCAGACAGTCTCCCCACGGTGGATTAAGACCCCTGTGGCCATGTGATCGCTCAACACAGCGATCACATGGTCACAATAGGTGTCCATGTGTCTGCCTGCAGGGGGACTGTCTGTGCTGACAGGCACTCTCCCTGCTAGTGTAAAAAAATAAAATAAAGGTTAATATTAATAAATAAAAATACTATTTTATATATATATATATATATATATATATATATGATATATAGACATATTATATCTATATAATATATGTCTATATATTATATATATACACACACATATATAATAATATTTTTATTTATTAATATTAACCCTTTATTTATTTTTTATTTTACACTAGCAGGGAGACTGCCTGTATATATATATATATATATATATATATATATATATATATATATATATATATATATACACATACACACACATATATATATATACATACACACACACACATATATATATATATATATATATATATAAAAAAAAACTTACTACTTCTGGCACTCTTCCCCAACAAAATCTCAAGCACAAAAATTCAGACCAAGGTGCTTTCTCAGTGCAAAATATATAATCCAGGAAAATGAGAGCACTCACTGGGTTTATACAAAATGTGTATTAAATTTTAGACAAAATACATATATATAAAATGTCATACTAAGTGTATTTTTATATTAATATGTACTTATATTAATATAAAAATACACTTATAATTAAATTACACATGTATATATATAATTTATATAATAACTATATATATTGTATATATATATATATATATATATATATATATATATATATATATATATATATATTATAAAATACAAATAAAGAAGCTTACCTGCAGCAGGGCGGAGCTTACCGTGCGGCAGGGCGGAGCTAAAAGTGCCGTGTAACTGCTGCAGGGGAAGCAGTCCCTGCTTCCCCCAACAACCAGAATCCAGGAGCTGCACTGCCTGTCTGTCTCCACGAGGAACTGCATAGGTAACTATTTGTGATTGTCAGTGTGAGTGACTGTCTGGCTGTGTGTATGACTGCCTGTGTGTGTGTCTGTGTGTATGACTGTCTGCCTGTGCGTCTGTGTGTATGACTGCCTGTGTGTGTGTGTGTGTGTGTGCCTGTGACTGTCTGCCTGTGTGTGTGTTTGGCTGCCTGCCTCTGTGTGTATGGCCATCTGGCTCTGTGTGTGTGGCTGTCTGCCTGTGTGTGGCTGTCTGCATGTAAGTATGTGTGTAAGACTGTGTTAGTGTGTTGTTTGTGTGTGTGTGTGTGTGTGTATGTGTGTGTGTAAAACTGTATGTGTGGCTGCGTGGGTGTGTGTGGCTGTCTGCCTGTAATTGTGTGTGAGTGTGTTTATCTACCTGTAACTGTGTATGTGTGTTACTACCTGTACCTGTGTGTTTCTGCCTGATCCTGTGTATGTGACTATCTGCCTGTGATTGTGTGCATGTGGTGGATTTGCATGTTTTTATCTGAATTAAATAACCATCACACACAGCCAATAAACCCAGCACAAATATCACATACAACCAATACACGTATATCACACACTATTAATACACCCATTACAAATATCACACACAGCGAACACATAGCATACATATCACACACAGTCATCACACCTACTATCACATACACAGACAACACAAACATAACATCATACATGGATGACGGGGGGGAGGAGGGGCGCTGTGAAGATTTTTCGCACAGGGCGCCTAAAGGCCGGCCCTGATTGCAGGTGCCTACTCTGCTAAAATGTACCCGCCCGGGAAGAGAGCTCAGTCTTCCTGCTCCTCACTGCTCAGTTGCGTGCGCCATCTGTAGTGATGCCGGGTGCCAGAATATGATGTCAAATTCCGACATCACTAAACTGCGCGCAAGGGAGCAGTGAGGAGCAGGAAGACAGATCTCCAGATAGAAGATCCCCACACCAGCTCCCAAAGGTAGGGAGCATTAAATAAAATGATGTGATTGTGTGCAAGAATGTGGAAATGTATGTGTGTGTGTCTGTGAGTGTCTGTCTGTCAGTGAGTGTGTGTGTGTCAATAAGTGTTGCGATAGCCGCAGCTAGACAGTGGAGGACCTTGAGGTGCACAGAGGCACGCGACGCCACGTCACATTCCAACATCACATCGACGTGTTCCACCTTCACAGGGTTTCAAGAATTAGCGGGAGGATCTGCTTTGGCACTGGGTGCGGATGCCGCCATTTGGGGTCTACCAGAGGCCGGACTTGCATACTGGCAGCGGCAATGTGAGGGGAGTCTGCTTGTTGGCTAGAGGGGGGGACTCGGATTTATAAGAGGGGGATACTGATTTTTTTTTATACTGTATTTTTCAATATAAACCTATGTTTCTATGGTGTTAGCGCGTAGACGCCTCCTAGTTAACCACATCACGGCAGGGTCCGGATATTTTAATTTTATTGTTTTTAGTATATTTGTACGGCGCACCATAATAGCAATGCCAAACCCCCCCCCCCCCCCCCCGCTAATATACACCTGAACGAAATAGCAAATAATTAAATACGATAAAATACACTTTTTTTAACCATTCCCAGCTGTTTTGAAACTACAGCTTCCATGATGCTTTGTCATTCTAAAAGCATGCCCTGGCATACAAAGCATCATGGGAGTTGTAGTTCTACCTTTCGGGCAGCCCCGCCGCTCTCGCTAGGTTTGTGCCCTTTAACCCCTCCCTCCAGATGAGCTCTCCAGGTTACAGAGCTGTAATCCCACTGACGTCGCTGCTCCTGCAAGCTCATTGGCCGCCTCCGCACAGCGCTGCCGTGACGTAATTTGTTGTACTCCGCACATTTCTCTCCTCATTGGCAAAAAGCCAGTCACGTATGGGGCGGGGCCTGGCCGCCCCGTGCTGAGCCGCTATTGGCTCCCTGCGGATATGTTGTGGGCGTCACACCGGCTTGGAGCTCGGCGCTCGCGTGGCTGATTGGCTGGCACGTCCAGGAGAGGGGGCGGGGCTTGTTCGAATCCGGAAGTACCGTGTTGCTGATGTGGCCGGAGGTGGAGCTGCTGACCCTAACATCACAGAGAGCGATAAGGAAAGATCCCGGTCCGTCTCCCGCAGTGAGGGATCCCCTGACTAGACAGAGATCCGGGGAAAGGTAACCGCAGCTCGGAGTGTGCCTTAGCTGTAACCGGGGGGGGGGGTGGACCGTAACATAGCAACACAGTGACCGGGTGCTCGCAGCCTGCATTCATGTAATGTGTGTGTGCTGCTGGCTGGCCGGCTGATATAAAGTACTGTATGAAGCATTTATATGCTGCAGGGTGACTGGTCAGTGAGGTCTCCTCCTGCCTTGGCTAATTGTTTCCTTCCTACAGTATATGAATTCTGCCTACTGCAGTATATGAATTCTGCCTACTGCAGTATATGAATTCTGCCTACTGCCTGTGACTACTCACTGCCTGTGGCGGCGGGTGGGGGCCATAAATTACAATGGGGGGGACAGGGACCTTCGGTCCTCCCCCGCCCTTGAGCAGCGGGTGGGGGCCATAATGGTAATGAGGGGAGATGGGGGGGGCCTACTGTCCCCCCCCCAGGCCCCCACCCATGGTCTGTGGGTGGGGGCCATAATGATAATGGGGGGGGGACCTACTAAAAAATAGTGAGGGGAGAATAAAATTACTAACCTGTAAAGTAAAATGAAACTTTCCATTCGACATCTTCTTTTTTTCTAAAATCTTCATTTTTCAGCCCCCAAAAAGCCAAATGAAAAACAATCATACCCGTCGAACTTAAAATAAAATAAAAAACCCGAGCGCAAAAAAAGAATCCGTTTTCAACCATGGAGGGCTCCGCGCAGACTGAGATCTGCGGGGGAAGGCTTATGAAGCCTTCCCCCGCCCTGCAATTAGGCTAAGAACACTCTGATTGGTTGGTTTAAGCCAATCAGAGTGCTCTTTGTCATTTTACACAGCGTGGGAAAATTCCAAAGAACTTTCCCACGCTGTGTAAAATGCTCACTGTTAAATAAAGCATTCTGTGGAGGGAGTCTGCTTATCACAGGAAGATTCCCTGGTTAGCTGATATATTTGTTTCCCATTAATGATACATCTCTGATATGGGCACTGTGCCAGCATGATTCTATTATTATTATTGCCACTTATATAGCGCTAACAGATTCCGTAGCGCTTTACAATATTATGAGAGAGGGGGTGTAACTATAAATAGGACAATTACAAGAAAACTTACAGGAACAATAGGTTGAAGAGGACCCTGCTCAGATGAGCTTACAGTCTATAAGGAAGTGTTTAATAGTTGCACTGATGCTATACTAGAGAATTGGATACAAATAAAACCCCAAAACCAGATCAATGCATGCAAATATATATTACTGACTTGGTTTGTTGTACCAAATTTTTATTTCTCCTCAAACATTTTCCATAAGTAACACTAAGAACACACACCACTATCACACAACTGTGCATGATGTGGTTACGTTGTAGGTTCCTGTATCCCTGTGCACCTAGTTGCAATGTAAGTGCCTGTGCCCAGTGCACTTGGTTGCATTAAAGGTTCCTGTGAGCGTGGTTGCAGAGGCAGTGCCTGCAGCCCTGACTCCGCAACATCTGTATTGTCTATTGTTGAGTGACATGGTTGATTTGTCATGTCATTTACAAAAATTCAAAGTGTCCATCTTTGTGTAATGTCAATAAAAATAGTATTTAATGTTCGTTAAGTGCCAGATGAATTTATTTCTTGTTAATTGGGTTTATTATGGTGTTATAAATGATAACGCTGGAACTCCTCCTTCTGTCCATAATATAACTGTGGGTGTTTTTATCATGTAGGCTGGGTCCTGCTCGGGATGTTTAGCCGTCTTTCTGGTCTCGCTAACACAGTCTTGCATGAACTCTCTGGTGATGGAGAGGCAATTGAAACCACCGGGATTTCGGTGAGTTAAGTCAGTTGTCAGTCAGATTTAGGAATACATGAGGCTACGTGGGTCTAAGGCTTCCTAAGTGTAACTTTTTTTTTTTTTTATTTGGATTATCATTTTAAAGGTATGAGATTCTCTCCTAGAATACTACATTACCAAGAGAATTGTCCTTAGTATTTGTTTTTAGAAGATTGTTAATGTCCTACTTCACTTAGAGCAAAGCGGTCTGGATAACCAGGTATTCTTACTGGTTTTAAACAGGATCCCGTGGCAGTGGACAGTTCAGCAGAAGATATGTCAGAGGATGTGAAGGAACAACTTGCTCATTATGAGCAGCTAGTGGTCCAGCTGAAGATACTTATTCAGCAGAAGGATGGAGAGATTCAACAGAAAGATGCACAACTAAAGGTACATAGGAACAGTGGTGTATTTTGGTTGTGTGCTGCCCTAGACACGACTAAACCCAGACGTCCCACCCCTTCCTGGCAAAGTCACACCCCTTCCGCTTTAGATTCCACCTTTTCCTACTCCTTTTTAAATGGATACTATAGTGCCCCCCTCTGCCACCCACTTGGCACTAAGGGGTTAAAACCTCTTCAGTCACTTACCCAAATCCATGCTTTCCTATGGGGATTTAGCAGACGCAGGATGTCCTAATGCACTGCATTAGGACATCCAGCATCAGTTAGGCGACTTTTGTTTGCATAACCCCCGGGAAGTCCCTCTGGTAGACTAGAGGTGGAGTTAACCCCTCAAGATAATTAATGCAGTTTCTCAGAAACTGCAATAATTACACTTGCAGGGATAAGGGGACTAAGACACTGCACCCAGACCACTTCAATGAGTTGACGTGGTCTGGGTGAGTACAGTGTCCCTTTAACCCCTTAAGGACCAAACTTCTGGAATAAAAGGGAATCATGACATGTAACATATGTCATGTGTCCGTAAGGGGTTAAGCACACACTCTGACAGACACATACACATTCACTGACCAACATACACTGGCAGATATACACCGACCGACACAAACTCACTCATTAACAGAGACACACAAACACTGAGACACTCATTGACAGACACACTGATAGTCACAGACTCTCACAGACACAAATTATTACTAATATAATTTAAAATTCTCCTCCCAGCCTCCATACCTGCAGAGCTGGCGTGGGTCTGTTGTTGGGGGTCCAGTGGGGCTGCTGGTAGGTGTGCGGCTGTGTTGGCAACAGAGGAGGCGAGAGAGCTGTGATCTCCCTACTCTGCTCCCTCACACTTTGCAGGCAATCTACTGATGCCGGGAATGACGTCATATTCCGGCTCCAACAACATCCCCAAACTGCGTGCGAGGGAGCAGAGCAGCAAGATCACAGCTCCCTCGCCGCCTCTGATGCTAACACAGCTGCCAGCCGAGGGGGCCATAAGATGTCCAGCATACCAGCTTTTGGGCCCCCCCAGGACCCGGAGAACACCGTGGAAGCCCGAGTGGTTAGTGCCGCCCCAAGGCAAATGCCTAGTTTGCCTTAGGCTAAATACACCACTGCGCTGTGTGTGTGTCTATGCATAAGTGGAAACAGCATCAAACACACTTTGCAGGAAAGATGAAATGTAAACTTGTGTGTTTCGTAGAAATGTGTTGGTCAGATATTTTGTTTGGTTAGTGCACATTTTGCCAAAGATCCAATTCCTACCTATCAAGTGTTAATTACCATTTCTATATTTTAAACAACATTTTCAAACACAGTTTAAAGGGACACAATGATTTTAGCACTTCAGACATGTATTCCTAATGCTATAAACTTCTCTTCCCTATTCAGGAATTAAAGGAAATAGGTTTTTACTTAACTTTTTCCCTTGCGCCCTGACTCACTTGGTGCAGACGTCCACTTCTCCTGTGACTTCATCCTGCAGGCATTGCTTCTTTGTCTTTTCATCCAATCCAATGCTTCTCATAAAGAAGCGTTTTGGTCGAAAAGCACATGCATGGCAAGCGCTTCTCAATGAAAAGTATTCAGAGGAGGTGGCTTGTGCAAACAGAGTCCGACTCTGTTACTCACGACAGATATGCCTCACTTGATGTGTTTAACCCTGTAATGGAAACATTGCTGTTCCTACTAAATGTCAATGTTTTACATTGCAGGGCTAAAATGACAGGGCACTGCACACAGACCGCTTAATTTTTCCTTTCTTTCTTATTTTGTGCTGCGCATAGGATTGATGTTGTGTTTGTTCCAGCGGGAATTTCTTGGGGGAGACGGGAGGAGGGGTGCTTTCTTCTGATTCACTTTATGTATACAGTACAACAGTACAAGCTCCTGTACTCTTAAAGAGTACCTTCGCACAGTCTGCTTCCTAGCCGACGCTTTACTGGGGTCTCTCTGGAGTGCTTTCCTTCCAGGCAGGTATTGTAACCTCTGCAGCTCTGCTTAAAATGATCACTACTGTCTTTACAAACACACTTGCGGCTCTCAGGCCCCCCGATCTGCCTCCTTGACTGAGATCATCAGAATTGACAAACTCAGCCAATTCAATACTTTCCTATGTGTGTGTATATAATAACAAAGTATTTAACCAGGTAATGTACATTCAGAGTACTCGTGTTTGTGTGTGTGTGTATACATTCAGAGTACTCGTGTGTCTCTGTGTGTGTGTGTGTGTGTACAAACCGCACTCCTGGGACTTTAAAAAAAAATCAAAAGTTAAAATTTAGCCTTTATTTTACATAATCCAATAAAAAGTCACTGTTTCAGCTCCCATTAGGGAGCTTTCATCAGGACTATTTTACCTATTATGTCTTTATTTTCGTGGACTAAACATTTGCTTATTGCTCTGCTTTTTATAAAATAAATATTGCCTTTTTTTTTTTTTCTATGTTCTGTGGAGTCATAGAGAATGCAGCCAACTGGAAATATCTGTTTTTGTTTTTCTCTTTTTAGTCTCGGATGTCTATATCTGAGGATTGTCTTTGTTGCTAGTTTTAACTTTCCTTCTTAACACAGAGCATTGTAGCTGCTTTCTTATTTTTCACCTAACATCCTTTCTACAATATTTGCATATCCTGGAGAATATTTCATTTTTACACGTGCATTATTTGTTCGTTCTTTGATTTCTTGCTTAAACCTGTGGGTGTGTTGTTGGGTTTTTTTTTTTTTTAATACAGCTCTTAAATTTATACCCGAAACGTGTCCTTGTGCAACTGCAGTGCATTGTGTGTATTGCTCTGCTTACCTAGTCAATCATTAATGTGTGAGAAGAATTTGCGAAATAGTGCATAAGGGAGAATGTTAAAGTGAATCTAATGGATGTGTAGTTTATAATTTTAGAGTAAAATCTGCATAGATTGCATCCACACTGCCCAGGTAGGAGTAAGAGGAGTGTTGGAGTGGACTATGGATATGCAGCACAGCCAAATCCACCCTCCTGGCTTCATCTTTTGCAGGGTTACTAATTAAAGTGACATTCAAAGCGAATTTCTGATTTAAGTTAAAAAAAAAAAACTGACCTGGAAAAAAAATTCTCTAATACAGTTATACTTTGTTTGGCTACTCTAGCCTTAACCCCTTAGTGACCAGACCGTTTTTTATTTTATTGTTTTTCAATTTTCTTACCGTTTGGGACCAGGGCTCTTTTTACATTTCTGCGATGTTTGTGTTTAGCTGTAATTTTCCTCTTACTCATTTACTGTACCCACACATATTATATACTGTTTTCTCACCATTGAATGGTCTTTCTAAAGATGCCATTATTTTCATCATATCATTTACTATACAAAAAAATTATAAAATATGATGACATTAAAAAAAAAAACACTTTTTTTCTAACTTTGACCCCCCCCCCCAAAATCTGTTATGCATCTACAACCACCAAAAACACCTGCTAAAAAGTTTCTAAATATTGTCATGAGTTTAGAAATACCCAATGTTAACATGTTCTTAGCTTTTTTTATTTTTTATTATTTTATTTTATTTTTTGCAAGTTATAGGGCAATAAGTACAAGTAGCACTTTGCGATTTCCCAAAATTTTTTTTCAAAATTAACGCATGTTACATTGTAACACTATCTGTCAGGAATCCATGAATAACCCTTCACATGTATATATTTTTTTAAAAGAACACAACCTAAGGTATTAAACTTGGGGTATTTTGTCTCTTTTCATGCAACCATTTTACCACCAATCAATGCCCAAAAATTTTTTTTTTTTTTTAAAGTTGTATTTATTTTTTTTGACACACATAGCAATTTAAGAATACATGTACTGAGAATTTTAAGGGTTACTGCCAAAGAACACCCCAATATGTGTTCAGCAACATCTCCTGAGTACAGTGATGCTCCCCCCATGTAGGTGTGTTGGGTTCTCTGGGAGCTAAAATAACTTATTTTGAGGGTGCGCATTCCAGTTTTCCAACTTGGAATTTTCACAGCCATGTCCTATTTGGGACATTTTTTTGAAGCCAGCCAATGTAATTAATTAACCTCCATCAAACCATATATTTTTGAAAAGTAGACACCCTAGGGTATTTCAGATGGTGGTATTATAACACTTTCCATGCACTAATTCTACCACCAGTCTTTGTCAAACTTTTGGGTAGTCATGTTTTTGTGTTCTTTTTCTCTCACATTGAACTTTAGGCATGGATCTCCTGAGTACAAACTTACAGGGGTCAAATGTAGGGCTTTTCCATGTTTGCACATTGAAATTTGCCAGATTGGTTTGCTGTGCCTATGTTGCCTTTGAGACCTTATGGCAGCCCAGGAATGAAAATTAACCCCATCATGACATACCATTTGTAAAAGTAGACAACCCACAGTATTCAAAATGGGGAACGCTTGCCAAAGTTAGCATTCATATTTGTTTTTGTTTTTTTGTGTAACACAAAAACTGCACTTTTTTACTGATGATTTTATCGTTGTGATAAGTTTTACTGTTTTAAACACTCATATTTGTGTTGAGCGAAGTCTCCCAAGTATAACAATATCCCCCATGTACAGGTTTTATGGTGTTTTGGAAAGTTACAGGGTCAATATAGGGCTTGCTCAAATTCAGTTTGCCAGATTGGTTTGCTGGGTCTGTGTTGCCTTTTGAGACCATATGGTAGCCCAGGAATGTGAATTAACCTCATTATGGCATACCATTTTCAAATGTAGACAACCCAGGGTATTCAAAATGGGGTATTTCCAGTCTTTTGTAGTTGCCACTTAGTCACAAACGCTGGCCAAAGTTGGCGTTCATATTTTGTCTTTTGCATTTTTTTTTTTACACAAACTGCACTTTTACTGGTGATATCGTCGTGGTGGGTTCTTTTACTTTTTAAAACACTCATATTTGTGTTCAGCGAAGTCTCCCGAGTATAACAATACCACCCATGTGAAGGTTTTATGGTGTTTTGGAAAGTTACTGGGTTAAATAAGGGGCTTGCCAATTAAATTCTCTGGACTGTCTGACTGGGTTGTCAGGCAGGTCCCTCAAATTATAATTATGTAGTTAAAAGGTGTGTGTGTGTGTGTGTGTGTGTATGTATGTATGTGCCAAGCCTAGCTTTTCCTACAGAAATCACACGTTTGTAGTATATACACACACTTTTATTTCCTATATATGTATAATCTATTATAAAATAATTTGAGCATTTTAGAATATATTATGCATATATAAGATTTTCATTATATGTGTATTTTGAGAGGTGTGTGTGTGTGTATATAATATATATATATATATATATCCTCAAAGTACACTAATAATGAAATCATATATATGTATAATATATTATAAAATGCTTTAATTATTTTACTATATATGTATAAATTTTTTTTTTATTTTTTATTTTTTAGCAGCCTGGGGGACTGCCTGACCGCTCAGACTGTCGCGCTGCTGGCAGCTCTATAGACTCCTATTGCATCCATGTGATCATGGTGATCACATGGCCCTTCAGGGCCGGGGTGGCCAGAGCTGCTGCAAGGGGACTGCTGGGGTTTTAGGCAGTCCCCCCCCACCCCCACAGGGATCGCCACAGAATGGTCAGGAAGGGGTTAAAGGAACACTATATGTCCATTTCTAACTATAGTTCTCTAGTCAATGCTTATTTATCTAAACACCCGCCTCCAGGGTTAAAAAAGTGAGTTTACCTGCCTTTTATCATTCACAGCGACACTCTTCACACTGCTGTCTTGTCTCCGTGGCGGAGATCATCAAGATTAATGATCTCAACAAATCCAATGCTTTTGAATAGAAAAGCTTTAAGAGGCTAGTATGCATGTGATGTAAAACTGCATGCCGTGCCTATATGATGGTCTCTGAGTTTTAAGCCATGATTGTGGAAGAAGATCCTCTAGTGGCTGTCAGTATGACCGCCAATAGAGGCAGGTTAACCCTGCAATGAAAACATTGCCATTCTGCAGCAATGTTCTCAGCTGCATGGTTAAAACGAGAATGGGTGTACATGGCACTTGAGGTGAAGTGGTTTGGGTGCCTATAGTGTTCCTTTAAATTTGAAGTTCTCATCTCACTTAAGTAAATAAACCTATTGATCTCCAATTGTACATTTTAAACCTTCTCCATTTTTATTTATCCTAGTAGCTAGAATCAGTAATGAGGTGAATTTCTCCATATGTACATTAACATTAGAACAGTCTACATGCTAATTTTAGAATGTTCTATGTTGCAGTCAGAGCGAGAATCTTCAGATGCAAAATTGGCCAAACTTAAGCTTCAGGCAAAGGCAAAAGTGACAAACTTGAATAAGCAAATCGAAGAACTAAAAAAAGCATCAGACAGCCGTGTAAGTTATTTCTCCACACCATTTAGTTGCTTTCTATTTTTGTGCTAGATTAGTGGTTCCCAAAACAGTCCTCATGGTACACTAACAGTCCCGGACTTATGTATTTCCCTTTTTTATTCCAGTGGAGATACTGACAAAACCTGGAGTGTTGATTGACAATGAGGACTGGTTTAGGAACCACAGTGCTAGATTTCGCACAATTGGCTTTTCTATTAGTGTTCCATAAACTGTGACTGGATACCCCTTTAACCCCTTAAGGACACATGACATGTGTGACATGTCATGATTCCATTTTATTCCAGAAGTTTGGTCCTTAAGGGGTTAAGAGGTAGCACTGATTTTAGTGCAGCATATTATTATGCAGTTAAATTACAGTCACCGTATTATAAGTTCCTGTATTCTCTGCATTCCTTTTACATTTTCTGTTTACTTATTAAATTAAATAATCTAATTTTGGAATATCTCCTCTTGTTTGTTCGTCTTTGGATGCTCTTTTACTTAATTAGGCCAAGACAAACAATTCCTCTACTATTTGGGCTTCTATTTCTTGATAACGTTGCATTTCTTTAGAGCTCTTCCATTACAGCTGCTTTCTGATATCTTAGTATCTTGACTGCACTAATGCTGCTTGGTGACTGTCCACTACTGTGCCCATATAGGTTAACCAAGATGGAAGTGGAGATTCGAGCAATAAGGAGAAGAGCAAGTTCCAGCAGGAAAATGACAAGGAGAAACAGAAACTGGAGGATATTGTTTCTGAACTTACAAGGCAGCTCCAGGAGAAACAGGAGAACATTGGTACGCTTACAAAAGAGCTTGATGAGAGCCAGCTAACTGTAACAGAGTTTACAAGACACCTCAGCGATAGTCAGCAGACTGTTACTGATCTCACAAGAGAACTCCACAACAGCCAAGAAACTGTGAGACAGCTTCACATTGCACAAGAGAAGCATGAGACTGAGGTAAGCATGGTTATCATACTGACAATGGTGTGTATGGTGTCCTGGTATATAAACCTGCTACATTTAAAGATCCCTATCCTGTGATTAGATTATTTTCAGGAAATGCTAAGATTTTTCCTTATTACTACCTTTTATACGCCATAAAAAGGGCCTAATGAAAAATGTTCTATGGTGCACCAGTAGTGTTGTGTTTTTTTTTTTTTTTCTTTTTTTTTCTTTTCCCCTTTGTCTGGGCAGCCATGCTGGTCAGACTCTACTTTAATCGGACCAACTGCTGCTTGTCCTATGTCCTATATCCTGACTGTATATCTCTACTGAATTTTCCTCGTAGCTGGAAGAAGTGCTATTTAATGATTATAGCTCTTTCCCCCAGGTAATCAGATGACATCTAGTTCTGGGAGTACAACTCTCAAGGTTTTTATTGTCAAGGCACAGTCTTTTATACACGATCCCCAGCATGGGGTCCCTATTCAAGACAGTGATGGTGCCTCTGTGTCTGAGAGATAGTTGAGTTAATCTCCCGGATACAAAGGACACAGCACAAAAAAGCATAAAAACAAGCAGGAACCCCAGCACATCAAATATCCCGGTGTGACAAAGCTGGCAAAATAGCGCTCAGATCCATGGAGAATAGACAAATTGCCACCTGGGTAAAGATTTGACTGACTGCTAACATGGTCCAGAGTTTCAGACAACAAATATTTATTTTTTATTTTTTTTTGTCCAGTCAAATGTCGGGGATGCTCCCCCTGGCTCTCAGGGAATGATTGTTCCTCTGTCTATTGTACCTCCCCTACAAATAGCGCTCTCCTGTCTGGCCGGATATATAGGTGTTGTCCAGCTTGAGTTACACAGAATTGTGACTAGGGTCCGCTATAGTGCTCCCGGCTTTCTGGATGCAGTGGCCAGCCATAGGAATAGGGGCTCTCGGTCATGTAACATGGAGAGGAGGGAGAGCCATGGGTAGTGAAATAGTCTTTTAATAAAATGGTGGGGGACCGAACCAGGGTTCACAACACTGTTCATCCTAACTTGCCTGCTGTTGCAGTTTCACAGAGAGCAGTTACAGCTGCAGGCGAGTTAGGTTGAGCGGCTGTTGGAGACTGACCCAAATGGCTGCTTTTTTTTTTTTTTTTTTTTTTTGGGTTCCAAAATCATTAATATACATCTTATTCCTGTTTTTTTTTGTTTTTTTATTCATACTTCTATATATTATAAATGTAATAAACTTTAAAAAAATTTAAAGGTAAAAGTTGACTAAAGTCATACATACACACATGAATATCTGACGGTGTCTCTGCGGTTATTCCATTATTGCGGTGCTATGTAGGATAATGAGGATCGAGCCACTTTACTTTTGTATTGTGGTATATTAAAGTTCTGGTACTGGTACTGGGCCGGACATTACAGGAGGTTGGAACAGATTGAGGAGAGCATTCTACTCAGGTAGGGTGGGAGCTTCCCTGAAAAGCTCTCATGCTCATGGCTGGAAAGATGAAGGGTGCATCGAGATTCCAGCAATAGCCAGTTTAGCCCTTTTAACATGTCACAATGGTGGGTCATGTAATTGCGTTATAGCACAAAGCTGCAGAATGAGTTTTACAACGTATTAAGTTTATGACGGTGTGTTCGCGGTGCAGGTGCCTCCCCATAATCCATGAATGGCATTTGCATTTGTTGCACTGTCTGTTTTTATTACCGTGGTGCTAAGGCAGGATTTGTTTCTGTACAGGGCACTTAGTTTTGGATAAAGTTTTTCAGTGTACAGGTCGAAAGATAGATTGGGGTCTAGCAACCTACCTAGATATTTATTTAAAAGAACAGACTGCAGTCAGTGTGCTATTTGATTTTGTTATGATGCATGGTTGAGACTTTAGTAATTTGTTATTTAGGTACTGTTCCAAAGATCATTGTGACTGTTTTGTCAGTATTTAGGAAAAGTTTGTTATCCATAATCCACTTTTCTATCTTCAAGCTGTGGTGTCGTCTGCATATATGTGCACAATTGAGGCTTTGCAGACGTTAGGCAGATAATTTATGAATAATGTGACTAGTAGGGCGCCGAGTATTGAGCCTTGGTTAAAACCAGCAGGTGACAGAGAGAAGGAGGGAGGCGCTATCAGAAATGGACATATAACGCAATCGATTTGATGCATATGATCGAAACCAGGTTAGCAGACTATCACCAATACCGGAGTTGTTAAATTTTTGCAATACAATGCTATGATCTACTGTGTCAGTCCTTGGCTGAGTGTTTGGCTCGAATGCCATATGAATGGAAACCCTTTCGGGCAAACTCACGGTTCGTGTATAAGAACGGGACTCAGAGAGCTGTAACCCGGAAGTTGTGGGGGGAGTGAGAGTTTTTGGTGATTCAGATCCGTTGGCGGGATAACAGCTGGTGGAGGAATTGCAGCCTCGGAGAGCTGGAAACTTCGCTGGTGGACCAAGGAGAGGCCTAGCCGGAGTAAGGTAAGGCTGGTAGCCGGGCTAGTATGCTGTATGCTGTATACGGCCGGGTATTGCAGGGAGAACTTGTCATGATCAGCGTGGGAGCGAAGTCAGAGGTTCTGAATGAACCCAGTGGTGTCGGTCCTGTCATGGAGGGGGCCTGAGTTTTTATAGCCGGGTAACCCCTCCCACAAATATATCTATATCTATCTCTATCTCTCTCTCTCTATCTATCTATCTATCTATCTATCTATCTATCTATCTCTATATATATATATATATATATATATAATCTCTCCACCTCGCTCTGCCATACTAAGTGGCACTGCAAGTACTCCAGTTTCTCGACACTTCTTGGAAATGGGACACAACTTATCTTCACTCTGGTTTATGGGCATAGACCATATACCATTCTCATCCAGAGGGGGGGGATCATGACAACCTACTGCTTAAGCGTGAAGCATTTTGGATCTATACCCTAAAAACTTCCCCCAGCTGGCCTAAATGAGAAAAAGTTGTTACACTTTTTAATTTTTAATTTTTTTGTGTTTTAAATCATCAAGAAGATAATGCATCATAGGGTTATATCTTATATTAAATGTATTTGTGATATATAGTTCTTCATCAAATCTCCATGGTTGAATCAATGCATATCATACAATTGTCTAGTTTGAAGTATATTTACAGTGTTTATTTACACTAGCTACTATATGCTTGTTACATACTTTACAAATTTTACAGATATTATTATGATAGGCATTTTGTGGCTATTTCTCCTTTGGTTACGGGTTAAAAACTTGTACATATATCTTTTTATTTATATTTTTACTTCTATCCTTTTATATTCCACATACCTGTTACATACAGGGTTAATTCTGTTTTCTACGTATTTTGAATGTGTCTACGTCATTATTGACTTCACGTAGACTCGTTGTCACCTTTCACCCTCTAATAAGATCACTGCATTTTCATATATAAGGCATTCACTTCACACAAATAATTGTCTTTAAAAAAGTCTTTATAGACTGAAACGGCGACCTGTACGGTGTGTTATCCTGTTATTGCTCAATAAAGCAACATTTATAATTAACTTTAAAAAGACTCCTGAGTGCTGTCTACTGAAATCATATATAATTTGGTTGGAGAAAGCACCGGAGCAGAGAAAGACCGGGAGCATCGAGTGCTGGGATTGATAGAGGGGGGGGCGAAGCCAAACGCTGAACCTGCCAATCAGCAACTCCTCATAGAGATGCATTGAATGAATGCATCTCTATGGGTAAAGTTCAGCATCTCCACTGTGCAGCACTGCCTCAGGAAGCGCCTCTAGAGTTGTTCCTAGGCTGTTATGTAAACACTGCCTTTTTACTGAAAAGGCTGTATTTACATCAGAAAGCCTGCAGGGACTGACTATACATCAACGAAGGGATTTCCCTGGTCACTCCGTACAATGTGTTATGGGAGTGCCCTCTACTATGTAATTGCAGCACGAGAGGGAATGTACTAAGCATGTATGTTTGTATATTCGTGCTTTTGGAATAATTTATCCTGTGCTATACTATTTTGTGTGTATGGTTTTGTATTTAATTATTATTGTTTCATGAAAAGATATATGTGTGTGGTTCTTTTATGTAATTCAATAGAGTTATGCTAATTGTGTTTACAACCTGTGCCTAGTTAGAATTGATATGATAGTCTTCTATAATTTATTTGGAAGTCATGTTCTTCTGGAATTGAGTGCTATTCCCTTGTTTTCACATAATGTTTCTATTCATATGTGTGTTTGAGAGTCATCTTTTCTTTATCTGCTTGTGTCAATGACTGTAGATGCAGTGTGATTAAACAGAAAGAATACACAACTATTTTACTTCTCATTTACAGCCATGTCTTGTGTATCGCTTTGATTTAGTGCTTTGACGATAGGTGTGATATTGGGTTCTATTTTTGTTTATAGATTCTTCATTTGCAGAGAAAACTGGAGGAACATGTTGAGTCTCTTCGCTCACGCACTCAAGTGGTGGAAATGATGGAGCAGGAGCTCCAAAGTGCAGAGCTTCAGAAACAGGTAATGATACAAGAAAGTGCACACATGTTCTAGACCCTTTAATACAATACATTCGCTTTGCTATCTAATAGGAATATGATTATTACTAATTTGTGAAATCTTTATTTAAAATTACTTTATCTACCAAAAACTCTATTATTGAACCGTACTTAAAGGAGCACATTTAATAACAAACATAAAAAGTTTGTGTGTGTGCCAGCCTCCTGCCACCAGACTGTGGGCTTGTTCCTAAGAGTCCCTAAAAAGGACTATTGTTACTAACGATAGCGGTATGGGGGGATACTTATTCAGCGACCTTTTGGGGATCGCCTGGACTAGTCCTACATCGAGCACCTGACTAAGAGATACTCTGGAACTATTTCTTTGATCAGGACTTTGCTGTGATCTGGTAAATTATTAATTGGGTACGCTCGGTAACCCCAGATCACCAAATAGTATTTGGAGGGGAGGTGAGGAGGCTTAGAGAATACATGGGACTTGAGTTCGCTCCCCTCACTAGAGCCCCAGGAACCCCTTTTGTGAAACCGGGACATCTGGAACTCCTCGCCAGAGTGGATAAAAGCTGCGACCCGGTAAAGCTATTTGGATAGTGAGGGTGTTTGGTGACATACTTACCAGGGACATGTGTTGGTTTTGGGGGGCATTTTGTGTTGTTCCTCTAGGAAGGTGCGAGCACAGCAGGGAACCTATTGTGTTGGCTGGGGCTAACTTAAGTTCCTAGAGACCCTGGTAGCGGAGAGGAAGCCAACTAGGCTGAGGTACTTGGCTCCATCACAATATAATTTCCTTGTTGTGATTTAGCTTTTATAAAAAATAAATTGAAATACCATAAAAGCCATTGCACCTTCAGCCGGACTGTCAGCATTTTGGCCATGTTCTCACTATTATGCAAAAATCCTTTTCTTTTCAGAATCCCCTGACAGAAAATGCTGCAGGCAGAAAGACCACATGTTTTTGAAAAACATGGGACAGTTGCAAAATAGTGAGCATTGGTTCATGTCTGTAGCTTTGTTGTTCTGTTTGTTTTAACTGTGTTCTGACCAGTTGTATAGACAAACCCTGTTTCTCATGGGGCTATAATTATGAAAAATATATTTGTTATACAGTAAAATAACCCTAGGTGATGTATTATGAAAATATAGATATATATAGAATGGGTGCACTTAAACTTTTCAATTACGAGACAACTACATAACACTTTCATTTTTGTTCAAAAGTTGGATAATTGTCTCTACCCTTAAAAGGTAATCTCTATAGAGGAGTCCTGCTACAAAGAGGTTTGTTTTTGTTTCTGGTATTTTAAGTAAAATATGTATGTTTGTATTTAATTTCCTTAGGTTTTGTCTGAGCAGTATCGACAGATGGAGAAGGAGCTGTTATCTTTGAAAGATACTCTTGATGTGGCACAGGAAGAAAATATGGCACAGTCTTCCATCTCTAAGGAGCTACTGAAAGAAAAAGATCTCATCTGTCAGAGACTGCAGGAAGAATTGGAACAAGAACGAACATCTAAAGAAAAGTTACAAATATTGAAAGAAGAGCTTGAAATGAAACATGGTTTTTGGGATGAGTTGAGCCAACTGAAAGAGGACATTGAGAGAGAAAAGGGTGCACATGAAGTCTTGGAACAAATGAAAGAAGAGCTGATGAGAGTAAAGGGTGCACAGGATGAGTTACAAAGACTAGACGATGAGCTGGAGGTAGAAAGGAATGCTCATGAGATGCTTGAACAAGTTAGAGAAAAACTAGATAGAGTGAAAGGAGCACAAAAAACACTGCAAAGCATACAAAATGAGCTAGAGGGTGAAAAAGCTGCTCAGGAGATGTTAGAACAAGTAAGAGAGGAACTTGAGAGAGTGAAGGGAGCTCAGAATGAGTTACAAACTAGGAGAGATGAACTTGAGTGCACAAGAGAAACCCTGAAAAATCTTGAGGAGCTGGAGAAAGGAAGAAATGTTCAAGATGATTGTGGAAAAATGAGAGAAGAATTGGAGAGAGTTAATGCAGCTAGGAATGACTTAGAAATGATGAGAGAAGAGCTAGAGAGACAAAGCAGTATTTGGGAAGACCTGGAAAGAGTCCAAAAAGAGCTAGAGAGTGGAAGAGAGGCTGAGGAGAAGTTGAATCAACTTAAAGAGGAGTTGGAGAGGCAGCAAGCAGCTCAGGCTGAATTATTGAAAGTTAAACTTGAATTAGAGAAAGCCAGAGAAGCTCAGGAAGAGCTGAACTTAATGAAGGAGGAGCTAGAGAGATTTTCTGGAGCCAAGGCCGAGCTGGAAAGAGTAAAACAAGACCTTGATAAAGAGGGTGGTGACCGGGAAGATAATGAGGCCGTAAAAGAGAAACCACAAAGTGAAATGGAGGATCCGGATATCCAGGGAAGATCTACATATATGCAAGAGGAAGTGATGGTAATTGAAGATGGTCTAGTAGAGAGTGTGGTTGAAGGGGACCTGGAAAAAGCAGCTCAAGAAGAGATGGCTAATGAAAAAGAGGACCCGGAAAACCGCTTAAGCCTTTATCAGCACTCCAGTAGTGTTTCAGAGATGACAACAGTGTGTGAAGAACTTCAGATGTCAAGTGAAAATTCAAAGTTGGAGTCAGGGGAAAGCATCTCTGGTAAAGATGTTTCTATGTGTTATAGTATAATACAATGTGCTGGCTCAATCCTCTAAAGCTAAAATTATCAAATATATTTACACCCTCATATATCCACACTCCTAGCCAGACCTAAAATTACTTACTATTGCAATCCACCTGCAGAAATGTTTGCATGGAAATGGTGGCAGCACATGCAGCTGCATTTCCCCCGCACAAGAAATCATAAAAATAAAATGTATTCTAAATTTGCAAGCAATTAGCCAGCACAATGTATAAATTAAGTTGCAATCATGTAGCACAGGGGTCGCCAACCTACATTCTGCAGGCCTTATAAGGCCAGCTCCTTACAATGCTCATGCTCACAAATGCCCATGATAACATCGTGCTCTGGGGGATCTCACTTGGCAGAGTAGATACCTGCCTATCCACACAGCAGGTGCCTACTTAGCTCCCTTGCTACCGGTAAATTTGATCTATGTTCTTACTGAACTCTTCCTGCACAGCTCTCTCGCATGCCCGTTGGTGATGCCGGGACGTGACGTCACCACGGTGTCAGCATCAATACAAGGCATGAATGGGAGTTGAACAGGAAGTACACATTGATCTCAGCAGCCCCACTGACCATCATGAAGAGGATTCACTCCAGCTCTTCCAAGCACAGGTTGCAAAGCTGGGTGTAGACCTTTTAACAGATAAATAAAAATGTAGTGCCTGTATGTGTGCATGAGTATGTTTGTGTCCAGTTGATAGCACCCTAACCTGGTATTGTTGAATATGGCAGTCCCTCTTAATGATACCAAATTATGGTGCTATCTACTAAACAGCTGAAAGAGCAAAAGGGCCTTTCTCAATTTTAATCTTTCAGCTGCTTATTAGATAACTTCTTAAACTGGCACCCTTATGTGGGATTGCCATATTTATGTATACCGAATTAGAGAGCTGTTTAGCAGATAACTCTCATATTTGGTGTCCTTAAATATTGCAATCCCATGTAAGCATAGCAACTTAATGAGCCATCTACTTTTACAATTTTTTTGTTGCATAGGTGAAAGTGTCCTCCATCCATTTACAGACCAGGTATCAACCCTCATGTTGGGGGGAGAAAAAGGTTTCCAACGCCTGATGTTGTACATGATTGAAAAGTTAACTCCATACAAGTGGAGAACAAGAGAAATGTACCTATGATCTCTCTCTCGTTAATCATTTATTTTGCCTAGAATGCATGCAGACAGTTATTTGTAGCCTTTAAAGTTTGCCTTCGTGTAGCATATGGTGAGGGTTAACCGGCAGATGAAAGCTCTGCAGAAAAGTTATTCAACTGCTGGGACCAATGATAAAATTATGAAAAAAATAAATAAAAAATCCCACTGTCATAGTTTTGGTGAGAGAAGAGGGGGTTCTATGGCACACTGTCCAGAGCTGAATATTTCACTGGCTAATGGTAGAATGGAAGTTTGTAAGTCTCCAGCACTTTGGTGTTGAACCGTTCGAAAGTGGTTTAATCTAATAGGGAAAGATGGAGCTCAGGAACTACAGCCTCCAGAACAATTTCAAAATTAAGTTGTTATGGTGCCCAGAGTGTTCCTATAAGAGCCAGAAAGGGGCTTACCTTTCAATTTCTCTTCCCTTTTCATATATGGCAAATCTTTTATGCCTTCTATCGGATTGTTATTGCTAAACTAAGCATTCCTCTCTGTCCCTTCACCGGTAATGAGGAAGAAACATATCTTATCTTATTGTATGACAGTCATGGTGTTAATGAGATTTATATGGTCTTTCTGTTTCAGTGTCAGATATCTCGTATATCTTGTCCTCTGCTGAGAGTCACCAGGACTTTACAGAAGGACATTCTGTGCAGGTAAGGATAGATGTGCAGAATGAATCTTTGTTGAATGCCCAATGCAGTCTTCTTATTTTTAAAGTGATTATAAATCAGAGTTTAAAGTAACTGCAAGGTTTATAGACTTTGCTCTTATGTCACCTTTACAGTTATTTGGCTAGTTCTACAAGGTGTGGATTGTGTGAAATGTGGTAAGAGTACCCTGACGCTATTTCTCGGAAATTGGGCTAACTATTCTACAACAGTTTGCCATCTTACCTGGTCTTGCTGGGCACCAAGGTCCAATGATGGTGGCTGAACCGCATAAAGCTTCTGTTGGACTGTAGCAGCCAATTGATAGTCCTAGAGCTCATTCTTTGACATTGTGTGCATATTAATATGCACTCTTGTTCTGAGCTACCTAATGATGCTGCCGGGTGTGCAGTTATATCTCCACATCTGGGGTTAAACTCAGTAGGTGCAGCGGTTCCATGTACCATGACCACCTTAAATCACAAACGTGGTCATGGTACTTGAAGTAACCCTAAAGGAATGTAGTTTAAGCCTTTTTTTTTTTTTTTTTTTATAAATCCTCCGTCAGAACATACTGGATGTTGAATTTGCCCTTACTGAGAAGTTTGACAAGGGAACTTTTATCAACACATTGAAGGGGTCAAACAAGTCTTCTTGAATCATGATCACGAACATAAGCTGTATAGTTCTTATAGTGTTCCTAGTGACTCTTCAATTGATCATACATTTGCACTACTACCTGCACATACAATACTCACAAATGGAAAAGCCTATGATAAAATTTCATTTAAAGGACCACTCTAGGCACTCAGACCACTTCAGCTTAATGAAGTGGTCTGGGTGCCAGGTCCAGCTAGGGTTAACCCATTTTTTTTATAAACATAGCAGTTTCAGAGAAATTGCTATAATTATGAATGGGTTAAGCCTTCCCCCTAATCCTCTAGTGGCTGTCTCATTGACAGCCACGAGAGGTGCTTGCGTGCTTCTCACTGTGATTTTCACAGTGAGAGCACGCAAGCGTCCATAGGAAAGCATTGTAAATGCTTTCCTATGCGACGGGCTGAATGCGCGCGCAGCTCTTGCCGCGCGTGCGCATTCAGCCGACGGGGAGGAGGATCGGAGGAGGAGAGCTCCCCGCCCAGCGCTGGAAAAAGGTAAGTTATTACCCCTTTTCCCCTTCCAGAGCCGGGCGGGAGGGGGACCCTGAGGGTGGGGGCACCCTCAGGGCACTATAGTGCCAGGAAAACGAGTATGTTTTCCTGGCACTATAGTGGTCCTTTTAGAGTTGATCCCTGTTGGCTTTGAAGTAAAATATTGCTGCATATTACACTGTAATAGCACAAGTAACTGTTAAGTGGAGTCTTTAAATTGTTTATTTTTTAAATAAACTTATCCACACTTTTTTTTTAATTTATTTAAATTTTGTCTGTTGAAACCCAGACTCTCTTCTCTGCTCTATCCTTTTATAAATGTAGGTTAAGTTTTTTTTTATTAAATTATAGTACTGAAGTTTTGGAGACTCATGTTATTAACATTGATTTTTCTACTGATGTTATCTACCTGCGCAACTTATGTGTATGGGTTGTTGTAACTGTGTCATCTGATTATAAATCTTTTGCTGTAGGTGCTGCAGTCTTACATCACTAAAGATATTGCGGTAACAATGGAAGGCATGAAGGAGAAGCAACTGTCCATTCTTATGGTGGATATCAATGATGCCCAGGAGGAGATACAGAAGTTAAAAGACCAAATGACTGAAGAAAGGGAGTCAAATAACGATGAAAGATCAGCTCTGACAGCAGAGGAAAATAACAGTGTATTCACTGAAATAATTCAAGAAGCAAGTTCTACTAGAATCTGGAAAGAGCAAACAGAGTTCCACAAGGAAGAAGAATACAGTACAATTAGTACATCGTTGCAATTTTCTCACAGTGATCAATCTGCAGTGATTACCTGTATCAGCGAGTCAGAAGCAGATGTGGCAATCAATGGGGTCCAGGAGCATGAGACATCTGATAGCAAATATGACGTCTCAACATCACAGTGTGCTGCATGTAAAGGTTTTAACAGAGATTCTGAGATTCTTTTGTTGCAAAATATGGTGGCGGATCTCAAAATTCAAGTGACCGCTCTTGCTTCTGAAAAAGAAGTCTTGGCCATAAAACTCCAAAATCAAATGCATGAGCCTGAATTTGCAGAGGGACAAATTGGCACTGGAAGAGATCTAAAAGACATAGAGGAACTTCAGATGACCAACTATGAGAGTCAGAACATTCTGAAGGAACAATTAAACAGCTTAGAAAATGAATCCAAATCTAAAGACTTGAAAATTGCTGCCCTGCAAAAGGACCTGGATCACCTTAATTTAATCCTCTCTGAGCAAGAATCACTCTCACGAATGCAGAGCAAACAACTTAATGAGGAAGCAAGCCAAGTGGAGAAAATGCAGGAAATCCTGAGCCATAGCCAGAGTAAAGAGGAGAGACTTTCTGAGGTGCTTGCTGCTAATGAATGTGAAATTGTTTCACTTAGAGAATTGCTTTCCCAGAAAAGCACACAGATTGAAACTTTGCAATTGTCTGTACAAGAGAAAGATCAGCAGGTGGCAGAGATAAGCCATAGCTTTTCTGATAAGATGGTTCTCCTAAATGAAGAAAAGTACACCATGGATAAAGAAATTAAGGCCCTAAAGGCACAACTGAATTCATCTAATAGGGAGCAAAATGAAGAAATGAAAGAATTGTCAGAGGCAGTAAGAAAAGAAAATACAGAAATGCGTATTCAGCTGGAAACCATTCTTAAGGAGAAATATCAACTGCAGGAAACCCTGGAGTTAATGCAGAAAGAGGAACGGGAACTTAATGGACGCATAGAAGTTCTACAACACACTAACATTCAGGACCAAGAAACCCTGAAATCCGTTCAAGAAGACAGAGATATGTTGGAGACTCAAGTGCAAGCACATTTGCAGAAGGTAAACGAGCACGAAGAGTTATTAATTGAGATGGAAGCACTTAGACATGCTCATCTGCTACAGCAAGAGATGGTGCAAGCACAACAGAAAACTCAAGAGGAACTGCAGGATCAACTTCTTGTACTGACAGAGAAACAACGACACAGCCTGGAAGATTTACAGCATTTGCAGGAAGAGAAAAGCGAATTGGAGTCTCAGCTGAAATTCTACCTCAGTCAGCCACTGGAAGAAGAAAAGAAAGATGGCTCCAATGAGGCCAGTGAGCTGCAACAAAAGCTGGAACATCAAAGGAAAGACAATGAGCACCTTAAGAAGAAGCTTCAGGCTGCACTAGTCAATAGAAAGGAACTGATGAAGAAAGTGTCAGAATTGGAGAAAGCTTTGGCGAAAGATGGGGAGCCTTTGTCCTCTTGTGATAACAGTGATGCTGATGTTTTAGATATCCCAAAGACACAAGAGCAAAAGATGGCTGAAGAGTTTCTGAAACAGCAACTTTCTGACAGAGAATCGGAACTGGAGAATGCAAAAAAGGAACTGGTTGAAAAAACTGCAGCTTCAGAGTTGCTTCAGTCACGCATAGATAAATTGACTGTAGAACTGAATGAGAAGAACAAAACAATAGAGTTTCTAAATGTAGACAAGATGGGAAATCTGTCTGTGACTGCATCACCATCTCCACATCCAGAGAATACTGATCTTAATGCATCCATTAACCAAGAACATGAATCTAATGCCAGAGTTGCTCTAGAGAATAGAATAGCTAATCTAGAGCAAGAAAAGGAGATTCTTCAGAAGAAGATTCAAGATACACTAAACTCCCGCAGAGACACAATTAAAAAAGCGCAAGAAAAAGATAGACACCATCGTGAACAACTTAAGCAACAGAAAGATGAGTTTAACTTATTACAGGAAAAGTATGAAGTACTACAGAAAAATCAAAATGCTCAGTTAGGACAGTTAGGATTTGACCAAGAAAGCGAAGCACATACTGTGAGCCAGTATACATCAGGAGAGCCAGACAAAGTCCATACCTCAAATAAAGAATCGGAAATGCAGTTTCAACATACTGCCTTTTCAGAGAAAAATGCTCAGGACTCTGGTTGGGACAATGATTGGGTGGAGTTTTCTACTGCTGAAGTTACAGATAATCTTGTTGATGGAACGCCAAACACAGAACCCACTCTGGAAAGCTATAAAACACAACTAAATATCTTCAAAACCCAGAAGGATGAACTTGAATTAAGAACTACACAAATTGAAGAACAACTTTCCCAGCGCTTGGAAGAAGTTGCACATCTAAAAGATACTGTAGAACAATTAACAAGGCAGTTAGATCGAGAGAAAGAAACCAATCATGAGTCCAATACACAAGCTGCTATTTTGAAAGCAGAACTTGAAAACAAACTCCAAGAGACCATCCATCATCTAGAATCAGAAATCATGCATATTAGGGAAGAATTAAATACTAGGTATGAGGAAATTACAAATCTTAATATAACACTAGAGGAAAACAAGGAAGATCTACAGAATGTTCAAACCTCTTTGTTGGAGAAAGATAATTTGATCATAGCTCTCAAAGTGCAGCTTGAAAATCAGACTAAAGAATTTAAAGACCATAGCAGCAGGCTTGAAATGCAGGTTTTAGAAGTACAGCAGAAGCAAGATGAGGACATTGAGGAAGAATCAAAGGGCAAACAGCAACTTCAGAGAAAACTTCAGGCTGCTCTAATTTCCAGAAAGGAGGCACTCAAAGAAAATAAAATGCTGAAATCCCAGCTGGAGACAGTGACAACAAATAACGAGGAACTCTTGAAGAATTTGCGCACAGCAGAGAGTTTATTGGAACAACAAAGTACAGAAAAAGATAAATTGCTTGAGAGATTATCAAACCAGAAGGGAGAACGAGACAAACTGATTGCTGAAGTTGACAAGTGTTTAATGGAAAATCAAAACCTAGCAGCTTCATGTGAAAGTCTCAAACTTGCTCTGGCTGGCGTTACGACAGATAAAGAGTCCTTAGAAAAAGAGTTTGAATCAATGAGACTATTAGAAACTTTACAGAGTTCAGAGTGGCAGGAAAAGCTGTCTGAGCTACAGAAAGAATATGAGACACTGCTACAGTCCTATGAGAATGTTAGTGATGAGACTGATAAGATGAAAAGAGTTTTGGAAGCAGTAAAGTTGGAGAAGCAAGAAGTCTTTGGTAAGCTAAAAAGCATGGAGGCAGCAAAGCGTGATGTTGAGGCACACGTAGAAGAGTTGGAACAGGAATTGGAAGGCATGAAGGAAAAGATGAGAAAGTTTGCCAAATCAAAGCAGCAAAAAATCCTTGAGCTAGAAGAAGAGAATGAAAGACTTAGAGGAGAACTGCAGCCTGTCAGTGAAGGCCAGAAGAGGCGGTTTGACAAAGCCCAATCAGAAAATGCAGAGCTGAAGACAGAACTGGATAGAGTTCACGCTGAAACTCTGGATCTTACAGTTCAGCTGGAACTGGTCAAGTCTGAAAAAGCTTCTTTGGAGCAACAAGCTGAACACCTAAAGCTTCAGTTGGAAAGTGTTGAGTTGAAATTGCAGAAAACTCTGGAAGATTCAAAATCTGTTTCCATCCAAAAGGAAATATTTGTACAGGAAACAGCATCCTGCCAACCAGATAATTTAACAGAAGAGCAAGCTGCAGAAACATCTGCTGACAAGGGCACACACTTGGAGATAAGCCAAAAAAATGAAAAGTTACAGAATGCATGTCAACTGGAAGGTCTCATGGCAGATCTGGAGAACAAATCCAAGAAAAATGAAGAAACAATTGAGACAATGAGAGAAGAAATCACTGTATTAAAGACAGAAAAGATAAATGTCGAAAGGCAATTGACAGTTACCCAAGATCAGCTGAGCATGCTGCAGGAACAAATAATAGAGCTGGAAAATAAAAATCAGACAGCAAGAGAAGAGATGATAGAGCTGCAAAGTAAACATGAGAGAGCCACCAGTGATGTTGAAGAAGTAATGAGGCAAAAGCAGATGCTGGAGTTGGAGAAAGATGAATTAGAAGAGCGTCTGATGAATCAACTTGCTGAGCTCAATGGAAGTATTGGAAACTACCAACAGGATGCCATGGATTTACAGATACGAAATGATAACTTGCAGAGAGAGTTGCAGGATGTTAGGTTCCAACTGGAAGAGGAAAAGAGGCAGCTGGAGAGACAGAAAGCAGAAGCACTGTCACAAGTACAGAAAGAATATGTAGAGAAATTAAAATCTGTGCATGATGGAGAGAAAGGCAGAAAGAGTCAAACAAAAGAACTCCAAGAATTGCTCAAGGAGAAACAACAGGAAGTCCGGCACCTACAGAAAGAGTGTATACAGTACCAAGAGACCATCAGTGGACTAGAAAGGGCAATTAAGGCCCTGGAGTTTGTCCATAGTGAATCTGAAAAGGAAAAACTGGCATCTACTGAAAAATTAACAAAGGCCTTGGACGATACAAGACAGGCAAAAACAGATGTAAAATCACTCCGTATCTTGCTAGATGACAGCCAGAGTGAGACTGCAAGAATAGCAGCCGAGAATCTTAAACTAAAGGAAAGTCTTCAAGCAGCAGGGGAGGAGACTGTTTTAAAACTCAAAAGGAAAGAGGAGGATCTGGAAGCAAGATTGGAACAGGAGAGGGATAAACATATGAAAGAGATGAAGAATGTACAAGAGAAACTGGACTTGATGCATCTTGAGAAAGAAAAGTTACAGGGCTCCATCAGCAGCCTGCAGCATGATCTTGATGGGAAGAGCGTGGAGTTGAAGGAGAAGCAAGATAACTTGAACCAAAACATTGCAAAGCTTGCAGCCTTTACCCGTAGCATGTGTTCATTGCAAAATGACAGAGACCGCATCATAGAAGAGTCCAAGAAATGGAATAAAACATTCGATGACACCATGCAGAAAAAAGATGATGAAATCACTGAGAAGGAGAAGACTTGCGTGTTCCTTAACACTGAACTGAAGCAAGTTACAGCAAAGGTTGAGGAGCTTCAAGTCGTATTAGCCAGGTAAAACAACTCCCTATCTCAAGCCTGTTTCTTTTTTGAAATAGCGTGTTGCCTCTATCTGCATTAAGTACCAATCCAAGAACAAGGTGAAATACATCCTTCAAACAGTCAGAGCTCTGCATATTGCATTGGCTTGGTTTACAGAAGTATCTTTATTCATTCATTAAAGGGACACTCCATTGCGGGTGCCCTCTCCCTCCCACCTCTCATCCCCGGTTGCTGAAGGGGTGAAAACTCACTTACCTGAGACCCCGCTGATGTCCTTCGGCGGTGGTTTCTGCTCGCCGCTGCTCCTCCCAGTCATTACGTCAGCCGGTGGGCGAGACTGATCCCGTCCGCTGGCTGAGGAGACCTAATGCGCATGCGCGCATTAGAGCTCTCCATAGGAAAGCATTTAAAATACTTTTCAGTGCTTCCCTATGGGGAATTGAGCGACGTTGGAGGTCCTCACACAGCGTGAGAACATCCAGTGACACTCTAGCACAGAAAACCTGTGCTATGGACACGGAAGTGCCCTCTAGTGGCTGTCTTGTAGACAGCCACTAGAGGTGGAGTTAACCCTGCAAGGTAATTATTGCAGTTTATAAAAAAACTGCAATAATTACAGTTGCAGGGTTAAGGGTAGTGGGAGTAGGCATCCAGACTACTCCAATGGGCAGAAGTAGTCTGGGTGCCTGGAGTGTCCCTTTAAGAGAGAATTTCAAGTGAACTTCAATTTAAGGCCAAAATGAAAGCATAATTAATTGAGAATTTTTTTTAGGTTCAACTATTTCGACCTGAAATTTTAAATTCACTTTGAATATCCCTGTATATCTGTAGCTATAGGTCCATCTGCCCAAACTACATTAACATGTGAGAGGCTGTGGTTTTTCTGATCTTTATAAGATCTTGTACGTATCTGGGAATCACTAACAATAGCAACGGTCCTTTTAGCTGTCAATAATTTGTTGCTAAATCATTGTGATGCATAGAAACAAACTCCTAGTAGGGTATAATTTGGCCGATAGATGTAATTGTCTATAGAACCTTATTGGGTGTGGAGTCTTCATGGCAAAGGGTTCGGCTAAGTATCAAAGGGTTACAGAAACAAGGTGTAGCTTAGATAGCACAAGTTAAAAGACATGGGTTCAAAGGCACGTGCATTGGGTTGGGCTGACTGTACTTATCTATACTGCGCAATAAAATATTAGCTCATAAATGCTGTACGCAAGAAATATAGATTTAAAAAAATTTCCAACAGCATTATAATTCTTTGTTTCCCACTAAGGTATGAAAGAGGATAAATTTGGTCTGTCCTTTTTGTTTTGGAGGTAGAATGCATGCGTAACAATCTCTGGACAATGCCAGTCAGCATTTATTCGTAGAGATGCATCGGCTCTATGCATCTTTGTGGAGCTTTCAATGTATTCTTGCAGGGCATGAAGATGCTTAATGAATTTAGTAGATTCACTATGATTTAGACAGTTTGTGGTCCCCTTTGCATGGGATGCCCCTAACTTCCACTATTTGGGTAAAAATGTAGTGTTTCATTCTTTCTCCCATTGGAGCATATTGTGTTTAATGGGTCTAGAGAAGTCTGTCAAAATAGAATAACACAATGACAAAGGTTTGTGCACTTAGTATCAAGACATATTAGCCCAAATATATCAAGCTTTGTAGTATCTAATGAAAAAACTAAATCCTTCCTCAAAATATTTGTCAGTCTCCTGTAGATAAAATGTTCTTCCGAGAGGAGATTAAAACAACTTTGCAGGTCAAGAAAATAACTCCCTCTACCTTTTGTGATACCAGCTCTGATCCATGTATTTAATGTTATGTCGGATTTGTAATGTCGCAAGCTATTCAAGGGCGTTACTATCAATGGACTGTTGGGCTTGATTAACTTGTGAGCGCATTCATGCCACAGTAGTAAATTTGAATCTACTATAAATTTGAGCAGATATGGGTCCTTTGGCATATGCTTCATGTATAATATATGATGGTGTCTATTATAAAGATGGTTTTGGAAGATGCAATCCTTTTAACTTTGTCTGTGTATTGCACATGCTTGTTTACTATTCTGTTTTATGTTCATCCTGAATACTGTCTTCTGTGTGAACTTCGTGTTCTATAAAAAACTATTAATAAAAATTGAAACACTGGGAAAAAAATAACTAGTGTTCAGTTTTACCTCCGTCAGTTATGTTTTGGTCATAAGGTCCATAATCAAATTACTCTTGATCAAATTTTCCATTATCCATTCTACTACGTTTCTAATGCTTCTGTCATCTTTTTATTTTAGACTAGAGGTGCAAAATCAGGAGCTCTCTGCAACTCTGAAAACTGAAACCGAGGCCAGTCTGAAAACACGAGATGCTTTATTTGAGGAGAAGGCCATACTTTCTTCTTGTCTAGAAGAGGAGCAAAAGCTCCACACTGCCTGCCAGGAAGAGCTTAAATTGCGGAATTCTGAGGCTACAGAGAGGCTTAATCATCTGCAGGCTGTGGAGCTTGAACTGAAGCGTCTTGAAGCTGAAAGGGAAGATCTTGATGGAGCACTGAAGACATCAGAGACAGAGGTCCAAGACTGGAAGCTGCGCTGTGAGCAGATTCAGTGCGACTTGCAAGCATCTAAAACTCTGACAGAGCAGTTGCACCGTGAACTGGAACAGAAAGAGCAGGACGTAGTTAGACTGCTCAGTGCGCGAGATGAAGCAGTGAGCACAGCTGTTGGGGAACTACATGAATTACATGCTGCTGAGAGCAGAGCACTGGAAGAAAGGCTGGTAGAGGGAGAGAAAGAGCGCAGACAATTGCAAGAGAGATTAGAATCCATCACTTCCCAACTACATTCCACTAAGGAGGAAGACAGCCAAAGTAAAGCTCAGCTGGAGGCAATCTCAAAGTCCATGTGCTCGCTCCAAGAAGAACGGGAACGCTTATTGAGTGACTACCAACAGTTAGAGCAGCGACACATTGATGCTATCCTTGCCAAGGATGGGTTGATCCAGGAAGCTGCACGAGAGAGCAATGAGCTGCGAGAAGAGTTAAGATTTCAGAGGAGTCACACTGATGACCTAAATGCACAGAATGCCAAGTTAAATGCAGAGCTGACTCGCTACCGGGAAGATTTGAAGGAACTTATTTCACTGAAAGATTCACAGTTGAAACAGCTCTTGGGAGAAAAGTTGCAAGAAATAGAGCGGATGCACCATGAGCAGAATATCCAAGAACAGCAGTGGAAGCAAGACAAAGACCACATGGAGTCACTTAAGAAGGAACTGGAAGAAGTCCTGCTGGAGAAACAAAGAATGCAGCATGAGATTGAAACCTTGACTCTCTCGGTGTCACAGCTACAGAGTGAAATAGATGCAAGCAAGCTCCGACTTCTAGAACAGGAGCAAGAGATACAGAGACAGCAAGAAGAGTTGTCACAATTGTTAAAAGAATCTGCTGATTTAAAAGAAGAGAACTCTCGGGTTAAGGCAGAAGCTGAACAAAGAATACAGAGTGCAGAAATGGAGCTGGATAAGAAACTGAAAGGTATCCAACATGATACGGGTATTTTGCGCAATGAGACAGAAACTGCTGAGGAGAGAGTGGCAGAACTTGCCAGGGATCTTATTGAAACTGAGCAGCACCTTCTGAATGTGAAAGAAGAGAACTCTGCTCTTACAGCACAACTCCATGCATTTGAAGGCTCCATGAGGTCTCTGCAAGACAGTCATGACTTTGCACAGGAGGAAATTCAGAGACTGCGCGACCAGATTAAGGAGATGCCAATCCCTCAGGAAGATCTCAGCACTGTGATAGCAGAGAGGGATACATTAAAAGACCTAGTATCACAGAGTAGAGAAGAGCAGCAACAAATGCAAATGCAGCTGGAGGAGCAAGCACACATAATACAAATTAGAGAAGCCGAGGTCATCAGAATGACTTCTGAACTTCAGTCTTCACAAAGTAATCTTCAAGCACTATCCAAAGCCATGGGAAGTCTACAAGAAGAACATGGGCATCTAAAAGAACATATCCAGAGACCGTATATGGAGGTGGAAAGGACATTACAGAGCCCAGACATCAGGGATAGGAAGGTGTGTAGCAATGTAGTTTAGATGGTATAAGATGTATGCTGTAAGTTCTGTGACATGATATTTTTTTTTTTTTTCCCTCTCAGGAATCTAATCCTGCTGGAAAAGATCCCCTACATGCAGAGCTACAAAGTATTAAGGAAGAATTGCAGCAGCTACACAGTCAGCTTACCGATGCGCTTGCACAAGTGCACCACAAAGAGCTGAGAATACACCAGCTCAATGGCAAGGTGAGAAAGCACAATTTGAGGGAAGAAAACAAAAACCTTTTGCTTTCCAAAAAGACACTTGTATAGCAGAACATTTGCTTCTGAACGTATTCATTCATGATAGGTTTTTGTTTTGGCTTTGTTCAACCTTAAAGGTTGAATTTAACCCTTTAAGGATGGAGGCAATTATCCAAGTTCTGAACCAAAACAAAACCTTGAATTTGAGCTCTAGGTTTGTTTCACAGTAATTTTAAGAGTTTCTCTTCAAGTTCCACCATACATAAAATATATCTTTTTTTATTATTATTAATTTTTTTATTTTTTTTTAAAGACAGAAGGGACTTTCATTTTTTGTTTATAATAATTGTACACATAATTTTTACACATCCAGTGCAATTAATTTAAAAAAAACTCAACATAGATCAGGCATGATTTAACCCTGCTCAAACCAACTCCGTAGGCTGTTACATGCTGTTTTAAAGATATTTTAAGCTCACTCTGTGTAGGTTGGCATAGAATGTCCTAACATCCTTAAGAGTCTAAACATCTTCTCATTTACTTTTCAGGAGACAGATTAAACATTATCTTCATGTTGGGGGCTTTGTGTTTGTTGTCTAGAATGTGATATTCTTGTGCTTTAAGGTTGTTGTTTATGATTGTAGCTTTGTTTCATGTTCTTTTTGTGACTTATCGTGTCTTCCATTTCTGCCTGTTTTAGCTCTCTCATATATTTGAGGAGAAGAATGCTTTGTCTCTGCAGCTAAGAGGGAGCAGTCAGAATCTTAGAGATGCTCTCAACCGAAATGCTTCCCTCGAGAGACAGTTACAGGAACTCCAACCTATGACTCAGGTGACAAAAGATTTGTGAAATTGTTAACAAAGGGCTTAGAGGACCCTAAAATATTTGTAATTGGTTTTTTTTGTTTTCTTTTTAAAGATTACTGCAAGATGAAGATTATTGCAGAGTAGTCAGCCACCTCATAAAGTAAACCTGCCATAGTCCTCTGGAAGACATTGGTCCTCATATAGACTCTATAACTTGGTGGAACAAATAGATGTAGCAAACCACTAATAGAATGAGCTAGTGTGGAAATAGATGGGTACAGAAAGAAGAGAAATCTGATGTTGCTATACTTTAATTTTATGTGACTCCATTGTGTTACAGGAAGTATTGCAGAGTAATTCTTCTGCTGCAGTTTCACATGAAAAAATGGAATACCAAACAAGAGGAGATAGGCAAATAATGGAGTTACAGCAAAGGTGAGATTATTTTTTTTTTTTATTATAATGGCATTAAAATTAAATGACACCATCTTAAAGGCTGACTGATATTTCAGGTTGTCTAATAAAATTTTAATTTTTTTAAAAACTCCTAAAATACTGTATCCCTGGTCACTTCATTTGTTTTCAGTTCTCAAGGCATACATTACACACCTGTTGGAGTAGACTTTTCAGAGTTTGTAAACCTCTTAAGGTCCAATAACTGGGTTTACAATTTCAGCCATATTTAATGGCTATTTGCCACTGCACATCTGGCGGGTCTGTAGTAAACTCACTAGGGCTATATATCGTCACTCACAAATAGCTATTTGAGAATAGAAGTAGAAATTTTGATCCCTTCAATTATTCTGTGCTATAAAATGATTTCCTTGAGTGTTTCTTTTTGATTAGAACATACCGTGTTTTCGGGGGCCCTTATTCATTTTTTTTTTTTTTTAGCAGTTTTGTTGGCCATAGTACTGCCTGCCATAAGCAGTCTTATTGGTTTGTGGAGGATTATTTTTCTATATTTTTTTTTTTTTTTGTCAGTTTGTGTTTTCATTTAGGAAGAGATGGGAGGTGGTTAATTTGATCTATGTTTTTTGTCGTTTGTTTTTATTACTTTCATCGTATTACAACTGATGTGACCACACGTTGACCGCAGTCATGTAGAATACAGCATTCTAAAAATGGCAAAAACTCGTGCTAGTGAGTAGTGGAAACTTTCAAAGTATCTAAAAAGTGATAAAAGTTGAGCAAACCTCAATGGACTGTGCTTGCTGGAGCTGCAGGTTCTAACACAATGTGGGGGGAGGGATTTTTTTAAAATAATTTTTTTTTGTATCAGGTGGATTCTTGTTCAGATGAATATATCGGTAAAAAACATTGTTTAATTCAAGTGGTCAAAAATAGCTGTATTTGTTTTTTTTTGTTTTTTTATTATAATTGTATATTTTGCTTCCTAAGCAGCAGTAGCATTCTCAAGAGTTGCACTTTCATTTGGTTATAAATAATGCAATGTATCCAATACGTTCCTCTTTTTATTGACTGGAAAGTAACCAAAAAAAGTCAAGTAATTCTATAGCAAATCTTTATTACTGCACATATAATTTACGAAGTTAAGTGTTTTGCTTATGAAAATGTTTTGTTTTTTTTTCGTTTTTTCATTTATTATACTCCTTTGATACTTCATGCCTGCAAGTCATTCTACCTGTGTGTTTCATGAAAACCTAGAGCTTGATTCTATTGTATAGATTGCATAGATGTAAGGGAGCCACCAGTGGACCCACCATTTATCCGCATTTCATTTCATGAATTGCTGTTTACACTTTGCATAAATTGCAACAAAAGTCCCTGGCATCATAATCACTACATTGCCCAGCAGTTTTTATGGTGCCAGATATCCTGTAGTCAAACCTGGAGCCTGTCGGCTGCCTCTCTCCAACTCCATTACTTCCAACAGAGTCAGAATCAGTCGGCTGAAACTTTAGCTCCGAAGCACTTGGCTAGGCTCCTAAAGAGGAGTTCTGTTTCAAGTAGGAGGTTGAGTGGTGCCCAGTGGACCCAGATAAGTAGTTAAACTATCTTGAAACCGGTTGACTGCTTACACTGAGGGGGTAGGAATACCGGGGCACAGTGTGTTGCAGTGACTACAGTGCTTGTAGGGCTTCTTTTAAGCATTTGATTAAAAAGGTTGTATCTAATATACATTTTTTTTTTTAAATGTGCATTCCTGATGTTGAAGAGTCTGTAATAGTTTGACTTTCTGTCTGGACTGCCTCTCTTATTTTGATGTGGGGACTTTGTTGCATAGAGCAAAAGATGATGGTACTGAGCGTTTGATTCCGTGACCCCCTAGGTATCTAGAAATGGAACAGATGAACAGTGAGGCAGAACACACTAGGATGGAGCTGGAACAGCAGTTAAGAGAGGAGCGCCGAAGAGCAGAGGAACGAGAGCAAGAGCTAGAGAACATGAAACGGTAATTATAGACTGGGATTAACCATGCCCGATATTGACAAGGGAAATGCTCATTTAGGCTTAAATAGTGTAACCGATCCCCTGTACTCCGGCTGAATAGGGTAGAGTCTCCCTAGTCTCGCAGAGTGAAAGTGAATATAGCCTTTGCATCCCCAAATATCAGCCAAGACTGTATGAAGGGTACATCAACTGGTTTTATTCAGGAAAGCCTACAGGTATTTATACACAGACCCCCAGCATGGGGTCTCCATTCATTCTGTCATAAGCCCGCCCAGGTGTCTGTGTCTGGGGAGTAATTGAGTTAGACCTTGGTAAATCAATTATCTCTTGGACACAGAGGACACAACAGAAAATACCACAAGCATAAAACAACAACATACCCATACAAGTTATACCTTCCTTGAAATATGGGATACGAGCGCCCATCCTGTGAAAATAGAGCTCGGATCCACAGAAAATTGTCCAGTTGCCACCTGCTTAACTTTGGACCAAACACTTTTAACATCTTGGCCGAAAAGAGTTCCATGCAGCCGGTGCCATGTTGCGGTCTTTTACCTGGGACTCCAGCTGGTTGGAAAAAGGGAGCACCCTCCTTCTCACAGGAAGCGATTGTGCAGGAGTTAGGTGTAAAGTGCGCATTCCTAGCTCTTTGGGAAAGGAATTAAAACAGGGTATTGAACTGACAGATGTGAGGCACTGGCTTTTAGCTGGGCTGGAGTTCCAGAGGGATTGTTCGTAACTCCTGCTGGCCTAAAAGTGTTTGCTGGTAGGGAAACTTGTGAGAAAAGGTATACCGGGGAGGGAACGAGAGTGATCATTGCTATTTGTAGTAAACTATGCCTAAAAGACAATGTTTTTTTTTAGGGTTTGTTTGTCTTTGAATTTTTGGTTCCAGTTAATTTAAGCAATAAATAGTAAACCTCAAGGCATGTTAATATACTCAGCCTATCATTACAGCCAGGTTAGTCTGAATTTCTATTGATTGCATTAAAGAGTAAATTCTCCATTATTAAAGGACCACTATAGTGCCAGGAAAACATACTCGTTTTCCTGGAACTATAGTGCCCTGAGGGTGCCCCCACCCTCAGGGTCCCCCTCCCGCCCGGCTCTGGAAGGGGGAAAGGGGTAAAAACTTACCTTTTTCCAGCGCTGGGCAGGGAGCTCTCCTCCTCCGATCCTCCTCTTCTCCTCCCTTGCGGCTGAATGCGCACGCGCGGCAAGAGCTGCGCGCGCATTCAGCCGGTCACATACGAATGCTTTCCTAATGCTTTCCTATGGACGCTGGCGTGCTCTCACTGTGAAAATCACAGTGAGAAGCACGCAAGCGCCTCTAGCGGCTGTCAATGAGACAGCCGCTAGAGGAAATAGGGGAAGGCTTAACCCATTCATAAACATAGCAGTTTCTCTGAAACTGCTATGTTTATGAAAAAATGGGTTAACCCTAGCTGGACCAGGCACCCAGACCACCTCATTAAGCTGAAGTGGTCTGGGTGCCTAGAGTGGTCCTTTAAGGACAAGCCCCAGATTCATTGAAACCAATCCATGAGAGTTTGATGAACCGCTGTGGGATGGAACCCATAGCGTCTTTGTACCATAACCACTACATTGAGATGTAGTAGTTAGAGTGCTTCTGGTACTCCTTTTAAAGGAACACTATAGCAATAGGAATGCATGTTTCTAGCGTTGGTGTCTTACCACCTATGTAGGTTACAGTTCGTGGCGTGCTGGTCTCCGTGCTGGCACTCCACCTCCCTGGTTGAGGTAATCACTCTATGATCTCAGCCAATCCTGTGCATCCCCATAGGGAAGTATTGGAAGACTAGTGTGCATGCGCAGCAAAACGTCCTGCTGTGCCAATCAAATACTCTCCGTGAGAGTTATTTGAGCTATATCCGTTTAAATCAATTATTGCTGCGGTAATGCCTCTAGTGAATTTGACAGCCCACTAGATGCATATGGCAATACGCATATAGTGGCAAAATGGCAATGTTTTCTCTTGTAGGTTTAAACAGACAGAGACATAGCATCTGGACCATGTTATTGAGATGAAGTTGTCTGTGCTGTGTGGCTTTCGAGTCCATTTAACTGGCTACTAAGGGATTAATGGAAATTACATTTTTGCTAAATTCCCTTTTAGACATGTGTAGTTAAGAAAGTTTAAACTGCAAGTGTGTGAACATTCCCAGTGGAAATAGTAACCTGACCGGTACTAGAGTGTCCTCAATTATCAATTCTATTTTCCAGGTTACAGCCATGTGACTGGTCTGTCTCTCAGGATCCTGATGTAACCAATGATCTGTCTTTATTGATAGAACCAGAAAATGTGCTGAAGGGTAAAGTAAGCAAGGTAAACATAGACATTCCTTTTCTATCGAACATCCACTACTGTCCATCATCTCATTGTAACCTAGACTAGACCAATATCATTGCTGCACTTTTTATACGTTTCCTCCCCAATCTGCCTTTTATCTTCAGTCTTTTTCGGTCTCCGTTTATGCTATCCTCTATGACCTCTCTGTCATTCCACCCTCATTGGATCCTACTGCTCACTGCTTTAAGATGGTTTACTAAATGCTCCTCTTCTCTCCATTCACAGACACGGAGTACATCCTTACGCAGACAGTTACGAAATACCTTCTTTTCTCGCACACGGACTCCAATGCTGGCTGCACTTTACATTTTAATTATCCATGTGCTGTTGCTGCTCTGCTTCACTGGACACCTCTGATAGCGTATATTTCACCTCTGAGGAGTCACATGAGGATCTATTAGTGGCGTCTAGAACGAATCTTGCAAAGATTTTTAATGGGGATCTCACCGTGCCCAGAGGTAGTAACAGCAGGAATTCATATACAAGTGGCCAAAAACGAAGGGCAAGCTCCTGTTCACTGATGACCACACTACTTCAGGAAAAGACAATGTGCTGTTGAATGACTTGCTGGAATCTCTTCGCTACTGATACTGGTCCTCTTTGATTTCCTTCCTCCATGTACCAACTCACCTTTGTTGCCTTTTCCACCTCCCAAAGTCTGACTGTAATACCCTTTTGCGATCTATAAAATGAAGGTGAATCTTAAGACTGTCCTGTGATCTTCTACTTCCCATCAATCATTTGCTAGATGATGGCTTAGAGGTATAAGTGTACCTCTGTGTAAATATTATGTATAGTACATGAGTACAATATTTATGTACAGTTGAGCGCCAAAGGTTTAATGGTATTAAGGAATAAATATTGTATGTAGACATGGCCATCAAAATGGGATATCTCAATGTATTTTGTATGTTCCATCTCCCTTGCTTTTAAATGAGCTACACTTTATTTTCTGCTTCAACTGGTCCTGTAAAAGCTATCCTGGATGTGTTCAAGTTAATTCTTGTATTACAATGTGATTTTTGTATGTATTATTTTACCCATTTTAAATGTTGTGTGGATATTTATTGTATGGTACATGAGAGCCGTTGATCTTTTAGATATTCTGTAGAGCTGTAATAACCTTAACACCTTAAGGCCCAAACTTCTGGATTAAAAGGGAATCATGACATGTCATGTGTCCATAAGGGGTTAAAAAGTTTAACAAGTTACTCCGGGAGGGCGCCAAGGGTTATGGTTCTTGGAGTTTGACAATTTACTTTGATTACCCAATCTCCTACCTTGAAACTGCCTGCTTCTAGATTCTTCCTGCAAAGAGAATCTGGTTCACTCCATGGAGTTAAGCAGTGCTGCTCTCATAGGCTGAGGGTGTCAACTGAGCACTCTGAGCCACTGAGTGCACTCTGCATCAGGCTGTGCTTAGCTCAGGGGAGAAGTCATTTGAGTGGGGGTGCTCAAGGGACACAAATAAGTTGTCAAACTGTTCATAAATGCTTTGCTAAGTTATTCTGGAAGAGGTCACCACACTCCCGGCACCATAACCACTACATCCGACTGTAGCGGTTATGGTGCTTGGATTGTTCCTTTAACTCTGCAAATGTTCTATGTACTACATGTCCCACCATGCTCCATACATCACGGAACATCAACAAACCTCTACTGTGCCATGTGTATCTAATACTGCTATACAGACTAGAGCATACCTGTCTGATTTCTTGTACGAGGTGGAAACATAAATAAGAAATCACCTGTTACAGTATAGAATAGCTTCCTAGAGATCAGTTACTTACATACCATACAGTAAAATACATTCCTGGACTCCTTGTTTCTCCAACTACATATGATCTGGTTTGTTTATACAATAACTTGTCTTTTTTGTACTTTTCCGCAAAACATGTATACATTTCCGTTACAAGTGTAATACTGTATATTATCAGAATTGATTTCTATTAATATGATTTAGTAATGCATAGAAATTAGGGAATATAAGAAATTCAGAACATTTTAATATATTGATGGAGCTAAATTGCAAACACATTTATTAATAGTTACAGGATTTTAATGGCGGTTTGGTTACAACACTGCTTATTCTTCTTTGTTCAAAGTTTATAGCTTTGAAGGGATTGAATCATAAACCTTTTGAAAGTTTAAAAATTGCATTATAGGTGTCGTTTTGGGACATTACAAATGATTTAAACATATTTGTACAATTATCCATTTCCATTACATCCAAAAGTCGTTCTATGATACAAATGTGCCATGGCTTTAATCTGAATGAATCAAATGGTATATACTTTTAATAACTGTATTTTTTTTTTTTTTTTTTAAACATTAGATTTGTCATAGTATCATTACATCTCAGTTCATTCAACACAAGTCCTTGTTACACTTTGAAAATGTATTCTTCTGTTAAAATAGGCTGGGCTCTGATGCCTTTTATTTCTTTATTTGAAACTGGAAACACTGCACCCAGAGCTTCTTTATACCCTAAATGTAACACTAAGAAGATGTAGTTGGTATATTATCTAAATGGTCCTTTTGGGTGAAGTGGTAGCCATTCTGAATGCAAGCATTTTCAACCCTTCCGTTACTGATACTGTTTAAGAAATGGTTGTTTGACCTTCCTAGTGATGTTTAATCTTAATGTTGCTACAAGGAAGAACAAAATTGTAATAAATATTTTAATAAAAAAAAAAAAAATAGAACACATTTAAAAATGTTAAACACTAAATATAAACATTGTGAAAAGTGCCATAAAAATGCAAACCAAAAATATTTTTCTAAATTGGCCAATTAAGACTTAGTATAATCACTATGGTGTTATTCCTCTGGACTAATCACTGCTTTTCAGATTATTCAAAGGGATTGTGTGTTGTTAAACTAGATTGTGATAAATCCTTATTTAGAAAGGCAAGATTGAAACATTCCATCTTTCATGAACCTGTCCCTTGTATTTTTCTGTTTTTGCTTTGTTGGGGGGGGGTTGTGTGTGTGTATATGTGTTTATATATGTATACAGATATATGATTGTCTATGCAGAATATTTTACATTCATTCATCTTTTGTTTATAGTTCACATAAATCATTTCCTAATTAATCATGTATTTAATGCCATAGTAGTATAGGTGTGAGAGCTAATTACAACTAGCATGTGTGTTTTGGAAACTCCTCCTATTCCTGCATCTACGCTGTGTGTTTTTGGCATCTCCCTACACTTTTAATTATCCTATTGTCCAATCTACTATGTTTAAAGTGGACCCTGTCATGGAAGTTTTTAAATTTGAAATTAATCAAAGTCTACTTAAGGCAATTTTTAAATACAAAAAATAAATTTACATGTAAAATAATGTTTTCTTTTAATTATCATAATGTAGTCTGCAGTTCGGAGAGTTAGGTTTCTCCTCTCTTTGCACTCTGGATAGTCTTGTTCGGTCCTCATTCACTTCCCTGCAGTCAGTAGGATATTTGAAACCAGGACTGTTTTAATTGAAGTAGCTTTATCCTTACCAAAAGATAACAGAAGTCTGGATTTTGGTGCTGCTTTCCTCTCCCCTTTTGCTCTTTTTCATCTTTGCATACGTTCAAACCAATACCAAATACATGCACAGAAATGTAACTTTAAAAATGCAGATTGCTTGAGATCATGTCTACAGTTTCTGCACGCATGCTCTTTTTAATATTGCAACTAGAAATCTGCAAAGCATTATATGTCTCATTGTGCCGATTGGAACAGGCACAGTTTAAACAGGAGATGCTAATTAAAGGGACACTTCAGGCACCAAAACAACTTCTTCTAAATTAAGTTGTTATGGTAGCTGGAGGCACTCTTACATCAAGGAGTTGAACCATTCTTGAATGGATTAAACCCATAGTTGCCTCCAGCAGTGATGTCCACTCCTCGCCGGGCTGCATTCTGGTTCTGAATCATCACTCAAAGGTCCCTGCTGATTGATTGAGAGAAGTCAGCTGATGCTCTCAGCCAATCAGTGACTTCCCATTCACAAAACTTGCTTGGAAAGAAATGTACCTTTTCCAAGCCAGTTTAGTAAACCTCAGCGCAGATGATTTCACATACTATTCCAATAATGAATAATAATATACAAAACAATGTTTTCAAGGTTAAAAAAAATATGCCTTTTACATGACCAGTCTGCTTTAAAATTGCTTTTTTAACTGGTGTGTGGGTTATGCATACTGGTATTTTTGAGATTATTTACATATCATTCTATATATCATATATATTAATCTAAGGAGATGGAATTTCACTTATATGAAATCTTCTGAGATCACAGGACAATCTCAAGCCAGATTTTAATTATAAATAAAATGTATTTTTGAAATTAAATTTGTATGGATTTATGAGCATATCCTATGCTTTGCACACCCATTTCCTGTTTTATCATTCGTTTGATATGTTCTCAGGTCAAGAGTGTGTGTCTGGGAGTGAGAATGATGTGTGCTAACTGTGAGGGCCCCTCACAATATGTTATTTAAAGGTCTTTATAAAGCACACCCTTTTCATCTTGGAGTGCTTAAACCTCTTGTGGTTAACAGCCTGAAAGAAAGTGTATACTTGGTACAGCTGTAAATATCTTGTTAGATTAGAAAAATAGGAATTAGAAAAAATATATTCTAGGCCTAATATCTCGATTTTGTTTGAATTTGTTCAACCAAATGGAAGAATAAACGAATGAGTGGCGTAACTATATTCGTGGGGAGAGGGGGCGGGGAGTAGACTAAGGGAAACCCTCTGGAAATCTAAACCAGGTTTTTTTATTATGCTCATTTTGAGACTAAGCTTAGACAGAGACACACTGCATTTATGCAATTTTCATTCATTGAATTGTGTGTGAGCCATGACCAGCCAAGCCATTCTCACATCAGCCTTTTTTGTTTCAGTATTTGAATTGTTCAGGCTACGGAACCTGTTGGCGCTTTATTCGTAATAATAATAATGAGACACACACTGAGGCATTTTCTTTCTCTGCACACTTACTGTGCTGAGCAGCTTGCACACATTGTATTGCTAGAGCTGGGTACACTAAAATGTTTGCTGTGTTTTATTTCCTATATTTACATTTTAGTGGACAAATATGGGTCCTTTAGGTTAGAATGTATGACCTGTAGGGCTAGGATAGTATATAATTACTATTGTAGCTCCTAGAATAGATCCTTTTTAAATTCATTAAAAATTGATTGTTAGTTCAACTGAATTTTTGTGGCATGCAGCAATAGTACTCATCCTTGAGGTGCTGTTGATGCTGTAGAGTTGAAAGGCATTAGTAGTGCCCAAAACATCTTTAGCTCGTTAAAAAGAGCATTAAATTCCATCTATACCATTGTGCAAGCAGTTTTGAATGTATAGATTGGGAGAAAAACGGCTTAATGCCGTGGGTAAAAAAAAGATCAGTTCAGTTGCCATCATAGGCCCAGGCTTGACAGTGCCCCTAAAATGCAATTTTTGCAGTTTTAGTGGAACTGTTCAAGGTTAGCTTATTTAAAACACCAAGCTTCCCCTTTAAAAAAACTTTTTTAGAAAAATACTATTCTGGAAAAATCTTGATACTATCATCAATACTTTAAAGCTAAGGAGAGAAATAATATTTTAATATATAAAGAAAAAAAAAAACTAAAAATCCCATTATATTTGATTTCAATAACAAAAGCCACTCAATTACATCAAGTTCACACTCTGTTTTTGCTGTTGTTCCAAAGGTAGGTTACAACTTCAATTCAAAGCAATTCCCTGAACTATAACTAGAGTTGGGTATAAACAACATTTCTAGTTTAGTGTTAAGCTATCAACAGTAACAGCATTCCTTTTATTTATTATGTATTGGATACTTATGTTGTGTGTGTGTGGATGTAAAATAATATGTAGATGTGTTTATGTTTAAACACTGTAAGACGTGATGATTGCACAGAGGGGCTAAAATTAGGATTATTTTATGGAATGATGTAATGTTATTAAACATTTAACTTCACTATACACTCCCCTAGTTATTGATTAGGTGCAGCAGTCCAATATCTAGACTTGCCCAGTAGCTATTCCTTAACATAATTGGGGAAACATAAAAAAATGGAGAACATGAATGAAAGGAAAAGGAGAGACAGAACAAAATGGAGAGCATTTTAGGAAGCTAAAAAGTTAAAGTAAAATCTGGATGATAGACAATCACTGAACATCTTCTGGACAGACTTTCAACTGAAAATTGTATGTCGTCCATCTAGATTATTACCAATTACTGAAATACCACTGTGATGGAATTCCAGTAAAATAAAAGTTTAGTAGGCCAAGATTGCCACGTGGCATATGTAAGTACATGTGTTTGTAGTATCAGTTAGTTACACGTAGCTAAGATACTGTCATCAATGTACTGAGATGTGCAGGAATGTAGGAACTGAAATCACACTCCCTTCTCCTTTGTTTCGGATGAGCCACGTGGTTAGACTGGATGAGCAAGTCTAGACTCTGTTCATTGATTGGTTAAGGGTATGTGTGGGTGTAGCTATTTATGGGAGGAGCTATAGTGCTATATAAGGAATGTACTCCATGTGTTCGTGGCTCAGATCTGTTGTGGAACGTTAGTCCATCTGAGACCCGATCGGTACGTGCATTGGCCGGGAAGCTCATCGTCACGGTAGCTGAGACAGAGACGTGAGACGGTAGATCTTGGACTTCTGCCTGGACCTCCTTTCGTCTCAGCGCCACTGGCCTTTTGGCCAGGAGATCATCGGCTTCTGCGCAGTGAGTACCGGGGTGCCCCGTCGATGAGTGTGAAGCCCAGGTCCAGGAACGAAGAGGTAAGATTAATACCGATAGAGCGGTAGGCACACAAGTGGTTTGTATTTGGTTTGGTTGTATGGAATCTGCCCCTTCCCACTGGAAGGAAGAAGCGAAGGCGCAACGCTATAGTTCACTATATGTGGTGCTTGGGCAGCGTAGACTAACCGAATATTGATGTTAATAGTTCGATAGTTTTCAAGGTGCTGGCCAATTAGAATAGTTGGGATTATTGTAAATATTGTTAGATATACTGTAGTTGGTGAATTGGTTAAATTTTATGTCCTGCTAGAAAGCTTGAGCTCTGCTGTCTAGTGGGAGTGTAAATTGTGTGTATAACTATATAATAGTGCACGGTACCATAACCACTAACATGTATTATAATTACTGTCATTGTGTATTGTATATAACTATTAAAAACCTGTTGTTTTGTGTTATATGTGTAACACCATAACTGTTACTAATTGACCTGTGATTCTAAAACTGTACCATAACCATTTGCTAACCGTACCATAACTACTGATTGTAAAGACGATGTTACTGGAGTGTGTTATAGTTGGATAATTGAAAGTTGATTTACTGCGTGGATGATTGCAGGGTTAGATTTATAGTTACAGAGATAAGTATCTAGTGTTTGGTGAATCTTTGTGTGTGAAGACGTCATGTTATCACTGTGTGTGTGAGAATTCTCCGCGTGTTTTTGTGTGTGTTTGGCCTAGTAACTGTGCCACGTGGTGCTGTTGCCAGGGAAACGGGTGTGACTGCTGGGAGTTGGTTTGTTGTGTTTCTTTGAATTCGACGCTCTGTTGCTAAGTATGGGTGCGTCTGATTCAAAGATCGTTGATCCCTTGTCATGTATGCTAAACAATTTCGCAAAGGGATACAATGTTTGTGATTTTGGGGTAAAATTATCCCCAAAAGCGTCTGACTACATTGTGTAGCAGAGAACGGCCTGTTTTGGTGACCGCATGGCCTCCACGTGGTAGTCATGATCAAAATCTAGTGCAGCGTGTACGATTCCTGTTGCGAGAAGTCATACCTAGGTATGGACTCCCGTGCACTATAGGATTAAATAATGGCCCAGCCTTTATTCATCAGTGCCTACAACAACTGACTCATATGTTTGGTATTAAGTGGAAACTTCATACAGCATATAGACCTCAGAGTTCTGGGAAGGTGGAAAGGATGAACAGAACTATAAAAACCCAGTTGGCAAAAATGTGTCAAGAGACCCAGCTTAAGTGGAATGTTCTTTTGCCAATAGCTCTGTTGTGCATACACAGTACTCCTACCAGGAGAATGGTTCTGTCTCCTTTTGAAATTATGTATGGGCGTCCACCTCCTATACTCGGTAATCTAAGGGGGGATTTGAGTCAGTTGGGTGAAGGAATTACTCAGCAGCAGTTTGTAGAGTTGGGTAGAACTATGGAGGAAGTACAGAAATGGGTACAAGATAGGTTACCTGTGAACATATATCCACCTGTTCATTCTTACCATCCAGGAGATCAAGTGTGGATAAAAGAATGGAATAGTGTTCCATTAGGTCCGAAATGGAGAGGTCCTTATGTTGTTCTTTTGTCCACTCCAACAGCTGTAAAGGTGGCAGAAGTGACTCTGTGGGTTCTTCACTCTAGGGTTAAACCAGAGGCAGACTCTTGGCAAGCCACTCCAGACCCTGAAAATCCTTGCAAGATCCAGTTAAAGCGGGTGACTCAGTCGGAGTGAGTGCGAAGTATTGGGACATCGTTGTTGAAAGTACTATTTCGAGATCAGCAAGTAGGTGTTTTGACGGCAATAATAAAGCCTGACCATCTGCCTACGTGTCATAAGCCAGAGTGTCTCGAAGAGATCTTTGTGAAGGAAAGTGAGGATCAGAAGAACGCCAAGCCTTGCAGCCCTCACAGTCGGGAAGCTGAGGTGCTGTCGCACGGTCGAAGAGATAAGAATGAGGATTTCAGGAATAATTAATTTTATTGTGTGTTTATGTATTGTTATAAATTTTCAGGAAGGTAAGAGTACAGACATACAGAATTTTGATAGTTGCATTAAGACTACAAAAACAGGTAATCAAATATCCCAAACTCTTATTTGGCACTCACAGTATGAATGTAAGGGATCTGTATCAAAAATGTAGATATTTAGATATCGATTACAGTGTGTGTCACCCAGTAGTAGAAGAGCCTAAATGTTTTGATCCCCAATTCCAACCCCATATAAATTGGTTGGTAATTCGGAATAGTAACTCTCAGGGGATCTTGATAAATAGGACGGTGATAAATACCATACATTCCACACCACATTGTAAATCTATGGAGTGTAACGCGGTCCATATGACCATTTCTAATCCGCAACACTTCATGGACAAGTTCAGAAATCTATTTGGGTTCCAAATATACGGAACAGGGTTGGATCCTGGGGCTATTATATATGTAGGCATTGAAACGGAGACAGTAGCAACCCAGACTCATCAGGTTTTTCATTCCTTCTATGAGGAGATGAGTATTGAGGATAAAATTCCCCATAATGTTAAGAACCTATTTGTAGATTTAGCTAAGAGTATTGTGGGTAGTCTTAATGTAACTAACTGTTTTGTATGTGGAGGTACTAATATGGGAGACCAGTGGCCATGTGAAGCAAAGGAAGCATGGTACCCTGGTTCTGAGACAGATGAACAACAGATACTTTCTCAGTCTGATCATCAAGTAAGTACTAGAGGTAAATCAGAATGGCGGTTAAAAACCTCTATTATAGGTCATGTTTGTGTAGCTAGGAAAGGGATAATGTATAACACGTCTGTAGGTGAGTTAACATGTTTGGGACAAAAGGCTTACAATGATAATACAAAAGATACTACTTGGTGGTCAGCTTCAAATATCTCGGAACCTACTAAACCGTTTGCCAATTACACTAATTTGAAAGAGGTATGGTTTGATTTATCTGCTACATCCAATTGGAAAGCCCCAGCAAATCTCTACTGGATTTGTGGTAAAAAGGCATATTCAGAGTTACCACAAGACTGGGAAGGGGCATGTGTACTAGATATGCTCAAACCATCCTTCTTCTTGTTGCCAATCGAAACAGGAGAGACCTTGGGAGTTAAGGTTTCTGATGTAAATCATAAAAAGAAGCAAGCATCTTTGAATATAGGTAGCTGGGAGGATGATGAGTGGCCTCCCCAACGTATTATTAATTATTATGGACTGGCTGCTTGGACAGAAGATGGTACTTATGGATATAGAACCCCAATATATATGCTCAACCGTATTATAAGACTACAGGCGGTAGTTGAGATTATCACCAATGAGACAGCACAAGCGCTCAATCTCCTAGCTAAACACAATACTCGAATGAGATCAGCCATCTATCAAAATAGATTAGCTCTGGACTACTTATTAGCAGTAGAGGGAGGTGTATGCGGGAAGTTTAATCTAAGTAACTGTTGTCTGCACATAGGCGATGAAGGGCAGGCAGTGGCTGAACTTACCAGTCACATGGTTAAATTTGCGAATTTACCTACTCAGATCTGGAGTGGGTATAACCCAAGTAGTTGGTTTGGAAGTTGGTATGAGCAGCTTGGAGGGATTAAGGCATTAGTAGGAGAAGTAGTATTTATTATATTCCTATGTCTCTTTCTGCCCTGCCTAATTCTATTAGTGGTCAGGTCCATACGAAGTGTTATAGACAGCACTATTGAGAGGATGACAGCTGCCCGTGTAATGGCTGTCTGTAGATATGAACTTTTAGCCCAAAGAGAGCATACTCAGGATGGGGAATGCTGAAAGAATATGCTAAAGATTCTGTTCTGGTTCATGGCTACTTGAGAGGTGTTGGCAAATTATGATTGATGATGCATTTGGAATTATTTTAAATCAGAAGCATCAAAGGGTGGAATGTGATGGAATTCCAGTAAAATAAAAGTTTAGTGGGCCACATGGCATATGTAGGTACATGTGTTTGTAGTATCAGTTAGTTAGTTACACGTAGCTAAGATACTGTCATCAATGTACTGAGCATGTACAGGAATGTAGGAACTGAAATCACACTCCCTTCTCCTTTGTTTCGGATGAGCCATGTGGTTAGGCCGGATGAGCAAGTCTAGACTCTGTTCATTGATTGGTTAAGGGTATGTGTGAGTGTAGCTATTTATGGGAGGAGCTATAGTGCAAAATAAGCAATGTACTCCATGTGTTCGGGCTCAGATCTGTTGTGGAACGTTAGTCCATCTGAGACCTGATGGGTACGTGAATAAAGGCCTCTTACTTCCTAAATGCCTGTGTCCATCTCTCTGTGTTTGGCTTCTGCACGCTTCCACGGTTACACCACAGAGCTGTAACATCTCCATATTGATGGGGCTAACGTATGACCATTTTAATCCATTGTACAGTCCTGTTAAAGAAAAGCTTTTAAAAGTGTTTGTACTGGCCCTGTATACATAAGTAGAATGTGATTAGAATCTTTTGGAAAAGCTTTTTTTCTGAAGTAAACAAATGTAAGTTTTCTAGTCTTCCTTCATAACTTAAATAAAAAAAATTAAATAAAATACAGCTCTTACCTGCAGAGTGGTACCTACCTTGCTCCATCCCTAGCACAGACTACCTATAGCAGCAGCCCTCTACCTACCTACACCATCCAGGGCAACACTTCAACACGCAGGGTACCCTACTAGCATCCAGTGGGAGCAAGGACACCCATATACCTACTAGCAGCTCCCAGGCCTGCCTTTGTCCTCCTGTGCTCCCTGCTGACAACCAGTCCTTGCAGAGATGGGCAGACCATCCTCAGTGGGGGCACAATACACCTTCATTTGGTAAATGACAGATCGCTGTCACTGGGAACTTATCACCAAGATGCAACATGTGGCCCCAGACCAGCTTGCTGGAGACCCTGAGCAGGAGGATCCCCATGCATCTTCCCCAAAGCGGTAGGTACTGGAGTCAGACAGGCACGTGTGCAGTGTGTGTACTATGTCAGCTGTGTGTGCGTGTGTGCAGTGTGTTTACTATGTCCTCTCTCTCTCTCTCTCTCTCTCTCTCTCTATATATATATATATATATATATATATGTGTGTGTGTGTGTGTGTGTATGAACAGTGGTCCCGTTAACAATGTAAAATACTGTAATGTTGGGGGTCTGGAACGGATTAATCAAATTTACAAGCATTCCTATGGGAAATGTTGATTCAGTTCTCGAACGAATTGGAACTCGAACATCCTTCTGGAACGGATTAAGTTCGAGTTCCGAGGTTCCACTGTATTTTTACACAGACTCAAATCAATAAAGTGGTTTTGGAGCTTAGTGTAACCATTTAAAAAGACAAGTGGTGAAAACTATTCAGAATTTTGCAATTATATTTTTACCACATTAATTCATACTTGTTTTATGCGTAACAGTACATTACCGGCCTTTGCAGCTACTGACTGACCGACATTGCATATTGTTCCCTGGTCTGTTGTCTATAACTATTCCTGAATCCTTCTTATTTACATTTATGGTATACTTTGACAGTGTTAATCATCTTAAAATGAGTAATTTTGCATTTTGCAAATGATCTCATATTCCATTTTCATCTTATTCTTCACATGCCCCAAGCCAAATGCCTTCCACTCCATATAATTTGCAACTTTTACAATATGAGTGTTCAGCAGAATAACATGAGTGTATGTAAGGAGAGTGCTGAAGTATGTGATGTTAAAATCTGCGACAAAATGTATATAGTTAGAGTCTGTGACAGGGAGACCACAGAAGAGGAAGTATATTAAGAGACGTGAAATTAAAGAGAGGAACTGTCATAGCAGGAAGTAAGTAGGGCGAAGGAGACACTTTGAGACATAGTGCAGAAAAAAGACCGTAAGCCTGTCAAAGAAAGAGGTAATTTACAATAGGATTCACAAACCACTGTAAAAGGTAAGAAAATAAAATGTAATCATTCTTCTATTCCATGGTGTTTCGCAGTATGTTTAATTATGTGTGATTTTAGCCAAGCACATCAAACATTTACCTTTCCTAGGTATCTTTTCAATAGATCTCACTTCAGCTCAGGCCTAGTTTGTTGTTTCCATTACATTTTTTACTTGCGGTCACGTTTTGCAAATATCAGTCATGGATAATTGTAAAGTATAATTAGCTGGTGGGCAAGTAATACTTTTGTTCCAGCAATATCTTTGTAACTTTTCTAGATTCCGAATCATTTGGACAGGTCTGTGTCTCATAGACACCATCACTTCTTAAAAAATACTTTGTCTGGTATCTCCACTTACTTCATTATCTTTTTGGCCAAAACGCACACTTGATCTTAACAAAATTCCTCCAGTGCAGCTCTCTTACCCTCCATTCCATGTTTTACCTCTTTCAAAATTTGACAGGTCTGTGTCTCATAGACACCATCACTTCTTACAAATGCTTTGTCTAGTATCTCCACTCACCCCATTACCTTTCTGGCCAAAACTGACACTTGATCTTAACAAAATTCCTCCAGTGCAGCCCTCTTACATTCTATGTTTTACCTCTTCCAAAATTTGCTCTAAACCCTATCTTTGCTATTCATTATACCATGTCTAAACCACTGCATACAATTCTCCATATTCATCGATTTTGTCACTCAAATCTTATTGTAACGTCACCTTCTGTAACCTGCCTTCTTTGTGCTTCCTCCACCCCCGTTCAGCTTCCTCTAACCACAGAGATTTCAGACTAAATAAGGAGAATTGTTTTTTGAAATGCATTGTCCCCTCCTACATGTGCTTTTGTATTTGTATATTATTTATTAACATGTGTCTGACACAAGACTTTAGCATGATTTATGGAAATATAATCACGTTATGTCAGGTTTGGCAACATCATCTTAAAGACCACGACAGACGGACAGATGGAATAGCATAACGATAACACACTCCATGGCTAAAGTGACCTTCAAACCAATGTAAAAACAATGAATGATTTTCTTTTATACAGAGAAATCACATGAGAAGGAGAAAGCCAGGGACAGCTCTCTAAAAAAAAAGCTTATACTGCTAACATTATTTTTATCATTCTCTACATCGTGATTTTTATAAAATTAAGTTACAGAATAAAGACATGGACTTCTACATTTAATGTTATTTTTCACACTTTACAAATACGCATTTGCTAACTAACAGTTCTCCTTTAATTGCTTGAAAAAACTATGCAGTAAATTTTGTGACAATTGAACATACATAATCATTCTTAATGTCATACTATTGCAAACAGTTTTCCTCATGCAAGCGAGTAATCTGTAGCCTGCAAGATCTCTTTGGCTGTGTTGCTTGTGTGACACTCAGCAAAATGCTCACACATACACGGTTGTTCACTAAAGTGAAAATTCAAGGTGAATTCAAAGTGAATTTCAAATTGAAGATCAAAATAGCTGAACTCGACAAATTGGATTTATTTTTCACTTAGGCTGTTTTTTGGTTTGTAATTACTTTCACATTTACTTTATTTTGCTAGCTCTATCTGTTCGTGTCACTCTGAAAAACCTAGTTCTGGGATGGAACTTTTTTGTTGAACTGGACAAATTCAGCTGCTCTGGCTAGGATCAACCTTCAAACGACCTGGAACTCACGGCTATCCTGAGCGCTTTCCTGGTGCCAGTACCACCTAGCAGGGTGTTTTTTGGAGGTTGCTATCGGTCAGGCATGCCATACCTCTGGAGCCTCGCTCCGGTTCTGTGATAGTCCTGAGCTTTGGAAGGGTGCTGAAAAGGAGGCATGGCTGGGATGGGGTAGTCTAGCGAATATAGCTCCTTCAAGAGGAGGTGGAGGGTTGGAGAGCCAGGTATAGTTAGGTAAGGGTAATGGGTGGGGAAACTAATGTACTCAGACAGGAGAAGTGTCTCCTTCCTTGGGCAGGGGGCTAGCAATTACGCTCCTCCAGGAGTCTGTGGCTAAAGGAAAGCTTGCCACAGTCCTTTTTAAAACATACTTTAATCCGAAACTATATAAAATATTTTTAATTCTATCTACGTTTGGGGGAACCCCTTTCATATGACATAAACTCCTTTTGGACAGGGTGTTATGGTGACATGTGATTGAATGAGAGAACCTGATTGGTGGAGCCTCGTCCTGGTCTAGAAGAAGCCAATGCTTACTAGCACTCCTCTTAATTTAAATATTCATCATTCCACTTTTTTCTATAGGATATAAAGTGTTGTGATACTTTTTCAGTACAAGGATTATAAAGGCCAAATGAGTGTCCAGGGTTGCTGTATTTCTCATGCAGAGAGACCTTGCTGGCATTTTGGATATGGTATAGGTTTGCTCTCTAATGACACAAGTGAACAAACTGAGCACAAGTGTCCAAAACCTTTTTGAGACTTGAGCACAGATTAAAGGGAAAGCTACTAAGGCTTATGAGCTCTTCTATAGAAAATAAACAAAATGATCCCCTAAACGAGGACGTGTGTTTGTTAATTAGCACTTTAAAAAGTCCAACAGTGATTAAAAGCAATTTTAAAACACGTGTGGGAGTACCCTCCTTCCCACACTCCAAATCGATAAGTGAACTAGTGTTATAAAAGCATTAAAACATATATATATATTAGTGAAGCGCTTATAAAAAAAAAAGGGGTGGGGGGGGAGGTGGATTCTGCCTAAAGAGCGTGAAGGTGCAATCTACTATTTCAACAATTGTCACGGTGTTCTCCGTGTAAGTGGTTCGAATTACTATCCCATAATATACCATCTGTACAATTAATGTATACCCCCACTTAACTTATATGTTACTTAACATATAAGTTACTTATATGCAGGGGTCAAGTCCTGGGGAAAAAAGTGTGGGAACTCACCCAAGATTCCCACCCCCCCCCTTAAAAAAAAAAATTACACTCCTATGCATATAGTGCAGTGCAGGGTGTGTATAATGAATGTAGTGTGTTTGTAGTGAGTGCAGAGTATGAATAATAATTGTAGTGTATTTGTAGTGAGTGCATAGTGTGTATAATGAATGCAGTGTGTTTTTAGTGAGTGCAGAGTGTGTATAATGAATGTAGTGTATTTGTAGTGAATGCAGTGTGTATAATAAATGTAGTGTATTTGTAGTGAGTGCAGTGTGTATAATAAATGTAGTGTATTTGTAGTGAGTGCAGTGTGTATAGTGAATGTAGTGTTTTTGTAGTGAGTGCAGAGTGTGTATAATGAATGTAGTGTGTTTGTAGTAAGTGCAAATTGTGTATAATGAATTTAGTGTGTTTGTAGTGAGTGCAGAGTGTGTACAATGAATGCAGTGTATGTAGTGTGTTTGTAATGAATGCAGAGTGTGTATAGTGAATGTAGTGTGTAGTGAGTGCAGAATGTGTATAATGAATGCAGAGGGTGTATAGTGAATGCAGAGGGTGTATAGTGAATGTAGTGTGTTTGTAGTGAGTGTATAGTGAATGTAGAGTGTTTGTAGTGAGTGAAGAGTGTGTGTATAATGAATGCATGTGCGCTGGATGATGTGTGTGAGTGCGCTGGATGATGTGTGTGAGTGTGCTGGATGACGTGTGTGTGAGTGCAGGATGATGTGTGTGTGTGTGAGTGCTGGATGATGGGTGTGTGTGTGCTGGATGATGGGTGTGTGTGTGCTGGATGATGGGTGTGTGTGTGCTGGATGATGGGTGTGTGAGTGCTGGATGATGGGTGTGTGTGTGCTGGATGATGGGTGTGTGAGTGCTGGATGATGGGTGTGTGAGTGCTGGATGATGGGTGTGTGTGTGCTGGATGATGGGTGTGTGAGTGCTGGATGACGGGTGTGTGTGCTGGATGATGGGTGTGTGTGTGCTGGATGATGGGTGTGTGAGTGCTGGATGATGGGTGTGTGTGTGCTGGATGATGGGTGTGTGAGTGCTGGATGATGGGTGGGTGGGGGGGGAGCATTTTTTTTTAAACTTTATGTGTATGTATATTTTTTATTTTATTCCCCCCTCCCTGCTTCTTACCTTGTCAGGGAGGGGGGAGATCGCCTGGTGGTCCGGTGGAGGGAGCCAGCCGCTGCACAGAGGGGCCATCACACGCAGTGTTCCTTCTCCAGCTCTAACTCTCGCGAGACTCGCCTGTGCGGAGCGTTGCCATGGTAACAGCCGCGGGTCTCGCGAGAGTTATAGCTGGAGAGGGAACACAGCGTGTGACGGCCCCTCAGTGCAGGTAGCAGGGCCGGTCCTGCAGGACAGGTAACGGGAACGGCGATCCTGCTTTGGAAAAAGTGCAGGAACGCCGTTCCCATGCGTTCCTGCAGGACTCGAGCCCTGCTTATATGTAACTTATATGTTAAGAGTAAGCAAATTGCATGTTTCATTATTTTTTATAATATATGTTTTAATTTTAATACTTGTACAACACTAGTTCTGAGCTCTTCTGCCTGTTCTCGTGTTCTCTGTTTTTTCTTGAATTATAAATGTCATGGCACTGGGCTGTGTGTTTTTTCTGCAGAAATTTACCAGTGATCCCTGCTTTTAAGTAAGCTACCAATGTCCAGTTTTTGTTTTTTTCACTGTGACTATATATATTCATTTTCAGATGTGGAAGGCAGCAGTGGGACACAAAGTGAAAGTGGCGGAAGCTGACGGAGATGATTGGGAGACAGATCCAGACTTTGTGGTAAGTTCTGGGCTGCTTCAATTTTCTACTAGAATTTGTAAGGTGATTTTATACCTTTAAATTACTATTTTAGGTACAGTTATTCTCCTGGTTGTGGAGAATAAACTCCATTAAGATGATTGTGGCGAATATTACCCTGGGCTGGGAATCTTGGGTTCCGGGGTTACTGTTTATATGCAGGTTGGTCATGGCAACCACCTGAGAATGTGGAATGTGGGAATATGTTTGAGTTTGGGAGAGGGGTCATAGCAACTTCATGGGGAACACCCTTTCTATGCTTCCCTGTCGCCTCTTATGTCTAAGTCACTCTGTGCTTATTGGAGGCACAGCCTGACTAAGCAGTTGTGAGGACTCCATGCGGCCAGGAGGGCTCCATGCACCTGGAGAAACCTGGAAATGCTATAGAACTGCCAAGTGTACCAAAACTGTGACATAACCCACTTAAAATTTAAGTGAACGTAGCACAGACCCCATGCAACAGGTTATGTCGCTATTTTAACGGATTGGGCATTTGGGGACAAGTTATGTGGGGGTTATGTGTGGGAGGTTACTACTGTTTTTCTTATTTTGGGGGTTTTCTTTTCCCATATGTTCAGGAATAATTATATTAAGCACCCGTGTGTCTGGGAGTTAGTTGAGTTAACAGTGCTTGATCTAATGAACTCCTAGACAGAGATGCCTGGGGTAGTTACCATTGTTTTGATAAGGACCCCATGCTAAGGGTCTGTGTATAAATATGTGCAGTTGAACCAAATAAAGTGTCCCTTCATCAAGTCTTGGCTGATGTTTAGGTGAGTTGCTATGAGCTGTTATAATTACTGAAGGTGTCCTGCTGGTGAAGATGGGATATTAGTGTTGATACTTCAAGCTCCATTATAATGATGGTGTAGCTGTTTCTGCTTTATCTTTTCTGTATTCTCCTGATTGCACTGCCCAAATTAATTGCTAGGGTGCCTTCAGGCCCACTTCCATGCCCACATGGAATTCCTCCCAGGATAAAAGCTCAATTGGTGGGAAGGGGTGTTGCCTGACCTTAAAACATACTACGTGGTCACAAATCTGTCCAAGGTGGCGTCCACAACCTGTGTTGCTCTGTGGATGAGCCTAGAAAATATAGCCATATGCTGTGCTGAGAGGAGGAATTGGGAGCCACTTATTCCCAGCAAGAAGGGGCCAATGCCTTGGAACAGACACAAGGCATTTCCCAATGCATCAAACACTGGGAGTCTTAGTGCAAATTAATACTGAGATGGTACCTCACACCCAAAAGGTTGGCTGACGCGTTTCCAGGCATGCCATCATTATGCTAGCCCTGCAATTCTGCAGTTGGTTCCTTAATGCACAACTTCTGGTCCTGTACAGCTCTGGGAAGGTTAACAGATACAGTCAAAGCAATAATTAAAGCATGTACGGGCTGTCCCTTCCCATTGACTCTAAGATATTTCTTCCCAACATGATGCCAGATAGAGACTCCAGGCTTTAAATAGTATTGACAGCTCATATCTTAACAGCATTCATGAGATTAGTTGGACATTGAAAAAGACAGAACCTCCCCCCCCCCCAACCGACACACTGATACTAATAAAACATAAAATCAGCTTAATGCTCAATCATGAGATGTCCCACATTTAAGGGAACAAGCAATAAGTTCCATTATGGGAAGGGTGGCATCAACACACTCAAAAATAAGAGCAGATTGGGAGGACAGGATGTAGTGGTCATTGGTGGATATCGGAGAGACACTGGAAAACTGTTGTTGCCAAGTCTGGTGTGGATTTGATGTCACCAGGTCTTTTTTGAGCTGGTTGTTATAATTTATACTCTAATTTCCTTTCTGTATTCCCATTTTTATTTGTCATAAAAAATAAAAAAATATCAATAAAATGTACTTTGGAAAAAACTAATACCTGCAAAAAAAAATTTATATTTCCAAACAGATGGTTTCTTAAATCTTCTTTTCTTCAGTCCCCAAAAAGGACAGAATAAAATCCATATTATCACAAGTGTTAAAAAAAAAAAACAAGCTAAAAAAAAAAACAGGATTAAAAAAATTCTATTACAAGCCACAAATGTGGACATACTATGTTGTGCTCCCCCTCCCCCACTTTGTTTAGTTAGTCACACCATGGGGAGATAGACACAGGAGATAGACATATTCATATTGTATGAATGAATGCCATGGGTAAAGGTACAAGTGCCAGGTTCACATAGTATGTTTAATGCGAATGGCAGCAATATCTGCCAAGTCAGTAGTCCGCTTGTCGCATGACTAAGGTCTAAAACCTCCCTTTTAATAATGTGGGGTCATATTGACCCACATAGAATTTAAATGTATTTCTCTTTAATGATTGACAGTTTTAGTCATTAAAAAGGCAGATAAATGTGCACATTTATCTAAGGATTTTTCTTGAGCAGCTGACCTGTTTATTGGGTTCAGCTGCTAGACTTTTACCTGGCATTAAATCCAGTCAAAATTAAATTATCAATCATTTTTGCCTGGGTTTTGCCGATAGAATGTGTAGTGGAGCTTAGTACTCTGTCTACAGTTTTCTTGCAGGAAAAAAGTCACGATTTAGTGTTTATACCTCTCCTTGCACAGGTGTCATTCCCCCAAGTAGTGTCCAAAAAGTGCCCAGATTGGATGTGCCTAGCCTGAGAAATCATCTGTAATGGTAGACACCGTCACTGGGTGCTGGTGATGGACACTTTATGTAAGTCCCCAGATTGCTCTTGTGTTTTAGCCACCCTGTATTTAGTCACCCTATAATGCCGGGCACACAGGGGAGCCACAAGTTATTTTCCCGGTGCTATGATGATAGCACAGGGAACTGTGCCTTCCTCTCCCCTGCTGGCTCTGCAGGACCGGAGGGGAGATCAGAGATCTCCCTCTCCGTCCCGCTAGCACTTTGCTAACAGCCGTCAGGGGAGGGAGGGAGAGAGGACCCGGGGGAGCTCTAACTTCCAGCTCCACCGGATTCTCCTCTCGTGAGCTCATAGTTGCCGTGGTTACCACAGCAACGCTCCAAGTCTCGCGTGAGTGAACTCTAGCAGATCCTGAGGCTGCTAGAGTTCACTGTCACCACCAGGGATTGCCAGGCAAAGGTAAGCAGGGAGGAAGGACATTAATTAATTTGCCCTCCTACCCCCACAGACTCCACACCACACAATAGCTCCCCCATACACACACACTGCCCCCCCATACACACACACTGTACCCCTCACACAACCTGCCCCCCCTCACACACACTGTAACCCTCCACACACACACACACACACACACTTTGTACCCCTCATTCATAAACTGCCCCCCATACACACACGCACAATGTATCCCCCATATGCACTGTACCCCTCACACACACTGCACCCCTTCACACACACACACACACACTGCACCCCTCACACAAACACTACAGCCCATATCCCGGCAGACCCCAGGTAAGTTGTCCTGTTCTTAAACAGTTTGACTACTTACCCTGGGAGGGCACTATAACCACTACAATGTAATGTAGTGGTTATTGTGCCTGGATTGTTTCTTTAAATAATCTACCAGTGCCACTCTCAAGATTAGGGGCCCAATATATGCCACAGCACTGTACATATATACAATCTAGAATTTTTTTTTTTTTAATTGGGGTGCATTGGAAAAATATTAAAATAGTAATGGCGCCTTGAACTTAAAAAGTTTGGGAACCACTGGTATAATGTATTTGTTAGTTATTGGTTACTGGGGATACAAAGCAGCCCTGGAAAAAAAATCTATGCCAGCCCCATAAGTCATTGCGCCATATATTGCCGTATGTAATATGTAAGGCAATGTCTTGCCACCCCAGATGGTTGAGTAATTATATTTATATATATATATATATACATATATATATATTGCTTTTTCTAACATATAATATTGGTCCTTTTAGAGTAAAACATTAAATTATACATTAAGCATACTCACATGCAGTGTTTACAATGCTTCCTAGTGACACCTCTAGTGACAGTCACTCAGACAGTCACTAGAGGTGCTTCCTGTGTCAATGCTGCACAGTGTGATTGCACAGTGTGCAGCACCTACTATCAGGGCCTTTGCAGCCAATCCTATGGCAGAGCATCGGATTGGCTCAGATCATCACGCTTGATGATTTCAGCCATAGAGGCAGGGTCAGTCGAGGGGAGACCAGCACGGCATGGGGAGAAAAAAAAAAGATGAGTAAAAACACTTTTTAAATAAACACAGACACACAGATGCACCATGACACAGACACAGACACACACACCATGACACAAACACAGACACACACACCATGACACAGACACAAAATGACACAGACACACACACCATGACACATACACACACACAATGACACACACACCATGACACAGACACACAATGACACAGACACACACACCATGACACATACACACACCATGACACAGACACACACACACATACACTCACACTGACAGAATTACACATATTACCTGTGGGTGACCGGCTGGGTGGGCTAGTGTCCGCAGGGGGAGGTCTGCTGGCGGGCGCTGACTGGGGGAGGTGGCTGTTCTGTCTCTGCTCCCCCGCCCTCACGCGCAGATTAATAAGACCGGGGCCATCATTATGACGTCATATTCTGGCCCCGGTCTCATTAAGCTGCGCGCTGAGGAGCAGAGACAGAACAGCCACCTCCCCCAGCAGCCGCCAGCAGACCCAGGTGTCTGCCCGGCCCCAGGTGCCGACGGCCCACCGGGAAATTTCCCGGTATCCTGGTGGGCCAGTCTGGCCCTGGCTGCAGTCACACTAATGTAAAACAGAATGGATGTTAATTAGGTTATTGTATGATTGTGAACCTGTTATTGTGCCATGCTTCTTGGTGTCCAGCAGGTAATTCAATTATTGTGACTGAAACTAATTATATCCTGGACACCAAGACTCTGGGCAGGGACTTACATTGTTTTAAGTGACGACTTCCTGTGGGGAATGTGCCTATAAATACCTGTGTTGTATTCAATAAAGTCAGTTCTAATTCACCCTTCACTAAGTCTTGGCTAGTGTTTGGGTGGAACAACTATACACTCTGCAAGAGAGCCTAATCACATTGGAGCTATATCAAAACTGTCCAGGCCCCAGGGAGAGTGCGCAGCTTAGCGGACAGGGGCACATGTATGAGTGTGGGATGGATGATGCATGGCTGGCTGTATTCTACATGTATGAATGTGGGATGGATGGTGCATGATTGGCTATGTGCTACGTCTGGGAGTGTGAGATGTGAGGAAGTGGGTGGTGAAAAAACAGACTGACCTCAGTGCCACTTAGGAGCTGGGCCAGCAACAAGTTTCCTGGGATCCTCCTCCTGGGTGCTGTTGCTGGATCCGTCCACCAGATGGCGCCTGGAGCTGTGGTGAATATGGATACTGCTGTTCATGCCATGGAATCCTCTTCACAGGTTGCTGCTGCTGCTCTGGTGCTGCCAGCGTGTCCTGGGGCACCGCCAGGTGAGTCACATGTTCCTGCGCTTGCTGGGGCGTCCACGCTGGGTGGGTTCATGTTGGGTCTGCGGGAGCTTTTTTCCCAGTGGGAGCGAGGGGCGCTAGTGCAGGGATCCCATGGGTTGGATGGTCAGCTGCGTTCTGTGTGGTCCCCTCCATTGCCACAGGCGGGTTCAGCTGTGGGAGGGGGCGCGGGTGCAGTTCCTGGCGCGGTGGTTAGCGTTTATGCCACGGCCACAGGGGGGGTGGTGACGGAGGGGTGCTGGATAGTACAGCAGGCATTGCCGACGTGGCTAGGGGGGCAGCATATATGTGCTGGTCAGGTCCCCTTGGCTTGCATCTAAAGCCTGAGGTCAGGGACAAGATCTGGAAAGGGGAATTCGTGGAGATATTTTCCCTGTTGCCCTTGGAGGACGCACCTCCTCTGGGGGACAAGGAGGGAAAAGAGTCAGACAAGGGTAGGGAGAAGTTCCGTTACAGGAAGATTCCGAAAACTTTCGGGAACTGGGTGCGGGCGTTTTCCATTTTGGCGAGCGTGATTGGGGAAAAGGCTCCCCAGCACTGCTCAGCGCTCTTTTACTATCAGGACACCATTTGGAACGCGTGTCGGACCTATGGCGGCCTGGGTTGGTGGCGCTATGACGAACAATTTCGTCAGCGGCTCGCTGTCCACCCCTCTATCTCGTGGGATCAGATGGACATTGGCCTGTGGCTGTTCATCATGACTCGCCCAGCGGCGCACCAAGGGGGGACATCCTCCTTTCTTGGGGGAAGGGGCGGTGGGGGGGCGGTGGGGGGGCGGTCCTGCCCCATCGGCCTCACACAGGCGGCCAGGCTGTTGTTGGAAGTTCAACGACAGCGAGTGCAAGTGGGGAGCAACATGTTGTTTTAAGCACGAATGCTCCCATTGCTGGGGTGCCCACTCGGCATCCCGCTACTTTAAGTGGGGTAAGTCTGGGGACAAAGGCGACGTGGGGACTAAGGGCGAAGACCGTTATAGGAACCGCTGGGCCACGGGGTTGCTGCTGGAGGCGTTTACCCAGGGGTTTTGGATTCCCTTCTCGGAGCGCCCCTCCTCCGGGGCAGTCAGGAACTTGAAGTCGGTGTTTGATTTTCCTGATGTGGTCCTCGAAAAGCTCCGGAAGGAGGTTTCACTAGGGTGGATGGCGGGGCCGTTTGAGGCCCCTCCATTGTCCAACTTGCGGGTATCTCCCTTGCGGGTGGTGCCCAAGAACGAGGCGGGGAAATAAGACTGTGGGGCCGGTAACGGGCCTTAGCTTCCTGGGCATCGAGATTGATTCAGTGGCCTTGGAGTGCCGGCTGCCCCTAGACAAGGTGGAAGGGTTGTGCCGGGACGTGGCGGTAGCACAGGGCTTGCGGAAGATACAGTTATGCCAGCTGCAATCGCTTTTGGGGAAGTTGAACTTCGCATGCAGGATCATGCCCATGGGGCGGATTTTTAGCAGGCGCCTAGCGGCCGCGACCGCTGGGGTGGCAAGGCCTCTGCACTACATTAGACTCACGAGGCAGTTACAGGATGATTTGGACGTCTGGGGTACGTTATTGGCGGATTATAATGGGAGGTCATATAGGCAAGCCCAGAAGTGTCCAGTGTGGATCTCCACCTCTATACGGACGCGGCGGGTTCCGTAGGCTTTGGGGCGATTCTGGGGTCGCGCTTGTGCGCTGACACTTGGCCTGGGGACTGGTACGCCTCTGGCCTGACTAAAAATCTGGCTTTCCTTGAACTTTTCCCCATTGTGGTGGCTTTGGAGCTCTGAGGTCTGGACTTGCGGGATCGGCGGGTTGTCTTTCACTGTGACAACCTGGGGGTCGTGCAGGCGATTAACCAGCTCTCTGCCTCCTCCCCGCTGGTGGTTCGTTTTCCTCCAGCGCCTGGTGCTACGGTGCTTGTGCCTTAACGTGTCTTGTAGGGCGCTGCATGTTCCGGGGGTTCACAATGTAATTGCGGATGCGCTCTCTCGTTCGCAGTGGTCGGAGTTTCGGGCAGCTGCGCCCCATGCGGACGAGGATGGGTGCTGGTGTCCGGTGGAATTATGGTCCCTGGGCTCGACGGGCTGATGGACCTGGTTCGAGGGTCTGTATCGAGTTCAACTTGGGCCAAATACTCGAAGGTATGGGCGGAATGGCTCGAGTGGGAGACAGGTCTGGGGGTTTTCCAGGATACGCCCGCTCGATTGCAGGGTTTCTTGCGGCTATTGAACACTTGGGTGTCGGCGGGCATGTCGCCTTCGGCAGTGTCCTCGCGCCTGGCTGGGCTGAGTTTTTTCTTTAAGCTGCAAGGGTGGGGGGACGTGACCAAGGAGTTTGTGGTGAGGCAGGTGGTTAAGGGGCTGCGTAGGGGTCGGGTTACGGTGGATACCCAGAGGCCGGTGTCGGGGGTGCTCCTGGCGCAGTTGTGCCACGTGCTCCCGCAGGTGTGCTTCTCGGACTTCGAGGTGCGGCTTTTTCGCTTGGCCTTTTCGTTTGCTTTCTTTGGGGCCATGAGAATTGGGGAGTTGGTGTGTCCAAGCAGGGTGACCATTGGGGGAATCCTCTTCTCAGATGTCAGGGACGGGCCGGACTGAGTCTCCTTTAAGATTCGCCGCTCCAAGACGGACGTGTTTGGTAAAGGTAAGTGGGTTCAGCTGGCAGCTGCCCCAGGATTGGCCACCTGCCCGGTTCTGTCCTTCCGGTGTTTTTGCGCAGTTCGCCCTGCACTGGCTGGCCCCCTGTTAGTGCACGAGGATGGGAGCTTCCTCTCCCATTTTCAGTTTGTCAGGGTGTTTCGGCTGGGGTTGGCTGCATTGGGCGTGGAGGGTGCGGAGTTTGGAGGGCACTCCTTCCGAATTGGCGCAGCGACGGAGGCTTCTCGGCTGGGGATGCCGGTTCAGGAGGTACAGCGAATAGGGAGGTGGGAATCCAGGAGGTTTGTCTCTTATGTACGTCCTGCTGGTCTCCTGAGCTAGACTGTTTGTTTTCCTCCCCAGGTCAGGTCCCCTACAAGGTCTGGTTGATTGGCCACTCCTATATCCACTGGGCGAGGCGGAGAGCGGCAGTCCAGCCAGGGGGAGAGCTTTCTCGGTCTCATGCCAGTAACTGCGGAGGTACGGTGGTTCGGGGTCAGAGGCATGAGGTGGGTCCGACTCCTCTCTGACTTGGTCAGGCTTTCCCGCTTGCTTGGGGCTCCATCGGTTTTGATTATCCGTCTGGGGGGTAACGATCTGGGGACCGTGCCTGTGGGGGGCCTGGTTGACATGATCAGGAGGGATTTGTCCCAGATCTTGATCTTGTTCCCCGACGTATCCTTGATTTGGTCGGAGGTAGTGGCGAGGAATTTTTGGCAGCAGGCCCACAGCCAGAGTGCGCTGGAGCGCAGCCGCAAGAAGTTTAATCGGCGGGTTGCGAAGTTTGTAACGGGGGTTGGGGGAATCTCGATACGGCACCAGGTTTTTGAAAAAGATGCGGCACATTTTTTTTCCGACCAGATGGGGTGCATCTGACAGAGGTCGGGCTCGACCTGTTTAACTTGGCACTTCAAGAAGCTTTGGAACAGGCCATGGGGGGTTTCGGTGGGGGCCCCCGCTGATTTTAGGCTTAAAACAGCGGTGTTTGTGGCGGGGCATGTCCTTGCCAAATGAGGGATGGTAGATTAGATGAAAAGGGGGATAATGGCCGGGTCTCATCCTCCCCCTTTCTCTTATGGTGAACCTGGAGGAGGTACCAGGTTGGACATGTCCCCACTGGGTTGTAAGTCGACCAGTGGGGAGCATTATGGTTGGGCCCCACCGAGCGGAAGATCGGCTGGTGGGGAGCCCTGAAAAGGAAGAGGTTTTATTATGCCGAGGGGGGGAGGTGAGAGCCTTGGGGAAGTTAGATTGGCAAGGACGGTTTTCTTGATTACTGTATAAAAAGTGTTTATGTTAATTTATTATGTTATTTGTTTAAGGAGTTATACAGTATTTGGTGATGTTAATAAATGCTGTGGCCTGTTTTTCCCAAGAAGTTGTCTGTCGTTATTTGAAGGGGTAAGTTATGGTTCTTATGAGGGGAATGCTATCCGATGCCAACTACATACATACAAGGCCCCAGGGAGAGTGCGCAGCTTAGCGGACAGGGGCACATGCATGAGTGTGGGATGGATGATGCATGGTTGGCTGTATTTTACATGTATGAGTGTGGGATGGATGGTGCATGATTGGCTATGTGCTACGTGTGGGAGTGTGAGATGTGAGGAAGTGGGTGGTGACAAAACAGACTGACCTCAGTGCCACTTAGGAGCCGGGCCAGCAACAAGTTTCCCGCCCACCCTCCCTTTGCTGCTTTGGGCCCGGGTGGTTGTCACAGCGAGGCGGGGCATGTCCTTGCCAAATAAGGGATGGTAGATTAGATAAAAAGGGGAATAATGGCCGGGTCTCATCCTCCCCCTGTCTCTTATGGTGAACCTGGAGGAGGTACCAGGTTGGACGTGTCCCCACTGGGTTGTAAGTCGACCGGTGGGGAGCATTATGGTTTTGCCCCACCGAGCGGAAAATCGTCTGGTGGGGAGCCCTGAAAAGGAAGAGGTTTTATTATGCCGAGGGGGGGAGGTGAGAGCCTTGGGGAAGTTAGATTGGCAAGGACGGTTTTCTTGATTACTGTATAAAAAGTGTTTATGTTAATTTATTATGTTATTTGTTTAAGGAGTTATACAGTATGTGGTGATGTTAATAAATGCTGTGGCCTGTTTTTCCCAAGAAGTTGTCTGTCGTTATTTGAAGGGGTAAGTTATGGTTCTTATGAGGGGAATGCTATCCAATGCCCACTACGTACATACAAGTGCAGTCACAGCACTAGGCTATGTAAGTGACATTTAGAGATACCCTTGCACAGGCAAATTGGATTTTTAACACTAACCTTTGTGGCTTAAAAGAAAGGGAACGCAATATGTGACAACATAGTTCCTACTCTAGTAATACAGAAATATATGTTGTAAGAGATATGGATACCAGGTGACCACACAAGCCACACAGGTTTTGCAACACAGGAAATGTAGCAAATAACAGAGCCCAGCATGGTATTAAATATGAGATGCAATATGAAGAACAAATGTTAGGCTGGTTACTGGCAATCCAATCTCAGGCTGGCTACTGGCAATCCAATCTCAGGCTGGCTACTGGCAATCTCAGGCTGGCTGCTTGCACTCTCAGGTTGGCTACTGGCAATCTCAAGCTGGGGGCTGGCAAGTCCTTCAGGTCAATTTGCATATATTTTTTTTCCAACAGCACTGCTGATGATCTTTCCTGCTGGTTGTTCAACATGCAAGATATCCCTACATGCAACATTGCCACATACTGCTGGCCTAGATGGCAGCACCAATCTTTAATTTAGGCAGGACTTTAGCATGGCTGTCACACAGACTCCTTTTTTGTGGGTACAAATGTTTTGTAACTAAGGATTCTTGGTATACAAATGATGTATTTGTTGTATTTGTAATCCCTTCTGAACAGAAAGTTTCCTGTTCCTGATTTAAGCTCACTTACCACCTACATTGGCAAACTTAAAGCAGAAGTAAATCTATTATCTCACTTTTCGGAAAACGTCTAAATATTTCTATACTCTGAGATGTTGATTTTACATGTCTGTATTACTATTTGTTCTACATATATTGAAGTAAAAACAGTTGTCGACTGTCCACTGGAATTTGAGGGTATTTATAGAAATAAAACCATGGGATTCATTAGAAGTATATAGATAATACATTAAAACTATTAAATAAACCAGATGCATTCAGAGATCCTAAAAATGCACAATAGAGAGAAGCTGTCAGAATCTTCAAGTAGACCCTTCTGATCTTGTCCCATAATCCCTAATCCAGAAAAGGTTTATTGTATATGTGGTTTATCATGCAGCTACTTATTGCATATGATCAGTGGAACTGCTCAGTTACCTTAAAGAAACCATACTAAGGCCACTGTCAATGTAAACTTAACAGTTCACAGTTTTGCAAACAAGGCTGTGTACTGTGAAAGAGAGAGTGAGAGAGAGAGAGAGAGAGAGAGTGTGTGTGTGTGTGTGTGTGTGTGTTTAACCCCTTGTGTACCTTGGTATACTGGTTTATTTTCCAATGCACTACTTACCTATAAAGGGTTATCATAAGTGCTACAAATAAGTCAAATTAATAAAGCGTCTATATTAATATTTTAAGCTCCTGTCTGGATAATCCAATGGTTATCCATTATCTATACTAGGTAGAAGAGTACCCTTACATGGTTAGTATATTTCACTAGCACTGGGTATATATGTGGTTTGTGTATGTATTGGTGCATGCAGAGTGGACTTTAATACCATTTACCTCGGATACTGATTACACTTTTACAGTTTTTACATCATCCACTTTATTGTGGATTAGGTGAATCTTTCCTGTGTTATCTTTTCATGTGACAACACTGAAGAAATGACTCTGCTACAATGTAAAGTAGTAAGTGTACAGCCTGTATAACAGTGTATATTTTCTGTCCCCTCGAAATAACTCAACACACAGCCATTGATGTCTAAACCGTTGACAACAAGTGAGTACACCCCTAAGTGAAAATGTCCAAATTGGGCCCAAAGTGTCAATATTTTGTGTGGCCACCATTATTTTCCAGCACTGCTTTAACCCTCATGGGCATGGAGTTAACCAGTGCTTCACAGGTTGCCACTGGAGTCCTCTTCCACTGCTCCATAACGACCTCATGGAGCTGGTAGATATTAGAGACCTTGCACTCCCCCACCTTCCATTTGAGGATACCCCACATTTGCTCAATAGGGATTAGAGTCTAGAGACATGCTTAGCTTGTCTTTCACCTTTACCTTCAGCTTTTTTAGCAAGGCAGTGGTCATCTTGGAGGTGTGTCCCTCAATGAACTGTAGCTCCACAGTGCCGGCAGCACTCATGCAGGCCCAGACCATGACACTCCCACCACCATGCTTTATTGTAGGCAAGACACACTTGTCTTTGTACTCCTCACCTGGTTGCCGCCAAGCAAGCTTGACACCATCTGAACCAAATAAGTTTATCTTGGTTTCATCGGACCACAGGACATGGTTCCAGTAATCCATGTCCTTAGTCTGCTTGTTTTCAGCAAACTGTTTGCAGGCTTTCTTGTGTATCATCTTTAGAAGAGGCTTCCTTCTTGGACGACAACCATGCAGACCAATTTGATGCAGTGTGCGGTGTATGGTCTGAGCACTGACAGGCTGTCCCTCCCACCCCTTCAACCTCTGCAGCAATGTCTGCTTCCCAAAGACAACCTCTGGATATGATGCTGAGTACGTGCACTCAACTTTATTGGCGAGGCGTGCTTTGAGTGGAACCTGTCCTGTGAAACCGCTGTATGGTCTTGTCCATTGTGCTGCAGCTCAGTTTCAGGGTCTTGGCAATCTTTTTATAGCCTTCTTATAGCCTAGGCCATGTTTATGTAGAGCAACAATTCTTTTTCAGATTCTCAGAGAGTTCTTTGCCATGAGGTGCCATGTTGAACTTCCAGTGACCAGTATGAGAGAGTGTGAGAGCGATAACAGAAAATCTAACACACCTGCTCCCCATTCACACCTGAGACCTTGTAACACTAACATGTCACATGACACTGGAGAGGGAAAATTTCTAATTGGACCCAATTTGGACATTTCCACTTGGGGTATACTCACTTTTGTTGCCAACGGTTTAGACATTAATGGTTGTGTGTTGAGTTATTTTGAGGGGACAACAAATTTACACTGTTATACAGGCTTTACATTGTAGCAGAGTGTAATTTCTTAAGTGTTGTCACATCAAAGAATCAATAAGAAAATAAGCTACAAAATTGCTGAGCGAAGAGGGAAATACCACAGGCAAAACAAAAATTATACCCCCTTTATCAAGGGAGCATGCATGACATCAAACCACACTATGTATTAATTCAGTTTGACTCCTTGTTAGATATGATATGCAATGTAACCTTCTCCATAGAATGATGTCTCAGAAGAGGAGCAGCGTTGGGGAGCCAAAACAATAGAGGGTTCAGGACGTCCTCAACATGTAGAGTGAGTTGTTTTTTTGTACATATGTGTGATATGTGAACTCATGTACATGGCCAGTCAAATGTTTTACAGGTGTTGAATTGTGAACACTTTAATCACTTGAAGCCCTTGTACATGGTATGCCAACGGTAATGTAAAATTGGCATTATCTCCGATGATTATTGGGAGTTGATCCCCATATTTAAAACACTATAATAAACCTTGCAAATAAATAAAAGAGTTTAGAAAATACAAATACATAATAGTTCCTCTCCATTGAGCTGCCAGATCAAGAGGGTGTTCATCTACTACTTCCATTGTTCTCAGTGGAATTCCTGAGCCTATCCTGTGAGTTATTTATTAGATATGTAACAAATCCTTGGACAGTAGTTTCACTTATGAATATACGAGGATGAAACCACTGCATAATCTAATAGAAGGTAGAAATTGCATATGAATTTGTATCTAATAAGCCTAATCTTTTCATTTGAGTGTCCATCAAAGAATGAGTTTTCAAGCCATATTCAGCAAATACATTTTCTCCTGTATCATTTTCTGTCATTATCTTGCTTACACTCTCATTATTTGCCATATCAAGCATAAGCAAACTGAGAAGCAATGTATTCAAGGAGCATGAGCATCTGAAGAAAAAAGAGCTTCAGGATGGACCCCAGGCATCGTACGGATATGGTGGACAGTTTGGGACAGAGAATGACAGAATGGACAAGGTACATCTAACATTAAGAAGTTAAAATGTTGCAAGATAGCAATTACAATTAAATAAGTATTCATTGCTACTAAATCTTCTTTCTTCTCCTTCGAAGCCATGTTCTTATGTAGATAGATGATAACTTGCAAATGAGATTAACAGGTATTTCTTATTGGTACTTTTTCTTCCTAGAGTGCTTTGGGCCATGATTACAAGGCAGACATACAGATGCATTCCTCACAGACAGACGCAGCCAAGGGTTTTGGTGGAAAATATGGTGTGCAGAAGGATCGGACTGACAAAGTAAGTGACTGAAAAAGCAAAACATTGGGGTAGTTATGTTGTGTAAAAATCTTACTAAAATCCCTTTGAACTCCAAGTTGTAACAGTGCAAAATGTGGACGTGTCCAATGGCGGGAAATACTCATGCAAGGAGATTAATTTATGAGATTAACTCACTTGAAGAAATATTCCACCTGGGGCTCTCTGCAGTACAAGGCTATATATATATATATATATATATACACACATACACACACACACTGCTCAAAAAAATAAAGGGAACACTTAAACAACTCCAAGTCAATCACACTTCGGTGAAATCAAACTGTCCACTTAGTAAGCAACACTGAGTGACAATTTCACATGCTGTTGTGCAAATGGGATAGACAACAGGTGGAAATTATAGGCAATTAGCAAGACACCCCCAATAAAGGAGTGGTTCTGCAGGTGGTGACCACAGACCACTTCTCAGTTCATATGCTTCCTGGCTGATGTTTTGGTCACTTTTGAATGCTGGAGGTGCTTTCACTCTAGTGGTAGCCTGAGACAGAGTCTACAACCCACACAAGTGGCTCAGGTAGTGCAGCTCATCCAGGATGGCACATCAATGCGAGCTGTGGCATGAAGGTTGGCTGTGTCTGTCAGCGTAGTGTCCAGAACATGGAGGCACTACCAGGAGACAGGCCAGTACATCAGGAGATGTGGAGGAGGTCGTAGGAGGGCAACAACCCATCAGCAGGACCGCTACCTCTGCCTTTGTGCACTGCCAGAGCCCTGCATGAGGGTGGTATGAGGGCCTGATGTCCACAGGTGGGGGTTGTGCTTACAGCCCAACACTGTGCAGGACGTTTGGCATTTACCAGAGAACACCAAGATTGGCAAATTCACCACTGGCACCCTGTGCTCTTTACAGATGAAAGCAGGTTCATACTGAGCACATGTGACAGACGTAACAGAGTCTGGAGACGCCGTGGAGAACGTTCTGCTGCCTGCAACATCCTCCATCATGACCGGTTTGGCAGTGGATCAGTAATGGTGTGGGGTGGCAATTCCTCCCCTCCATGTGCTCTCCAGAGGTAGCCTGACTGCCATTAGGTACCGAGATGAGATCCTCAGACCCCTTGTGAGACCATATGTTGGTGCGGTTGGCCCTGGGTTCCTCCTAATGCAAGACAATGCTAGACCTCATGTGGCTGGAGTGTGTCAGCAGTTCCTGCAAGACAAAGGCATTGATGCTATGGACTGGCCCACCCATTCCCCAGACCTGAATCCAATTGAGCACATCTGGGACATCATGTCTCGCTCCATCCACCAACGTCACGTTGCACCACAGACTGTCCAGGAGTTGGCAGATGCTTTAGTCCAGGTCTGGGAGGAGATCCCTCAGGAGACCATCCGCCACCTCATCAGGAGCATGCACAGGCGTTGTAGGGAGGTCATACAGGCACATGGAGGCCACACACACTACTGAGCCTCATTTTGACTTGTTTTAAGGACATTACATCAAAGTTGGATCAGCCTGTAGTGTATTTTTCCACTTTAATTTTGAGTGTGACTCCAAATCCAGACCTCCATGGGTTGAAAAGTTTGATTTCCATTTATTAATTTTTGTGTGATTTTGTTGTCAGCACATTCAACTATGTAAAGAACAAAGTATTTCAGAAGAATATTTAATTCATTCAGATGTATGATGTGTTATTTTTGTGTTTCCTTTATTTTTTTTGAGCTATATATATGTATATATATATATATATATATATTTAGCCTTGTACTGCAGAGAGCCCCAGGTGGAATATTTTCCCCAAGTAAGTGAGTTAATCTCATAATTTCACTTTTAAAGTAGGACCTGCCAAGAATTGGGGTTCATTGACGTTGTGGCAGACTTATGCAATGTATGATCATATAATGTAACTAAACCCTCTTGATTTTTGCCTAGATTAGGTGTTTTTAAAAAACGAATAAAATCTGTCAGCATTGAAGTTGCTGTTTAGCAGATAAGTGAGTGCACTGGATCTTGTGTATTGTAAAAAAGTATTTGATCCCCTGCTGATGTTGAACATTTGCCCACTGACAAAGAAATGATCAATCTATAATTTTAACGGTAGGTGTATTTTAACAATGAGAGACAGAATAAAAATAAAAATAAAAAATCCAGAAAACACATGTCAAAAAAGTTATAAATTGATTTGCAAGTCAATGAGTAAATTAACTATTTGACCCCTTCGACTTAGTACTTGGTAGCAAAACCCTTGTTGGCAATCACAGTGGTTAGACTTTTCTTGTAGTTGGCCACCAGGTTTGCACACATCTCAGGAGGGATTTTGTCCCACTCCTCTTTGCAGATCCTCTCCAAGTCATTAAGGTTTTGAGGATGAAGTTTGGCAACTCAAACCTTCAGCTCACTCCACAGATTTGTTATGGGATTAAGGTCTGGACCTTAATGTCCTTCTTCTTGAGCCACTCCTTTGTTGCCTTGGCTGTGTGTTATGGGTCATTGTCATGCTGCAATACCCATCCACAACCCATTTTCAATGCCCTGGCTGAGGGAAGGAGGTTCTCACCCAAGATTTGCTGGTACATGGCCCCGTCCATCCTCCATTTGATGTGGTGCAGTTGAGCATTGTGTTCTTGCAGTCATAGGCAGCATTCCTCATCCTCCTCCAAACACAGCAAGTTTAATTTAATGCCAAAGAGCTTGATTTTGGTCTCATCTGACCACAACACTTCCACCCAGTTCTTCTCTGAATCATTAATATGTTAATTGGCAAACTTCAGACAGATCTGCACATGTGCTTCTTGAGCAGGGGGACCTTGCAGGTGCTGCAGGATTTCAGTCCTTCACAGCGTAGTGTTACCAATTGTTTTCTTGGTGACTATGGTCCCAGCTGCCTTGAGATCATTAACAAGATCCTGGGCTGAATTTTCATTGTTCTCATGATCAATGAAACTCCACGAGATGAGATCTTGCATGGAGCACCAGCCCGAGGGAGACTGACAGTTATGTTGTGTTTCTTCAGTTTGTGAATAATCGCACCAACTGTTGTCACCTTCTCACCAAGCTGCTTGGCGATGGTCTTTTAGCCCATTCCAGTCTTGTGACAGCTGTTTGGTCTTGGCCATGGTGGAGAGTTTGGAATCTGATTGGTTGATTGCTTCTGTGGATAGGGGTCTTTTATACAGGTATTGATGTGAGATTAGGAGCACTCCCTTTAAGACAGTGCTCCTAATCTCAGCTCGTTACCTGTATTCAAGACACCTGGGAGCCAGAAATCCTGCCGATTGATCGGGAATCAAATACTTATTTCACTCATTGACATGCAAATTAATTTATAACTTTTTTGACATTCGTTTTTATAGATTTCTTTTTTGTTATTCTGTCTCTCACTGTTAAAATACACCTGCCATCAAAATTATAGGCTGATCATTCCTTTGTGAGTGGAGAAACGTTGAAAATCAGCAGGGGATTAAATTCTGCACTCACTGTGTCTTCCAATGACTGCCTGGTGCTAGTTGGCTAAATATAGAAGGATAAAGTAGATAGCACTCCACGGTCTTTTTCATCGATAAGAAATAACTTTTATTGCTCCAAGTTAAAAATCAGCGTTTCAGTCTGCAAATTCAGACTTTCATCAGGACAAGGTTAGCCAGTGAAACATGCACACATATATACCCACAACACTAAACAATAACCAATTAACTTACTTCATCTGGGTGAAGGCACCCCTCCACGAGCGACCCGGTCCATTTCCGCGCCAAAATGCCTATCAAGTCATAATGACATCATCGCACGAGCGTCAGTTGCATCCCCGGCCGCTCGTCAGGGGTAGCCATAGCAACCAGACGCCAGTGCGACTCATAAAAATAGCTGAGGCTGCCTGAAGACATGCCCCTTCTCTTAGTGAATAGCTAAACATATACACTACAAAAGTAAAAGGCTGGAGAGCAGGGTATAGAACAAGAAGCTTGGTCTTTACAGCATGGTAGTTCATACTCTCGGTGAGCAACCCAATAAATCCAAAATAATCAAAGCAGGATCACTAAAAGGACCAAGTGATTCTACTGCTATTCAGAAAAGCTAAACACCAACATCTTGTGTGCCTCTGGGAACCAACCTAAAACTACACATGACTATGTATACAATGTCTAAATAACTCCACACAAATTTTGTGTCCTCAAGCTCTATATACATACTTATCAAGGGATAATACTGCTACCAAAAGGTTACAATGTGAGACTGATGTTAATGATGCTATGTTCTAAAAACAGGCTACTTACATACACCTTAGGGACAGATATCTATCTGAATCCCACTGAGTTCACCATTATTGTGTAACCAGGCACAATCTCCATAAACAAAGAAAGGTAGAAAGCATATATTAAAACCTACATGCAAATAGGACTGTCCTAACAGGACTGGATAACATATAAAGTCCCAACCGCAAACACATCATATAAAACAATAAACTACAACATAAGTCAAAATTCCTCCACAAACGTCACAATTTGGATATAACTCCCAATCAGTAAGTATCGGCTACAACCCCTTTCCTATCCCCCTGGGTGGGTAGTGGGTTGCCAATCAAAGTGCCATTGTGGCCATATATGGAATACAGAACACATATTAACGATCACTACTGTCCCTTCATCATAGGTACTGATATCTAACAGCCTATCCCCCAGGGTGGGCTCAAGAATTAATCAGGGGGTCATTGTAGGGATACAAAGATTATAGTCCTCCCATATCAAAGGAAAACTGCCAGGGAGTATTTTTCATTGAGTCCCTTTCGTGATACAGTATCAAGTGTTCTGATCCAGTGGATCTCTCTTTGTAGCAGCATTTTCTTCCGGTCCCCACCTCTTCTTGGGGGTGGGATATGATTGATTGCCATTAGTTTGAGTGAAGGGAGAGAGTGTCCTGCTTCTAAGAAGTGTCTGGCCACTGGTAATTCAGAGGTATTATCTCGGTAAGCCACACGGATACTAGAGCGGTGACTATGAATCCGTTCTCTTAGAGGAAGATCAGTCTTACCTATGTATGCAAGGCCACAGGGACATGTCAAGTTATAAACGACAAAATCACTAGTGCATGACAGCTGGTGTTTGATGGTGTATTCTTTACCGGTATGTGGATGTGAAAAAGTCCGACCTGGGACCATATGTCCACAGGTGACACATCCCAAGCATCTGTAGCAACCATAGTTACTGGTAGCTGATTCAGTTTCATAGCAATGACTGGGATCGGTTTTAACTAAAAGATCCCTGAGGCTTTTGTTCCTCTTGTAACTCATCATCAGTAGAACAGAAAATTCCTTAGGGAGAGAGGTATCGTTGCTGAGTATCCTCCAATTTGCATTAATGGACCTTCTCAAGGCTGTGGAAGCCGTATTATATACAGTTGGGAAGACCAGACGTTGGTTCCTGTTGTCAGGTGTAACCTCAGCGAAATGGCACCTTTGTAAGGCATTCCTCATTTTGCTTTTTTATATCCTAGTTCCAAAAACTTGTCCCACATTGTGTCTATTTGGTCTTGGGCTCTGTCTGGGTCCGAGTTGTTCCTATAGACTCTCAAAAATTATGAATAGGGCAGAGATGCTTTCAATGGATTTGGATGAAAGCTCATGGCATGTAGGAGCATGTTGCGGTCGGTGGGTTTAGAAAACAGCATATATGTTAATTTCCTGTTCTCAATGCTCACCCTCACATCCAGAAAATCAACAGTTATAGGGCTAGCCGTCATTGTCAGCTCAATATTGATTAAGGCTCCCATATTAGATGCTGTTTCAAGGTCCCCCTTTATGATTAGAAACAGATCGTCAATGAACCTCGCATACAGGATCTCGGTTTTAAACGGTTCCAAAATGTGTTCCATCTCAAATTTATACATAAAACAGTTTGCATACATTGAAGCCATGGCGGCACCCATAGAAGTTCCTGCAACCTGGCGGTACCAACTTTTCTCAAATCGGAAATAGTTACAGGTTAACACTGCTTCTAATAATTCCGTTGTATACTCAATGGGTGGGCCGTGATAGTAAGGTGATTCAGCTAATACCTGTTTAGCTGCTGCTATACCTTCAAGATGGGGAATGACCGTGTATAAGCTTTTGACATCACAGGTCAGTAATATAATTGGTTCAGAGGGTAGTACAATAACTGAAATTTGTTGTAAAAAGGTGGGTGTGTCTTTCAGGCAGGTCGTTAAGTTAGCAACTGTATCTTTCATTAGGAAGTCCAAGCATTGAGCTATTGGTTCTAAGATTCCTTGTTTAGCCGACACAATAGGCCGTCCAGGAGGTTTCTTAACGCTTTTGTGTAACTTTGGTAGAGTGTATAGAATTGGGGTCCTAGGGTTCTGCTGTCTCAAAAACTCATAAAGTTCACTGGTTAGATAATTACCTTCCAGGCCTCTTTTGAGAATTTTATCAAGGTGGTATTGTAGTTGTGCCGTAGGGTCCTTGGGGATTTGAAAATACGTCTGTCGGTCTGATAATTGATTCAGGATCTCATCACGATAGTCTGCATAGTCCAACACGACTATGCCTCCCCCCTTATCAGCTGGTCTTATCTCAATTTCTTTGTCACAAGAGAGTGATGCAATAATTTCCCTATCTCTGGTAGTACAATTCGAGTGCGCCTTTTTCTGTGTTTTAAAAATATCCTTAGCTTCTTTATCTACAGATCGTAGGAACGTTTTAATTGTAGCCTGATTGGATATAGGGTCAAACTTGCTCTTTAGTTTAAATCTTCCTCCATGGTCAGTCTCTGTGGGAGGGTAGTTTTTAAAAAAATCTTTCAATCGCATAGTTCGTCCGAACTTAAATAATTCCATTTCCCATTGGAGTTGGTTCGGGCCAGTAGTCGGAAAAAGGATAGGCCCCTACTGAGTAGCCTCAGTTCATCTGGGAGGAGTACTCTAGAGGAAATATTTAATACTGGTATCACTGTGGAGGTCGAGGTGGCTTCCCGCTTCCCTCTTACCCCAGAAGGTTCTCCCCTTCTGGCCCCGTCTAGTGACAAGCCTCTTTCTTGTGCCTGATTCATGTACCGATTTCTCATTTGTATCCCTGGATATCCTGTGGTTACCCCTTCTAATAAAGGAGCAGAGCTAGTATTGGCTCTTGTGCTTTCAGTGCGTTCAGGGTAGGTGTCTGACTCTGAGTTGGACTCACCCAAGGTTTTATCAATTGTGAACTGCCTTGGTTTACAAATAGATCTTCGTTTCCTTGCAAATCTCGGGCGTTCACTATGGCCACTGAGCCACCTATACACCGTATGTTCTTTATAGTCCACTGCCACTTTTTCTTGTTTCTCTCTCTTAAATCGTACAAGGTCTATTTTGTACTGTTTCACATTATCTTCAAGTTTTAAAAGGGTTGGTGCGGCTTCTACAGATGATAAAAGTAGTGTTTGTTATGTCTCCAGTTCTGTTATTCTTCTACGTATTTGTACCAGATGCTCTCTTACGTCTTCAATAATAACCAACATTAAGTAGAGCGAGCACTTGTTCAATACGGCAATCCATTTCCTACAAACCTGATGAAAGTCTGAATTTGCAGACCGAAACGTTGATTTTTAACTTGGAGCAATAAAAGTTATTTCTTATCGATGAAAAAGACTGTGGAGTGCTATCTACTTTATATATATATATATATATATATATATATATATATATATATATATATATATATATAAACTTTAGTATATACATGTAAATACCACTATACCACTAGATTTCTCTAAATATAATAAACCATGAAACAAACATCTTTGCTCTTTAACAGTCATTATTTTTAAAACCTATTACAACCACAACCTCGATTCATTTCCTTCATTTATCTTTCATAACATTGATGTTTACAGAGGAATTGTCACTTCTCTGGAAATTACACCAATTAATAAACATTAACTATGACCTACAACTTGTATTAATAAAGCAGTTTTGGTTTATAGATCATGCCCCTGTAGTCTCTCTGCTCAATTTGCTGCCATTTAGGAGTTAAATCACTTTGTTTATTCAGCCCTAGTCACACCTCCCTGCAAGTAACAGGGAATAACCTCCTTGCACAGACTTCCAAAACACTACCTGTAAAGAGTCATCTAATGTTTATACATCCTTTATTGCGAATTCTATTTAATTTAGACATTCTTATCTCCTGCTCTGTTAATAGCTTGCTAGACCTTGTAGGACTACACCACCTTCCTAAAAACAAGAGATCTAACGTTAACATTTATTTTATTTTCTTTATTCTTTATTTTTGTTGTGCATCAAGTTACTCGAGTTACAGACTTGCAGAGCCACAACAGCTATAGCAAGCAATTTAAAAGGCAGAGTGGTACAATTGTGTGGCATAACAATAATATGCACATTTTTGGAGAAATACAACAAGAAAGGAGATACAGTGCTGGGCATAAAAACACAAATGAAGGTACCAACTTTAGCTTGTGCACTGAGTAGCATAAAAACAGCAGAATGTACCCCACAGTTGGCCCCTCATGTGGGTGTCAATTAAACTGGTGGAGCATATGTATGTAAACACCATAACAGCAAGAAAGTGGTTGGTCAAGAGAAAGACATATGAGAACAGTCAACATCAGTATGCATAGTAATATTTAGTGCCCAAGTATTTAGTCAGATAGGTGGTGAGGAAAAACACCACCTGGCACCCAGCTTACTGATCATCCGATGCCCCTCTTGGGTAGGACACAATCCCCCAAGTTTGTGCTGGTCTTCAAGACTAGTGCAAGGAATGCTGGTATGCTACTCGGTGTCTGCAATTGGCTCCCCAACCACTGTCGTGATAGCTCCTCTTTTGCTCCATGAGAGTTTTGCATCTACTTGGATCTTACATGCGTTAGGCCTCTGATTTGTTTCCGACTATGGTATCACGTGGTCCGGGTTTGGACAGGATAGGGGACTTAAGTCCAGGCGCTGCAGCAACACACAGTGCCCCCTATTAAAGTTGGAGGGACCCGTGGAGTCTGCCATCTTGCCTGCTTGGTTCTTGTTGCTGACCCAGCTGTTATGCCATGCACACTCAGCACTCAATAGGAGCCTCTGTGGGGTGGACCGGGATCACTCCCACTGGTCCAAAGAGGCGGAGAAACATGGTACAGTCAGTAGCAAAGGGATTTAGAATGCCACTTCTCTGCTTCCCCAGATGCTTGAAGTCTCAAGGCCCACACAGCTTTCTACCTGCAAAGACATCTGCAGACAGTGAAATAATTTTCTGGAGTAACCCCACTCGGTTCAGGACCACTGTAATGGTAAGTAGAGTCAATATTGGGGTGCATTTACAGGAATTTTGGTTCTTTTTAGGAGATTAATTGCCAGAGCTCCAGCAGGCTGTGTCTGTCTGGGTCAGCAGTCAGGCCCCGCCCCACGTTTAAACTTCTTTTACAGCATAGTGTGTTTAATTTAGAATTTCTTATCTCTGGTTCTGTTAAAAGCCTTGTAGACCCTGCAAGAGCCTCCTGTGTGTGATAAAAATTCTATTTACAGAGCAGGAGATAAAAAAACACGTCTAAACTAAGACCTGAAACCAATTTTCATGTGTCAGTCACGTCTAGGGGAGGTGTGGCTAGGGCTTCATAAACAGAAACAAAAGTGATTTAACTCCTAAATGGCAGAGAATTGAGCAGTTAGACTGTAGGTTCTGATCTATACATTAAAACTGCTTCATGAAGCTAAATGTGTTTTGGTGCCTATAGTATCTCAAACATTTTATTCATGAGATACTCCATATTATCTAAAGTTTATATTAAAGACTTCTTAAACTACATTACAATCCAGTTCAGATAAGCCACACAAAGCCAGAGCAAACATTGCTAATGAAGAAGATAAATAAAAACAAACTCTATGCTGAGAGAGTTTTTTTGTCAGGCAGATCAGATGGGGAGCCCACTTACAGGTTAAAAGTTACGCATTTAGATTTTTTATGTATTGTGGATTTTATGTTTTTATTTTTCACACCACACAAATACATACTTGTTTTAAAAATAAAGTGTAAATACAGTTGCAAGAAAAAGTATGTGAACCCTTTGGAATGATATGGATTTCTGCAAAAATTGGTCATAAAATGTGATCTGATCGTTATCTAAGTCACAACAATAGACAATCACAGTCTGCTTAAACTAATAACATACAAAGAATGAAATGTTGCCATGTTTTTATTGAACACACCATGTAAACATTCACAGTACAGGTGGAAAAAGTATGTGAACCCCTAGACTAATGACATCTCCAAGAGCTAATTGGAGTGAGATGTCAGCCAACTGGAGTCCAATCAATGAGATGAGTTTGGAGGTGTTGGTTACAGCTGCCCTGCCCTATAAAAAACACACACCAGTTCTTTGTTTGCTTTTCACAAGAAGCATTGCCTGATGTGAATGATGCCTGGCACAAAAGAGCTCTCAGAAGACCTACAATTAAGAATTGTTGACTTGCATAAAGCTGGAAAGGGTTATAAAAGTATCTCCAAAAGCCTTGCTGTTCATCAGTCCACGGTAAGACAATTGTCTATAAATGGAGAAAGTTCAGCACTGCTGCTGCTCTCCCTAGGAGTGGCCATCCTGTAAAGATGACTGCAAGAGCACAGCGCAGACTGCTCAATGAGGTGAAGAAGAGTCCTAGAGTGTCAGCTAAAGACTTACAAAAATCACTGGCAAATGCTAACATCCCTATTAGCGAATCTACAATACGTAAAACACTAAACAAGAATGGATTTCATGGGAGGTTTCACAGAGGAAGCCACTGCTGTCCAAACAAAACATTTCTGCACGTTTACAGTTTGCACAAGAGCACCTGGATGTTCCACAGTAGTACTGGCAAAATATTCCGTGGACAGATGAAACCAAAATTGAGTTGTTTGGAAGAAACACACAACAGTATGTGTGGTGAAAAAAAGGCACAGCAAACCAAAATCAAAACCTCATCCCAACTGTGAAGTATGGTGGTGGGGGCATCATGGTTTGGGGCTGCTTTGCTGCGTCAGGGCCTGGATGGATTGCTATTATCGAAGGAAAAATGAATTCCCAAGTTTATCAAGACATTTTGCAGGAGAACTTAAGGCCATCTGTCTACCAGCTGAAGCTCAACAGAAGATGGGTGTTGCAACAGGACAATGACCCAAAGCATAGAAGTAAATCAACAACAGAATGGCTTAAACAGAAGAAAATACGCCTTCTGAAGTGGCCCAGTCAGAGTCCTGACCTCAACCCGATTGAGATGCTGTGACATGACCTCAAGAAAGCGATTCACACCAGACATCCCAAGAATATTGCTGAACTGAAACAGTTCTGTAAAGAGGAATGGTCAAGAATTACTCCTGACCGTTGTGCACGTCTGATCTGCAACTACAGGAAACGTTTGGTTGAAGTTATTGCTGCCAAAGGAGGTTCAACCAGTTATTAAATCCAAGGGTTCACATACTTTTTCCACCTGCACTGTGAATGTTTACATGGTGTGTTCAATAAAAACATGGCAACATTTCATTATTTGTGTGTTATTATTTTAAGCAGACTGTGATTGTCTATTGTTGTGACTTAGATGATGATCAGATCACATTTTATGACCAATTTGTGCAGAAATCCATATCATTCCAAAGGGTTCACATACTTTTTCTTGCAACTGTATATAATAAAAAATTAGTAGGGACAGTTCCCCTTTAAAAACATTGATTCAGAGTTCAAACTTTTTACGTATCTATATAAGTTGAGAAATAATTTTGATTTGATAAATTTCTAAAAGAGTCTAATTACGAAAAACACATTGAAACAAAGTCTATTAGATTTGTGTACAGCAAAACAATTGGTTTGGCCATGTAAATTAGTCTGAAAATACATTTTGTTTTGGTGGACGCATTTGTACATGTGCTATTTTGGCTCATATAAATTTTGTTCATGAGAAAGATTCAGGGGAAAAAATTAGGACAAACCAAGAGGGTGGAAAAATTAGCCAGTGTTCTGCAAAGTATATACATAATATAGATATCGTGTGTTTATTTTGCAATATAAATACAAAATGAGGGTGCGCCGAAAAGGTTAATCAGATTAAAAAAAGATTAAAAATAATCTAAGCAACTATAGCACAAAATGTTATGGTAAAATATTGTAACAAATGAAAGATTGTGATACTTGAGATTATGATGCTTAAAATGGCTATTTAGGGTCCTTCTACCCTGGACTCCAAAATGGTATTTTGAAAAGTATCAAAATATGGAAATTGTCATTAAGTTAACATCGGTAACTTAGATTGAGAATTGTACTATAACGATATGACATTTGAAAATAAAGTGTATGCTTTTTTTGGTGGGGGAAGCCTCCAATGTTTTATCAAAATTGTTGGTCAGAAACCAGAGGGACTTACACCGACGCAACCAGGCCAAGTCGCCTCACTTTACATCGCAGTGACCACACATGTTTCACAGATAAACCTGACATATATTGCGGCATGGGAATGCGACCAACCGAGGAACTCAAAGATTGGTCGGCAATATGGGAAGCACTGGGCTCCCTCACAGTGTGCGTTACCCACAAGGAACAAGCAAGATGCTCTTCCTGTGGTTCATTGCCTTGCTCAAACTTAAAAAAACTGGGCCGTATGCAAAACAACTTGTGCTGGAAACTATGTGGCGAAACAGGCACCTACATACAGGGACATTTTAGCCGCAAGGCAAACAAGGCATTTGCCTTGGGCGGCATTTTTCAGGGGGCGGCAAAAAAAGCTGCCCCCAAATGCCCATGGCACATGTCTTGTTAGCCTTGTGGCTAACAGACATGCTGGGCTGGCTGCTGGTCGGGCTGATGGGCTGGCTGATGGGGGGGCGGGTGGCGCTGGCGAGGAAGCACTTTCTCCTGAGCTGTCTGCTCAGCTCCCTCGCGAACCGCCCAGAGTGATGCTGGGAGACGGAATATGACGTCATATTCCGGCTCCAAGCCTCACTCTGCGGGCGGCTCACGAAGGAGCTGAGCAGACAGCTCAGGGTAAAGTGCTCCCTCGCCAGCGCCGCCCGCCCATCAGCCAGCCCATCAGCCTGCCCAGCAGCACCCAGGGAGAGGGAGAACCCCCCCAGCATTCCTAAAGGTAAGTAGGCTGGGGGGGTTAAATTAAAAAAAAAAAAGTGAGTGTTAATGTGAGTGAGTGTGTTTGTTTGTGTGTATGTGTGTCTGTTAGTGTGTGTGTTTGTCTGTTAGTGTGTGTGTTTGTCTGTTAGTGAGTGTGTGTGTGTCTGTTAGTGAGAGAGTGTTAGTGAGTGTGTGTGTGTGTCTGTTAGTGAGTATGTGTTTCTGTCAGTGAAAATGTGTGTGTATTTAGAATGCGGTGCAGAGGGGGAAGGGTTGGGTGGGGGTGGCGCACGGGGGGGGAGGGGGGGGGCCTGAGTTTTGTCCTGCCTAGGGCAGCACAAAACCAGGATACACCACTGCCTACATATACTGCTGGTGGTAATGCCCGAAACTGAAATTGCTCTGGACAACAGTCCACGCAATAATAGAACAAGTCATAACAAAGCCAGTCCCAGCAGATCCCTGGACACTTCTGCTCTCAAGACCAGCAGACAGTCTCACCACAATCGAAAACAAACTTACTGCTAGAATCACACTGGCGGCCCGCAGAGCAATGACAGAATTTTGGGCAGATAAATGCATACCCTTCATAACAACATTGAAACACAAAATCACAGAAACATACAACCTTGACAAACTAACAGCACAAATACATGACTCCCACAAATCTTTTCTCCCCTACTCAAATGCAGCCTTGCTCATTACCTTCTCTGTTCAGTCACTCACACACACGTATCACTACTCTCTTGCAAACAAGCCAACTCCCATGCTCCCATGGCAAGCTATCATAAAGGGATCCCCAATGGCCCTCCCCTTGTAAGGCTCATAACCACCCAATCAGAGGTGTTTCCCCACGCCCCCCCAATGAGCACAGCTCGATTGGATCTACACCTGATGCAGCTCAGGCTCCTACAGGGATGACACCTCGACAATGGCCATCAGATCACTCATCCAATCCACAAAGAGCACCCTGACCACTCGGTCTACCACCAAAAAGAAGCCCATCGTACAACTCACGTCTGCAAACCGAGACCAAGGGAATTCAGGGGAATCAAAATTGATGTAATCCAGATGCATTATATCCATGTTGGCTGTACACTTCCAAAGTCCTAAAAGTTGTGATGTGTCACTTATTTTATGAAAAACTAAAAAACCTTGAAAATAAAGAATCTTTAAAAAAAAGAAACCAGAGGGAATGCACCCACAGAGTCATTGCTCAGTAAGAAGCTGTAGAGTGGACCTCCTGTTATCTGTGTGGAGTGGCACTTTAAGATAAAGATGAATTTGCATTAATGTGACACATTTATTCTTTCAGTGATAAATTATTTATATAAATTAAGAAGTCTAAGGCACAATTTTGAACCTAATTTGTGACTAACTCCTGCATTTATTCATCAGAACATTAATTTACAGTGCCAGCTATACAATATATAACAGCTTCTTAAAAATCATTAAAATTATATATTTATTGTATACAGGAGCCACAATAGATTTGTTTTATGGTGCGTTATATCCAATGCTGTTTTAAACCCAGTTTTGTGTACAATCAATATATATGTTTATTTATTTTATTTTTATTATAATTAATGTTTATTTCAGTCAGCAGTTGGATTTGGTTATAAGGCTGAGATACAACAGCACACCTCCCAGCAAGGTGAGTCCACAACATCTTCTTGTCCATCTTATCTCTTGATTTTATTGCTTACCATCATATCTGGCAACTATGAAAGATAAGAGGCCATGCCCATGGCTACCATCAGGAGGTAACAACCTATGTTTTGTTCAGAGTTGTAATGTTATATGGACCCTGGCAGATGGGAGTGGAACCAAGGAATTTATTTCCTAATGTGCCCTCCGCACTCACGGTTAGACCAGTGGCATGGCATAAGGAGCACTGAAGGGTCTTCACTTGTGTTCTTAAGTTATTGGAGGGGGTCCTAAAACCCACTCTCTGGTTACTGGCTTCCTCTTCCAGTAAAGTAATCCACTTCTGCTGCATTAGCCTTACAGGCCTAATAAGCACCCGCTCCGCCCGATTCACACCAGACATCCATTTTATGACCAATTTGTGCAGAAATCCATATCATTCCAAAAAGTTTACATACTTTTTCTTGCCACTGTATTTGGTGTAGGTTCTACATGTACTTCTCAGAATGAATCTTTTTGCATCTATCTCTGCAGATTACTCCAAGGGTTTTGGAGGGCGTTACGGTGTACAAACAGACCGTGTGGACAAGGTAACACCCACACAATACAATTTTTACTATCACAGAGAATTAGGTGCCCGTTTAGGGAGAACAGGTCTCCCAGAAGATGATCACCTACTCCTTTGGTACTGACAAAAGTATATCTAAGTAGGTCTAAGCAAGTGTTTAGTTACTGTTAAGCAAAAGTAGGTCTGAGCAAGTGTTTAGTTATTTTGTGAAATCCTACTATGACTAAGTCACTACTTGTCTGGGGTAACTTCAAATAAGATGACCATGGGCAGAAAGAACGGTCTTGTTGTTTACAGTAGTGAGGAAAAAAAAAAAGGGAATGGTGGAATGGAGACAGACGAAGATGCAGTATGGGTAGCAGATGAAGGAAGGGAGGTAGGAGGTGGTGAAAGATAATGAGGAAAAAAGGAGAGTGAGGGTGAAGTGGATAGTGGGAGTGGGAGTGTGAGTAAACAAAAAGAGGCTGAAAAAAAAAATAGAAAAAAAAGTTAAGTAAATTAGAACGTTTACTTATCTCGTAATATAGGACAGAAAATCCTCTGAAGCTTTAAATAAAGGCCAGTGTGTCCATATTGCCATATGTCTGTCCATGTGTCCTCTGGAAGTGTCAAGCAACTCCTCCACCTTAAGCAATGCATTCTTTGAACGAAGGAGTGTAAGGTGTTTCCCAATGTGTTCTCTGGCTGAGAGAATCATATGATAAGCTATGAAACAATGGAATATTTAAAGTGGGCTGCAGGGGTGAAGGAATTAAAAGGTAAATATTTTGCCTGAATTGCAGATAGTTTGAAGCTTACTCCAACCCTAAGCCCCCAAACTCTATGTTCACCTTAGCTACATTTTTATTTTTTGTACCATGGACATTTTGCTTCAATTTGTTTGCTGTTCAGGTGAGCTAATTTCAAAATAGTTCAATCCAGTTAGCTTTTGTTTGAAATAAAATACAATTAACTTTATTGTTCATCGATACTATCATCCAAACACTGGATAAGTGAGTTGATTGAAAGTAGCTGAATTTACTGTCGTAAAGTTGGCATGGACTGAAAAGACTTCTAAAACAGCCAAGCTGTGTCTACAGCTGAGTTGAATATTTTTTTTCAAATTGACTCTTCATTTTACATTTTAGATTTAAATGTTACAATTCACTATATATTGAATAAACCCATGTGACTTTACTTTGATTCCCCTTAGCCTGGTAAATTGTACTGATACAATATCATCTTGTTTCCCCTTTTCTTTTTGCAGTCAGCAGTTGGTTTTGAATATAAAGCTCAGGTAGAACAGCATTCTTCCCAGCAGGGTGAGTCCACCACCTATTTATATTATATGTAACCTACTAACCTCTTTTATATTCATTCAATCTCTGCCATACAACCCACACATTACACATTCTCTACAGCATTTATAGGGCTTTTATTCAAACACTAATATGTGCTCATAACTCCCCTATGATGTGGTCATCACATTTTACTCCCTATGTCTATATGTGTAATTGAAATAGCTCAACACAATGAATGTTTCAAGTAGTTTGCCCAAATTCAACTGAAAATAAAAAACTTATTTTAAAAAATAAAACTTATAATGACTTCACCAGTCTCAGAGTGATTCAACCCCTGATTAGAATCCCTCACAACACCACAAATTTGCAAAACAGATGTCTCAAGCACACCTGATGCAACTTATCAAGGGCTTCCTTAGTTGCAACAGGTGTGCTTGAACTGGAACACGTGAAATACCTAAACTGGCTAAGGGTTTATTAAGTGTCACATTTAACTGCATGTTAGAAATATGGCCAACTCAAATGAATGGTTCCCAAAGCTAAGAGAAGGGATCAATGCCATTAACAAACAAGGAACAGAATACAAAAAGACAGTGAAGGCACTAAATGTCCCTAGAGTTAGAAGCATAGTTCGCAAGTTCAAAGTTGAAGGAACAATGGTTACATTACCAGAGTGGGGCAGAAAATTATTTATTTATTTATAAAATATTTTACCAGGAAAGATACATTGAGATTTCTCTCGTTTTCAAGTATGTCCTGGGTCCACAAAACATTGCATTGTTACATTAGGTACAACAAAATACAAAAACAATATTAATACACAATATGTACAAAATTTAACATAGAACAGGCAGGAAATATATAATCAACCATGACACGTGCATTCTGTTTTGAGGTATGTGGAGAGGGATCTCTTAAATGATGTTAGGCTTAGGGAAGATTTTAAATTGTGCGGGAGGTCGTTCCACAATTGTGGTGCTCTGTAGGAGAAGGAGGATCGGGCCGCTTTCTTTTTGTATTGAGGTAGACTAAGTAAAGTGCTTGTACTGGATCGGAGCTTATAGAAAGTGGGAACAGCTGGTGAAAGCATTTTGTTCAGGTAGTGTGGGAGTTTCCCAGAAAAGCTCTTAAAAACAAGGCTGGAAAGATGAAGGGTGCGTCTGGATTCCAGCGATAGCCAGTTTAGTTCCTTTAGCATGTCACAATGATGGGTCCTGTAATTACATTGTAGCACAAATTGGCAGAACGAGTTATACAATGTGTTGAGTTTATTAATGTGGGATTGCGATGCAGATGCATATACTACATCCCCATAATCAATGATTGGCATCAGCATTTGCTGTACAATCTTTTCCTTTACTGTAGGGCTTAAGCAGGCTTTGTTTCTGTACAGGGCACCTAATTTTGGATAAAGTTTAGATGCAAGCTTTTCTATGTGCAGGCCAAAAGATAGATTGGGGTCTAATATCATACCCAAGTATTTGAAAGAGTGGACTGCGGTCAGTGTGCCATTTGAATTTGTTTTGATGGATAGGTGGGGATTGTGTAATTTGTGTAATTTAGGTACTGTTCCAAAAATCATTGTGACAGTTTTGTCAGTGTTCAGGAAGAGTTTGTTTTTTGCGATCCACTTTTCTCCCTCTGTAAACTGTTCTTGGAGCAAAGCCTCAAGTTGCGGTAGATTGGATTTGCTCGCATAGATTACCGTGTCATCTGCGTACATGTGTAAATTTGAGGATTGGCAGACATTAGGCAGATCATTTATAAATAATGTAAATAGTAGGGGGCCGAGAATGGAACCCTGGGGAACACCACACGTGACTGGGAGAGGGAGGGAGTCACTGTCAGAAATGGACACATATTGCGAGCGATCCGATACATACGATCGAAACCAGTTTAGAGAATGATCACCAATACCTGAGTTTTTGAGTTTGTGCAGTAGAATGTCGTGGTCTACTGTGTCAAAGGCCTTAGCAAAATCAAGGAAAATAGCTCCAGTTAGGGCTCCTTGTTCCATGCCAGTTTGGATGTCATTGCAAACTTTTAGGAGGGCAGTTGTAGTGGAGTGATTCTGGCGAAAAAGCCCGATTGATCAGGGGTCAGATAGTTTAATTGTTGGTAGTACTCACAAAGTTGCATAATGGAAACTATCAATGGCTGCAACCTGATTTATGAGAAGGCAGATTGTGAAAAACCCTTGCTGCAAAACGCCTGCAGCAGGTCTTGGTGGCAACAGGCACAAATATATATATTATTTACCATAATTTTCTATTTACCATTTGGACATTAAAGCAGCTCATTTTAATAATTTTGGTAAAAGTGCTTTGTCTGCCTCTAATGGAGTTTTTTTTTTTTTTTACACTCTTATACTTTATACCTTTAACCAGCTGTTGTGTAGTCATAGATATGGACAAGAAATAGCTCTACACCTCAATCTCCACCTCCTTTTACCAAGTGACTTTATATTGGCAAAGTTCCAGCAGATGTTTATTATCTGTAAGGTGGTACCCACTTAACCTGTAAAATTCCAGAATTATATATTAGATAACATAATAAAACAAATAAACTCGGTAGATTTTTATGTTTAGTTATAAATTTTTGCCGTTTACAAATTTCAACTACAAATACCCAAAAACCACTAATGGTCTTACTTTGTTCCTTTTTATGGAGTTTTTCATGTACTACTCAAACTTTTGTTTTGGTTGATTTTGTTTTATTGCCATTTCTTTTAATCTCAGATTACTCCAAAGGATTTGGAGGGAAATTTGGAGTCCAAAAAGATCGCCAAGATAAATCTGCTCACACTTGGAGTCACAAAGAAGAAATACAACCCCATCAATCGCAGACAGGTACCAATCTTTGCAGGTAGTCAAAGGTCATCAGTCTGCAGAGACTCACTCAATATAATGGCTGTTGATACACATCATTACCAGTTCTCCTTACTCAAAATTATTCTGATCACTTGATACTCATTATAATAATAATTTGACATTCACTAATTAGTGAAGATGATTAAGCACACTTAAAATATAACTTGATTGAAATTGAATGTACCTTTAGAGATTAATTATTTCAGCAATTATACAGCGCCACCATTCAATTAGTTCATAAAACATCTCTTGCTTATTATTAGATAACTTGCCATCATGTTTGAAAGTCACTCTATATCCACTCGTTATCCATTACCTGACATTCATAATTTCATCCATTATTTTTGAATGAAAATGATATATTCTAGGATCATCCTTATGTTCTACTGTATGACTTCTAACTTTTCTCCATCCAAGCTTTGTCCACTTTGAGACATTTGCTTTGTTTCCCATGTTCCACTCTAGGATATCTTGTCTAACCACTCAATATTGTTTTATTTTTGTCAGACCATTCACAAGGGTTTGGTGGTAAATTTGGAGTCCAGAAAGATCGACAAGATAAAGCTGCTCACAGTTGGAATCACAAAGAAGAAGTTAAACCTCATGAATCACAGACAGGTAACACCAGTGTGTATAACCAAATATGTAAATGAAATATGTCTTCCCGACCAAACTCACAAGCGTCATGATGTACTTAAACAGTTGTTAAAGGGGAACTCGAAGAACTCTAACCATTGCAGCTCATTGAGGGGGCTATGGTCCAACAAGTTGGTGATGTCGAAGTGACGCTATCAGGATACTGAAATATGTTAGTGATGCCATGGCTAAAATGGCCTCATTGTAAACTTTCTAAAATGATTCAATACTGTTAGAAAAACTTAAAAAAATTATTTATCTACAAAACCTTTAATGGTGACTTTGGTAAAGAAATACTTTTCAAAGTTTTTCTAACAGTATTGAATTAGAGGAGTGTTTAGGCTTTCATTAAATAAAAGATTGGGAAGAATTAGGTAGTATGCAGTTTTTGACCTCATGATTTTACATATTTGGGTACCCATGGCTATTTGCAGTAATCACATAGCCTAGAGGTTGTTCCTTTGCAGAGGTGTTGTCCAGTAATGACTGGATTCCACCCCAACACACACACACACACACGTACATATTTCATTCTCTGCTGATTATGGTATTTAAAATGAATACAGAGATAGTGACTGTAAATACATTTTGAGAGCTGTACTTGCTTGAAAACACAGAGTGACTTTACTTCCATTGGACTTTATAAGGAACTACAGCTAGCACACTTTTTTACATAATGTTAGGTATTGACTGATGATATAATTTTGGACCTGGATTGGACCTCCATGGCTCATACTTCTAAACTGTTAGAGTTAGCAGCAGTATATTTCCAGCCTAACAAAAACTTGTAAACATAATATTAAAGTCTAGTAGTCTATTAATGCAGGTTTGGGCTTATTGCACTAGTTTTTGTATTGAGCACTGAAAATTATTCACACAAATATTTACACATTTTAGTTTTATTATCTAAAAAAAAGTTATGTTTTATTTTTGGGAACCTGAGTATGAGCACTCTACTACTTTTATTCTGATTCCAGTTAGGGTTTAATCCCCTAATTAGATAGGCAGGCCTTGTGTATAACAGACAGTCTGAAAACCCTCTGTATTGTGTCATACTCTACCAGAGAAATGTATGGTTTACTCACTAAACTGAATTGCAGTGAACTGAAAATTTTAATTGCAAAATTTTAATGAAAATCCCTCATTTAAAAAGAAAAAAACATCTACAGCTCACTTGTGATGGACCACCTGGTCACTATGGTTGGGTACAGGACTTCTAGTCACCACCATCCCCAAAAGAGCTATACGTTACTGTACCTCTTGGCTAGGAGAGACAAAGTAACCACCTAGAGTGCCACAGGGACTAGCAGAAGGCTAGCATGGAACTGCTGATTGGATCTCGAGATTGCTACGGTCTGGTCAAACTTAATGTAGCTTTCAGCTCCAATACCATCAAACAGGGTGCTATTTGGAAGGGTGATCATGGAGGTGACCAGGCATTCAGCGATACCTAGGACTTGTGGGAGCTCAATGTATCGCTGTTCGGTGCCCTGATGTCTGGCCTTTAATAAAGTTCTCAGTTGATAAAATAATGCCCCAGACCCCAAATTTGTATTGTGAACTATTTTGCAATATGTATTGTGTTGATGACCCTCTGTTGGGGACTGTGATATAAAAAGGCCACTGTCACTCAAAGTGTTGTTGCTGTACCCTGCATCAAGCCTTTACTTATGATTGGGAATAAGGGCTCTATTGACTTTTGGTCCTACTCTGTGGGGAAAAGGAAATCCCATGCAGTGGTACTGTGGTTAAATAGGAGCAGTACACTACATCAGTCTATATTCAAAGCTAAGCTTTTTAGCCTAAATGTTTCAGTTCACAATGCTTTTCTGGTTCAGTTCAAAATGCTTCTTTGTTATGTTACTAAAAAAATGATGTTTAATTAATAAACAGGCTCCAGTTTCAGTCAGTGAAACACAAAGAGGAACCAGCAATTTACACTAACTTTGTGTAGGGTTTAACCCTTTTGTCAGCATGAAGGGAAAACCAAAAGTTAATTCCTGGCCTGAGTAATTTACCATCCAGCACCTCCACACAACACAACACAGCTTTTATTCTGAAAATATCAAGTACTGGTACCTATTTAAAAATTCCTGTATATAATGGATACTAGATACACACATAATACACACGTACATGTGTGTGCGAAAGAAGGATGGACAGTTTGCTATGAGTATCTTGGAGGCCATGTTAAAATGTTTTTTTTTTTAATAGTTTTACTCATGTTCTGCTCCTGATCCCACTGCCATTTTATGCTCTGTGGCATTGGACAAGGTAAGTGGCTACAGGTTCTCTTTAACCCCTTAAGGACACATGACATGTGTGACATGTCATGATTCCCTTTTATTCCAGAAGTTTGGTCCTTAAGGGGTTAAACATGATTATCACTGAGGTGCTAAATGTAACTAAAAATAAGAAAATTAATTTAAAAAATACATTATGATTGTTGACTTCTAAATAATGAATTTATTTTTATAAGTGTTTTTTAAAAAATTTTTTAACCTGTGTATCAAATGCAGATTACGCTAAGGGATTTGGCGGTCGTTATGGTGTACAGACTGATCGGGTGGACAAGGTACTTTTTAAAAGAGGACTTTGTTGTACTGAGCAGTTATAGGTTACTAGGTATAGAACTGAAATGGACAAGTTTATATGGAAGAAATAATCATCACAGGATAATAGTAGGGTATATAAATCTATAATAGAGGAATAAAATGTAGCTCTAAGTAGTCTTGGGTTTGTTTCATTCCAAACTGCGAATCCGTCCAAACCGGGTGATCATTCAAATTCCCAAACTTCAACCTGAAATGGAGCCAAATCACAAACTAAGCAAAATGTGCAATGGCCAGTCGTGTTCGTGCTGATTGATTCTGAATTCCACATGGGCATCAAAAAAAGATGATTGATGAAAAAAAAGATGACTGATTGCTACGATGACTAGGGGACAGTACTAAATGTTTTTATTTTATTCACAAATCAAGAGATGTGAGAATAGAGTGGGGGGGGGGAGGAGAAGCAGTTAAAAAAAAAATCAATGTTTATATGTAAATGTAGATTTTGTTTTTTTCCACCTATTGATTACTTTCTAAGTGGCAGAAAATGTTCCTATCAGTATACAGCAACATATGTATATAATACGTATTGTATATAATTTGCAGTACATTGGTTGTCCCATTTTCACACTATTGCTTTATCTGTTTCTTTTTCTTAATCAGTTTTTCATTATCGAAATTGGCCAAAATTAATCTCTCCTGAATGGTTTTCACTATGCACAAGTCTAATTGTAAGCATGGTACTATGGGTTTAATTATATCTTCATTTTACTGTTCTCTCCACAGTGTGCCTCTGGATTTGGTGAAATTGAATCTCCCAGTTCCGTTTATCAGAAAACTCAACCACTGGAAGCCAGTAATTAATAACCATTTTCTCATTATAGTTCTCAAATTATAGATAGACAAAATTTATTTTGCGGTAATGTGGAGTGGGTGGGGATGCAAATTCATCATATTAAATAATGTCTATTAAAATGAAAAATTGGCTTAGCCACTTTCTTGCAGTCTGCTAGTACAGCGGCTGATAGATTTGAATTAGATACGTGATGTGAGCGGAGGTCAGACAAAAAGTTTTCCAAAGACTTGCATGACTGCAGAGGTAATCTGGAAAATCTGAGAGATACGGTAATTATTGATGTAGAGTAGTGAAAGATACGGTAACTCGTGATGTAGCGCAGTGAGAGATATGGTAACTCATGATGTAGAGCAGTGAGAGTTCCTGTAACTCATTATGTAAACCAATGAGAGATACGGTAACTCATGATGTAGAGCAGTGAAATATATGGTAACTCATGATGTAGAGCAGTGAGTTCCAGTAACTCATGATTTATAGCAGTGAGAGTTCCAGTAACTCATGATGTATAGTAGTGAGAGATCTCATAACTCATGATGTAGAGCAGTGAGAGATCTCATAACTCATGATGTAGTGCAGTGAGAGATACGGTAACTCATGATGTAGAGCAGTGAGAGATACAGTAACACACGCACAGTGAGATCCAGTAACTCGTGAGACAGAGTAGTGAGAGATGCTGAAATTTCAAACCCCAATGTACATTTAATGGCCACTAGAGAGTTAAGTCATCTGTCTGTCACCAAGTTTTTGGTGGTCCTTACTTTTTCTATTTTTTTCCATCTGAAAGGCAAAATCTCATATGAAACAGTTGGAGGTTTTCTTTTCAAAGACAGCAAACTAATCAACACTAAATAAGGAGCACATAGAGAGTAGTTGGCTACACTAGCCAGATGCTATAGTAGAAATGCTATCTAGGTGTGCCTACATTTTGCCTCCCAGAAGTTGTTTAAGTAGATTAACCAATGCTATTTATTTCAGTGACAAGTGGCGCTCATAATTTGAGATCTCGATTTGAGAATATTGCACGAACTGCAGAAGAGGAAAATCGTCAGCGAGCGGAGGAAGAGAAAATGAGACGACAGAAGAGAGATAAAGAGGAGAGAGGGCAAACAAAGAAAGAGGTGAGAGTAAAGTAATAAAATAGATGAATAAGACACTGATCAAGTGCTAAATGGATTACAATGAACAATGATTTGGATTGAGTGAAAAAATGTATATAGAACCCAAGAAGGACCAAACACACAATTAAGCAAAAGGCACAATGACAGTCGTGACAGATGGTCATTAGTGGTCCTCACCGGTAAACCACTCTCCCCTCACCCCAACACCAGGCTTGTAACTGTGGACTTTCTACCAAAAAAATGAATTAAATTAAAAGAGTGAGCAGGACAGAAACATAGGATATTTGCAGGACACCATAGCAGAGGAAGCCACAATGCAGTCTTTAAGTAAATTAGTCAGGAACAATGTCAGATAAGGTGAAAACAAAGGAAGAGGTATCAGCAGACATCATTTATATAGTGTCAACTTCTTCCACAGTACTTTGCAATGTTATTATATATCAACTCCCATGATTCTTTCAATTAAACAGATAGCCAGGGAATCATGGGAGTTGTAGTTCAGCAACAACAGCCCTGGTCTATGTCATGATTGCTTGGTTAGTGGCAGGGCCCTCACAGGAGCACAGTGATGTCAGACATAGGGCATGGTACATCTATAACTACAGCTGATAGCGGTAGTGAGATTTAGGTAAAGTTAATAACAATAGCATGTTTTGCTCTGTGCATGGAAACCTTCACCAATAACATTGTAATGCTGGGCATCTAGGAATATGTTTGTTCTTTTTAACAGAAAATAAGCCTTATTTTATAATTTTCCATATAATATACAAGCGATCCCTGGAAGCCATTATATTCTTGTGCAATTACAATAGCACAAACTAATATTAAGGGTGCGTCTGCAGCAAGAAATTTAAAATTTTCTATACATTATGCACAAAAGTGGCGAATTATATTGTAAACTATATATGTTCTGTAATACATGCGTAACATATCAGGGTAACATCTTGTTGTAGATTCAGCAGAGCACAGACAGTAACAATGTGTTGCCTCCTAAGCTTCCTGTGCAAGCTCCTGTGCCTGTGCCTAGAAATTCTACACCACCAAAACCTGTAGAAAGAGAGGTAGGTGCATCTGTATAAAATTCTTAATTTTGTCAAATGGCAGTGCATTTCTACATTTACTGTTCCCATTCCTAGATATTGCTAGATCCAGATTATCAGGAACCCCCTCCTATACCACCTCCTCTCTATGACATTGAAGCAGAATATATAGAACCACCACATGAAATATGTGATGAAGAGGACACATATGAAGATATTTCTGCTCCTCCAAATAACACAGAGGAAGATTATGAGGCGATCCCAGATCCTCCACCTAGAGCAATAGTAGAAAATGATGATGAAGACTATGACTGTATTCTGGAACCTGATGCTCCAAGAGAGGATGCACTTTATGAGGAGTTGCTAAAAGATGAAAATCCTCATGTGCTTGGTGAGTGTACAATCCATGTAAGGACTCAACCAAAAAAAATGAGATTTATGGAGAGTTGACAAGAGATTTGCACCTTTTAGACCAAAATGTCCAAAATGAATAAAATGTCCACATCCATTATGTTTACAACTCATTTTACCTTAAACTATGCAGTTCATTTGCCAGCTATGCAGTTCATTTGCCAGCTTTGTAAATAAATCACAATATGGAAGCTGCCATTTGACTATAAGGTCTCTTTCAATAAGGAGTTAAATAATTTATTAATGTAGGCCTAACCACACCTCCTCTGAATGTCACTCATACAGTCTCCCTACATTTCCTGTAAAGAGAGATCTAATCAGATCTAATGTTTAAACTTCCTCTATGGCACAGTGTGTTTGAATTAGAATTCCTTATTTCCTGTTGTTGTGGTTCATGGTTTTGGATGTATTCATTTGCGCAATTCAAAAGGTTTCACAGTAACTACAGTGTTAAACTTTTAGGAGAACCAAGATGGCTGCCAACTATGTGCTTCAAAGAGCATCAAGATAGCCACTTGTCATGTGTCCTGGTGTAACCTAGTTACACTAACAATAGACATCACCTAGTAACACTAACAATAGAGTTAATAGAAGCCTACATATATTTGCAAGCATTTAAAACCAACCCTTTAATTTAGTACAGCTCTAATTTTAGATTATTAGCTGCATAAGGTATTTTGGCAGAGTTATATCCGAACATGTAGAGACCAAATGACACTCAGAGTGCAACAAAATATAATGTTTAATAACAAGATGTTAGAAAAATATAACAAATATTAATAAACATGTTCTAGGTCAACACTTGTAATGCTAACTAGACAATTATCCTTTGCATTACTAATCGTATATATCCCATGATTGCAGTTAAAGCATATCAAACGCAATCCAAGCAACTTAATCTAAACACAAGTATAAAAACTATGACACAGTTATACAGTTTTATACTTCATGCCCCAGGATCTTAGATGAAATGAGATAAACGTTTCTGCTACTCTGTGTGGATCAAACTTCATGCCCCAGGATAAAACTATGGACCTAGAGCACATACTTGTAGCCTTAGAAAATTAGTAAGTATTAGTGCCCCTGTACTGCTACATTCGTGCTATCCACAACGAACTCCAAAAACCAACTCCCAAACATCCACAAAACAGCTTCACAATCACCATAGTAACATGTTCCTCCTTCCAGCCTATTCCCTACACATCAATCAGCCTCCTGACTCTGAACTGGTTAAACAGGCTTGTTAATTAACTTTTTCAGTGTTTAGAAATGGCATTTATGCAGAGAATATATGTTCAATGGGGAATTTATAACTTTGAGAGTTATGGGCATAAAAGCACAAATATTGTGTTAAAATTATAGTCATATTTAATTTCCATAACACCTGCTCTACTAATAGCCTACTAGAGCCTGCAAGAGCCTCATGTGTGATTAAAGTTTTGTTTACAGGGCAAGAGATAAAAAAGTAAGTTTAAGATTGATTGAAAATGACACAAATAAAACAGGTGAAGTACAGAATATACAGCACCTCCCTTAATACTCTTATACCCACACTCATCTAAACATGACAACACCCTTCATTACAGGAGAAAGTGATATGCCACATTACAACAGACACAAGGGGAAGGGTAAAGACGCAACACAGAGAGGTGTTGGGAACTATGTATTACTGCTAGACATGTGCAATTCGTTTCGGTCCAAATATGAATTTGGATGAATTTCGGGCAATTCGGACATTCGGGTACCTCCGAATGTCCGAATTGCCGAAGTGCCGAAAGTGCCGAATTGCCGAGGTCCCGAAGTTCCAAAATTACCGAATTTCTGAAGTGTCGAAGTGCCGAAGTTGCCAAAGTTGTCGAAGTGTCAAAGTTCCGAAGCACAGTATTGCCTAAGTACTAATATACTTACCCAGTGCAAGAAGAAGAATGTTACATTGTATACAATTTTAAATAAAAAGTATACCAACATAACCAGGATTCAGCTGTAAGCATTTGCAACACTTACAACAATCAAGTAACATACATTCATATAAAATGTAAGTTACTTGGCCTGTCAATCTAATGTGTAATTTGACTCATAACTCTCTGATTAGTGGATTAAGTAACCAATCAATGAGTTATGAGTCAAATTACACAGCGTGGGAAAATTCCAAAGAACTTTCCCACGCTGTGTAAAATGACACAGAGCACTCTGATTGGTGGATTTCAAGCCAACCAATCAGAGTGTTGTGACAGGTAAATGTAGAGACTTACCTGTCAGTCTCTTCATTTACCTGTCAGAGCACTCTGATTGGATGGCTTATACCCACCAATCAGAGTGCTCTGAGCCTAATTGCAGGGCGGGGCAAGGCTTTATAAGTGTAGATGGATTTTTTTTTTTTGCGCTCTTTTTTTTGTGTCGGTTATTATGGTTTTTTATTTGGCCTTTTTGGGGGCTGAAAAAAGAAGATTTTAGAAGAAAGAAAACATTGAATGGTAAGTTTTTTTTTTTTTTTACAGGTACTTAATTAAAGGTCCCCCCTCATTATTTTTAGCTTTGGGGACCCCTAGTCACCTGATGGGAACATTTTTTTTTTTAGGGCCCCCACCCGCCGCTCAGAGGTGGGGGCCGGGGAGGGAGGACCTTAGGTGTCCCCCTTTATTAGTATTTAGGGTCCCCACCCGCTGCTCAGGGGTGGGGGCCAAGGGGGAGGACATTAGGTCCCCCCTTATTAGTATTTAGGGCCCCCACCCACCGCTCAGTTTTGGGGGCCAGGGGGTAGGACATTAGGTCCCCCCTTATTCCAATTTAGGGCCCCCTACCCGCCACTCAGGGGTAGGGGCCATGGGGAGGACATTAGGTCCCCTCTAATTATTATATAGGGCCCCCACCCACCGCTCAGGGGTGGGGGCTGGGGGAGGACAATAGGTCCCCCCCATCATTTTACTTTAGGGCCCCCACCCGCCGCTACAGTATAGCAAGTAGGTGCAAAATTTACTAATACTAAGTAATTTTTACTTAGTATTAGTAAATCTGGCTGAAAGATCAATTTAGGTCTTTCAGCCTTTTGGTAGATAACTCCCTAATACCGTGGGAGCTATCTACTAAGTGGCTGCAATAGAAGTCTGAAGTCCCGAAATTCCTAAATGCCTAAGTTCAGAAATTCCAAAGTTCTGAAGTGTTGAAGTGCCGAATTGCCGAAGTCCCGAATTGCGAAAATCCAGAATTTCGGAATGCCGAACTGAACCGAAAATTTTCCCAATGCACATGCCTAATTACTGCAAATATTTTACGTATAAACTGCACTGTCTATGCTCTCTCTCCTACGTGGAAACACTGTTACTCTGATAACTGTTACTTAAGACCTGTGTGCAAGTCACATGTTATGAGACGCTAATATGTATTGCATCACTCTGATTTTACGTTTACTAACAGCACAATAAAGAAAAATGTAATACAAATAATACAGGTGGCCATGTGTGAACCGCACATAATAAAACTACATTTGATTACTATAGATACACAGATATACTTTAACAAAATTTTAAAATATGGTTTGTTTAAACTTAACTGATGGAACCATAAAATAAATGGCTTAATAAAAATGTAACAAAAATTTTAAAAAATCACCCCTACATCACATATCAAGGTCTCTTGTGCAAGTGAATAAACTTATTCACATAAAAACCGAAAAAAAAATGCTGACTGATTCTGGCATAACATTTTTTAATTATCTCAAGCCTAAGGAAAATCTTTTATTTACAGAGTTTAGGTCCAGATAAAATCAACATAATTATTTGGGTGTAATAAGATAATTGCCCTCTTTAAAGGAACACTATATGCATCAAAACAACTTTAGCTTAATGAAGCAGTTTTAGTGCATAAATCATGCCCCTGAGGTCTTAATGCTCAATGATGCTCAATTCTCTGCCATTTGGGAGTTAAATCACTTTTGTAAATACAACCCTAGCCACACCTCATCTTCTGTGACTGACATAGCCTGTATGAAATACATTGTTTCATTTTCAATCAGGTGTTAACATGCTTTAGAAGTTTTTAAATGTAACTTAAATCACACGCTGGAGCCTCCAGCACGGTCTAGGAGGCTATTAACAGAGCATTTAGAATTCTAAATTAAACAGAAAGTGCAATAAAGGAGGTTTACATATTCAATCTCTCTTTACAGAACGTGTTAAGGAAAGCTGTGTAAGTCACATGCAGGAAATTGTGACTAGAAGGGATTTAACTCCTAAATGTACATCAAAACTAGTCCATTAATTTAAAGTTCTTTGGTACCTATAGTGTCTCTTTAACCTTCAGGAAACTTGGAAAATTGAGTGAAGTTGGGAGAAGCGAAGGGAGAAACCTGGGGCTAAAATGACAACTATTGTGAAATTTTGAAATTTTGAAAAATCATTGTCTCACTGATTGTTATGAAATATATTTCTGCTTTCAGCATCTTCTATGGGTGGTGTGCAAGCTCCCGGAATCTCTGCTATTGCTATTTATGATTACGAAGGAGGTATGTTTCCAACTGTTCAAGTGTGTTTATTTGTAAATAGGTAAAATGTTCCAGAGTGCTGCACAGTGCTAACTGTTTGTTAGGTGACTTTGAAGAAATTACTAAAAATGTTAGTTTAACACTGGTTTTTTATACACATATTATTAGTTAGAAACATAGAAACATAGAAACATAGAATGTGACGGCAGATAAGAACCATTTGGCCCATCTAGTCTGCCCAATAGTTGTAATATATGTGAGTATTATGTGTAAATTACCAGGATGTTTAGCTATTTTGGTCTAAAACTTTGAAATTCAGTTTAAGTTCAATTTGGTTTGAAAATCTTTATTTAAAAGACAAGGCAAATTAAACAAACCATAAGCAGTCTTGTACATTTTTTTTTAAATAGTGAGTTTACTATTTAGTATAAAATGTATGTGTAGCAGAAGTGAGCTGGGGTACAATTAAAGTAAACAAGGCAAGAGACAGAAAGATACATGATAAAAGAGGAAGACAAGAAAGAATAGAGGGGAAAAATAGACAAGAGTGGGCAAACAGAGGGGAAATTGCCTTAATAATGTGTGGTGAGAATGAGAGCTAAAGGATCTAGACCAGGGACCTCCAAACTATAGCCCACTGGCCACATCCAACCTTCCACAAGTTGTAGGTACTTCCCCAAGCAGCATTGACGTCAAGCATAGGTGCCGCTACAGGTTTGTATCCCCCCTCACCCCCCCCTACCCAGTAAGGGTACGCAGAAAACCCAGTCATAGCACATATATAAAATACACAATCCAGCGCACTTGCTTATTTACTAAACAATTATTTAAAATCTGAGAGATTGTAATAGTTTTATTTAAAAACACCTCACCTAGGCAAAAATATAATGGGGTTTAGTTACATTATATGAACATACAGTTGCAAGAAAAAGTATGTGAACCCTTTGGAATGATATTGATTTCTCCACAAGTTGGTCATAAAATGTGATCTGATCATCATCTAAGTCACAACAATAGACAATCACAGTCTGCTTAAACTAATAACACACAAAGAATGAAATGTTGCCATGTTTTTATTGAACACACCATGTAAACATTCACAGTGCAGGTGGAAAAAGTATGTGAACCCTTGGATTTAATAACTGGTTGAACCTCCTTTGGCAGCAATAACTTCAACCAAACGTTTCCTGTAGTTGCAGATCAGACGTGCACAACGGTCAGGAGTAATTCTTGACCATTCCTCTTTACAGAACTGTTTCAGTTCATCAATATTCTTGGGATGTCTGGTGTGAATCTATTTCTTGAGGTCATGCCACAGCATCTCAATCGGGTTGAGGTCAGGACTCTGACTGGGCCACTTCAGAAGGTGTATTTTCTTCTGTTTAAGCCATTCTGTTGTTGATTTACTTCTATGCTTTGGGTTATTGTCCTGTTGCAACACCCATCTTCTGTTGAGCTTCAGTTGGTAGACAGATGGCCTTAAGTTCTCCTGCAAAATGTCTTGATAAACTTGGGAATTAATTTTTCCTTCGATGATAGCAATCTGTCCAGGCCCTGACGCAGAAAAGCAGCCCCAAACCATGATGCCCCCACCACCATACTTCACAATTGGGATGAGGTTTTAATGTTGGTGTGCTGTGCCTTTTTTTTGCCACACATAGTGTTGTGTGTTTCTTCCAAACAACTCAACTTTGGTTTCATCTGTCCACAGGATATTTTGCCAGTACTGCTGTGGAACATCCAGGTGCTCTTGTCCAAACTGTAAACTTGCTGCAATGTTTTGTTTGGACAGCAGTGGCCTCCTCTGTGGTATACTCCCATGAAATCCATTCTTGTTTAGTGTTTTACGTATTGTAGATTCGCTAACAGGCATGTTATCATTTGCCAGTGACTTTTGTAAGTCTTTAGCTGACACTCTAGGATTCTTCTTCACCTCATTGAGCAGTCTGTGCTGTGCTCTTGCAGTCATCTTTACAGGACGGCCATTCCTAAGGAGAGTAGCAGCAGTGCTGAACTTTCTCCATTTATAGACAATTTGTCTTACCGTGGACTGATGAACAGCAAGGCTTTTGGAGATACTTTTATAACCCTTTCCAGCTTTATGCAAGTCAACAATTCTTAATCATAGGTCTTCTGAGAGCTCTTTTGTGCGAGGCATCATTCACATCAGGCAATGCTTCTTGTGAAAAGACAACCCAGAACTGGTGTGTGTTTTTTATAGGGCAGTGCAGCTGTAATCAACACCTCCAATCTTATCTCATTGATTAGACTCCAGTTGGCTGACATCCCACTCCAATTAGCTCTTAGAGATGTCATTAGTCTAGGGGTTCACATACTTTTCCCACCTGCACTGTGAATGTTTACATGGTGTGTTCAATAAAAACATGGCAACATTTCATTCTTTGTGTGTTATTAGTTTAAGCAGACTGTGATTGTCTATTGTTGTGACTTAGATGATGATCAGATCACATTTTATGACAGAAATCCAATTTGTGCAGAAATCCATATCATTCCAAAGGGTTCACATACTTTTTCTTGCAACTGTATATTGCATAAGCCTGCCACAACGTCAAGGTACCCCATCCTTGGCAGGTCCTACTCTAGCAGCCTAATGCTTGCACTTATGAGATTAATCCACTTATTTGGGAAATACTTCCTTACTGGGACTCTCTGCAAGTCAAGGCTAAATAGGATCCTGGAATGAGGCACCTGTGACAGGGAGGGGTGCAAAACCAAGTAGTTGGCTTGGACTCCCAAATATATAAATGAAACCAAGAGGGCTGCACTCACCTGAACATGCTTAAATTATAGGGTGCTGCTGGGGCCAAAATACACAATCCAGCGTACACGCTTATTCACTAAACAATGATTTAAAATCTTCTATATCAGCATTTAGCTATACCTAGAGTAATAAAAGTCCAGAGATATGGTGGAGTTTGCATTATTATAATAGTCCAATGTAGATTCTTATGTGTGGAGACTTCCTGTAGGATGGACAGTTTTCAATGACAACCAGTTGTCTTTAATAAGTCAGCATATGGAATGAGAGTAAACAGAAAAGGCCTTTGATAATATAGTATTTTCAAATAAATGAAATATTTGAAGAAATGAACTTACAAGTAAAGAGTTATCAAGTAGCTCAATGTTTATAACGTATAGCAATGCTTTCTTTGCCTCAGTGCTGGTGGATATGTATATATACATGCCAAGTAGATAGGATAAGTAAGTATTGTGTTGACCATAGGCTGATGGAACATCTCATAAATAATATGTGATCAAAAGCACATAAAGAAAGTACCAATAGAGTAGAACTTTTATACCAGGTGGTCTATGTGGAAGGAAGTCAAAAACACACAAACAGCTCTAAGGAAAAAGCATGGAGTGGTGCAATCCCCACTCTAGGATATTGGTGTATGGTCTCTTTCCAAATATCGTCAATGGAATGTAAAATACAAGCACAAAAAAGAAAACGTAGTGCTCTCTGTTTATAGCAATGAGTAGAATAAAATGAAAATCTACTTACATTTTTGTGAGCATTTGAATGCTCTGTAATATCAGTATGAGTAGTATAATCTCCACATAGAATAAATTAAGGAAAATCCAAAGGAATATAATGCCAGACAACAATCTTCAGTGATGTAGAGAAGTACAGATAGCCCGATTTAGGACCAGCAGGTAGGGCTTACCACTAGTAGTTTATTAAAATTTTAATTACCAATAGTTTAAAATAAATAGAGTTAAATCAAGCAATAAAAGCAAATACAGGTAATTAACAACATGTTTTGCCTCAAGGCCTTTATCAAGGGAAACAAAGCAGAGGTCTTGACTAAAGTGTTATTTACAGGGCATCAGAAACTGAAAATCACAGTTTAGTGACATCAGTCATGTGACCACTGTAAGAGTCATATGACTGGCAAATTGTAATAGCAAAATAAATAAAGTTCATAACTAAGCAAATTTTATCTTGGCTTAAAAAGTTAAATGGGAAAATACATTGATATGTAGTTTCACAGTCAATTGTAGTGGGAGAGGACTACAAAGTCCTTAATGCCTTGCGTTTATTTAGATGTAATTGAATGATCGCAAATACATCAGGATGCAACTGAGTGAAAAGACTAGCTAGTCTTTGAAGTCCAAATGACTGTGTGGTGCGGGAGATTAAAAATAAAGGAAAAATTAGAAAGAGAAAACTTACAAGCGCTGTTCGAAACTCCATGGTTCATAGTACTCTTTGGTCCGATCACTTGATAGGAGGAGCAGAGAAAAAAATCTGTTAAAAATGCATATATTTGACCAAGCTAAGATCTTGCCCGCATTTAGGCAGGACATTGAGAGGTGGTGTGGTCTTGAAATGTCATGGTTAGGTAGATTTAATTCAGTTAAAATAACAAAGTGAATTATAAGAATATAGAGAACAAGTGACCTTCTGAGACATTTTTGAAAAGAATTACAAATCTGAAAAAATAGATGCAGTCATAATATATGCAGAAGAACAAGATAGAAACGGTCTTCTTTCATATAAAAGTTAACACTAACACCATGGCCATTCAGATACATTTACTTAGTGATTATTTAAATGTATCTGATCAGGATCTGGACATATGTAAAGTTTAACAATAAAAAAAATAAAAAAAATAAAATATACATATATATGTATAATATATAATTAATAATCAACACTGGCATGTACTTAAACAAAATGAAAAACAGGGACTGTCCCTCCTAAATTGAGACACTTTGGAGATATGGTGCAATCAACTTTATGTAATATTTTTACATTCTCACTGATATGCACAGCAATGAATTGCCAGATGGATGATGGTAAGTGACGAATTGTTTCTACAGATGATCTTTCCATGAACAATTTGTTTGTACTCAATGGTTACATAAGATTAGGTTAGTTCAGTTCAAAGCACATTTTAGGCAAAGCAATATTCTTGAGTCATGTAGGTAAGAAGAAAACAATGACAAAAATCGGCTTGACAGACCGAATGAAACAATTTAAATAAATAAATAAAACTCAATTACTTAGCAGGTCTACTTATTAGATCTTATGAGTGTGTGTCAGCTGGGGATGAACAAACCCTCTTGAACAATGGGGTAACGGAAAAGGTGCTATTTCCTGCTGCAATATGACTCTCCATGTGCAGCAACTGTATGAACTTTAAAGGTCTTGTTTCTTTTTCTAACATGTACTTGTTTTGTATATATCCGTATGTATGTCCGTGGCGCTATCACTGTCTGGGGACTTTGCATGATTGACACTTCTTCACGCCAGTAGCTCTGCCCAGTGTCAAGAAGTGTCCGGCATAGGAAAATTACTGCTACAAAGTAGTTTTTACATTTGTTTCAGTAAATCTTTTAACTGGGCTGGGATTTCAATGAGATTCCAACACAGTCAATATGAATATTTCATAAAGATTATATCTTTATGAAGTACTTATTTTGCAGGGGCAGGGTGACCGTTATAAGTGTCACTTTTTGCATGGAAAGTCCTTTTAAAATCACATCACATGGCTCACAGTGCACAATCATCAAAATATTAACAAAGACAAACAGTCTGACAGTTTTTTGAATGACAAGTTTGAAAGTATACATTACAATATTTGCCCTTTTAGCAGGCTAGAAGAGAGCTTAAAGTGGATCTATCATTTTTTTGGACTAATATTTTCTACCTAATTGTAAATGTGACATTATAGAAAGAGTGGATGAAGACATAGTTGTTATTTGCTACATGCATAATTATGATTATTAAGGGTTCTTTCAAAGATCAATTAAAACTAAAATCATGTGAGATAAAAGTAAAGTTTTAATGATCAAATTATCAAATTTGTCAGATGACCTTTTAGTTAAAAAATGTCTTTCTGATGAAAATTCATACATACTATCAAATATGTCAGATGACCTTTTAGTTATATCATTTTTTTCTGATGAAAATTCCTACATCCTAAGCATGTTCTTCGTTGCTTCACTTCCTTTTTGTGTTTAGCTGGAGATGATGAGATTTCATTTGAACCTGAGGACATGATCACAGATATTGAGATGCTGGACGAGGGATGGTGGAATGGAACCTGCCGGGGGCACCGAGGTCTCTTTCCAGCCAACTATGTAGAGCTTATAAAGAAATAAGTTGTATTTTACCTTATGTGCAGTGCACTGCTTCCATATGCTTTTCCACCTGAATTTTTTATTTTTTATCCTTCTAAATAAAATTTTCTAAGCATCCGGCCATGCACTAATACTGCTGTTCTGGGAGCCATTTACAAATTAATTTCTTCTACTCAACAAAAACATGCTAATACAATACAGTTTACTATGTTTCATCTTTCATTATACATATTATTCCTGCTTTTCAAATTCTTCTGAGTATTAAAGTACAACTTTATATATTAATGTGTCTGTTGGTGTATACGAAATTGTTTGGGTATTTTTTTAAATCTGCCTATTGATTTTATGTTTCGGCATTTATGTCATGGTCATTTAATTTGTTGTGGCAATTTTGTCACTATATGACCAAATGATAATGGCCATTTTCCTTTTTTGATTTTTCAATGTTAATGTCCCATCTTGACCCCAGTGATAAAAATTCTCATGAATGCAATGATAAGGTGAGTGTGTCATCAGTGCCCCATTCAAAGGCAACATTGAAATTTTGAGAGTACTTTGGGGTTAAAGCATTCAAAAAACTTTAACCCATGTCAGGTAAAAAGGTGCACAGGATCTCCACAATAGCTCTTCTGAGATGATGTTGTTATGGTGTCCAGAGTGGTACTTTAAGGCAGGGATGTTGTATATCATAACATGTTTTATTTAAAGTAACATACCAAGCATTATAACAATTAGAGCTTGCTGTAGTGGTTATGGTGCCAGGAGTAACCCCCTTTTTATTTGGAACAAGAAAGTGGAGACTTCCTTGCAAACTAATATAAGTAATCAAGCTGTTTAATAATGGTTTGACCTGGGCCCATCAGGTGCCACCCCTTGCTTCTCTGACGTGAGAGGTGGAAGGTCTTGCTAGTAGCTTCTGTTAGCTCTCCTGAGCTAAGCCCTACAGTGCAGGAATAGCTCATTAGCTCTGTTTATAAGCCGGTCACTTTCAGCCAATGAGCTTAGCACTGAATTGTCAGAAATAGCTCAGTGAAGAGAGCTTTTGGTCGCAGGGAGCAGCGTGTGGAATACCTCAGGTAAGAAGTCAAATCATTAGAAAATGGTTTGACTACTTACACTGGGCAAGCACTAGGGAAATTGACATCATAGTCACTAAAGCTCGCTGTATGGTTACTGTGCTAAGGTTGTTGCTTCGAAGGTCTTATATCAAAAAGGAATGTTCCACCTGATTAACAAAAGCAGAATCGCATGTGGCTGCCAAAGCTAAATGGAATAGGATATTCCATGCAACAATAAGGTAAATGATGTCATCCCTCCATTTTATATATTTCTGTCAAACTTCAAGATTGCACTATGGTTAACACCAGGTGTGGTAAAGGAAAGAGGGGGATTATACATATTGGCTAATGCGCACTTTCTGATAGATAAAAATATTAATATAGCATATATTGAAAACAAGGAAGGCATACCTAGCATTTAAACATATCGTAAAACAGTTGTGTATAAATTGGACAAAAGTATAAATTGTAATTATGCAAATATAGACAATTTGTATATAGTATTGATTAATTCAACCTTTATTCAGAAATTAAATGTTTTTGCCGGTATACAGGGTCTGAATTGTTTTGCAATAATTCACACAGGGTCTGATATGTTAGTACATAAGCAAAATTGCAATTTTTCTCACATTTAGTAAATGTGACAAAATAGATCATTAAAAAGGGTATCTTGCTTATTAGTATTTCCATGGACCCTGAAGGCATTGCTAGCAGTACAAAAAAAAAACATGAGGGTACAATCCCAATGTGCAGTAAAGGTGTTCCCTCCAAGTTATACAACCTCATGTATCTGAAAATCCTTACATAATTAAAAGGGATCTATAAATAAAAAAGAAATTGTACACAGTGTAAAACCAAATGATTAATGAGGTATGGGGGAAGGGATGATAGAAAACTACCTTGGGATATAGCTGGTAAATCAAAATCTTCCTCATTGATATATCCTTAATATTGGAACAAGAGAAACACAATAGTGCAATATGTATATAAAAACACAAATTTAATGATAGAATGCACTTACAGACTTAAAATTTAGATGAGCATATCTCCACTAATAGTGGTATGTATGAAGGAGCAGCAACAGCACCTACACATATACAGCACCCACAGACATACACAGCACCCACAGATATACACAGCACCCACACACATACACAGCACCCACAGACATACAGCACCTACACACATACACAGCACCAACACACATACAGCACCTACAAACATACAGCACCCACAGACATACAGCACCCATAGACATACAGCACCCACAGACATACACAGCACCAACACACATACACAGCACCTACACACATACAGCACCTACACACATACAGCACCCACACACATACAGCACCCACACACATACACAGCACCCTCATGAACACACACAGCACCCTTACACAGAGCACACACACAGCACCCTCACACACAGCACACAAACAGCACCCTCACACACACACAGCACACTAACAGTACCCTCACAAACACAAACAGGACCCTAACAAACATACACTGTGGCGAAACCGACCTCGCCACTGGGCATTGGAGAAGACTGATTGCCAGCCTCCTGCCATGTGACTATGACCCCTGGGATGTATTGCCCTTTAAAGACATGATTTGGGCATGATGGATTTGTGTTGTGCTGCTGCTGGCCCTTTAAGAACCATCTGGGGACATACTGTGGAGTTACTGGGTGGCCACCATTTCATGTATCAGAGGCACATGGTGAGAACAATGGAAGAAGCACATGGTGAGAACAATGGATGGTGGCTATTTTAACTCGCAGACACTGTTTGGGCTTTTCTACACGGTGCCATCTCGCCGATATTTGGTGCACAAAGACATCTTGCAGTAGTTTTAAACTATACAACAGGGGACACATTATACAGTAATTATTTTTCATATAGCCTGTATATGTTCTGTGGAATCTGCATTAAACTGTATCTTCCGAACTACTGAACGGATCTGGGTGAATTTTTGATATGTGGTTCACCCAGATCCCCCGGGTTTTTTTGTTTTTTTTGTTTTGGGGTTCCTTGTTTTTTTTTTATAATACTGTATTTCTCTGCCTGTGATAATTATATTAACCATTGTGTTCAGTAATCATATCACAGGCAGAGGGGAGGATTTTGTGTGGCAGTGTCTGTGTGTATTTCTCAGGCCATATCTGTTCCGGCTCCGTTCCAGCATTTCCGGTATGCGGAGACAGCCTCGCCCCCTTTCTGACGCGGCTCTCTTACACTATATAGAGAGACCACGCCAGATTCAAACGGCTTGGTGATTCTCGGACCTACTTCCACATTCACATGCGGCTAAGCACTTCGTTCACATATTTACCAAACCTTTGACTATTATAAAGGATTTTGCCTTCTCTGTACCTCTGACCACGGATTGTATTGGAGTCTCCTGAAAAACCGGACTGTGTATATCATTCATCCCTTGGACTCAAGCTATACATTCCCATGGAGGACAACTCCCATCAATCTTAAGTATACTAATTACTCTCATCTCTGAAGACTTATTTACTAATGAACTGTTTCTTGCCTGCCATAATCTTAAATTTTATAACATGACAGGAGGCTTCCTATTTTGCATTAACTCTCTTTACTAAACTCCACAGCAGTAAAGAAAAACGTAAAGAGTAACAAATAAATCACTGAGCAGCATAGTATATAAGGGTCATGCTGCCTGTACACTTCCTCTTTCTTTACTGCTCCATCGCAGACAGGTCAGAATATCTGCTCCTCTGGAGCTTTATACATTTATACATTTATTGTCATTATCTATTTGTTCCATTCTATTGTTATTATCACTATCATTACTTTAATTTATTCCCTTTTATTTCTGTTCTGTACTGGGCTGTGGGATTAGGGGCTATCTGTGGGTTTCTATACTCTTATCTGCCCCTCTGTTTATTTTGGGACCTTCCCTGGGCCTCCCCTCAGTCTCCCCAGGTCCCCCCACTGCCCCCCTAACCTGGAGTGCCCTCCTGGGCTCCCTCCTTGCGGCCGGAATCGTTCGCGGCCGTTTTCGCGCCGGCCTGCTTCCGCCCGCGGCCGGCCTCAAAATTTAGTCCCCGGCTTGCGGCCTACACTCGCGGCCGCCATTTTGGATCGCGGACATCGCAAGATTCCCGCGGCCACCTTAGTTTTGCCTCGTGCATCTCATTGGGGACTCAGTGTGGCTGTGCTAACTTGCTGTTACCTCTGCATTGCTGTTTTTCACACCTTTTGTGTCTCACACTGTGACTGAAGGATTACCTGCTCAGCACTCCATCTAGCTGCTATCACTCTGCTACTCAGCCTCTGTGCCTCATCTGCTTCTATCAAGCTATATCCTGTGGCTGGGTCAGTCAGGTCAGTGCTGCTGCCTGTTTATTACTGTGACCTGCACTTAAGGGTCCCAACCCTGTGCAACCGGGGTGAGCCCCCACTATAAATACGCTGCTTACTGGGAGACTAGCTGTTGCAGTTCTCTCTAACTGGGTGAGCCCCAGTTTATAAGGTCACTACTATACCCTGCTGGGGTTATTCTGGGCTTGGTCCCACCATACTATCAAATCTGACCCTACGCCTATTATCAAGACCTGGGTGCCGTTTATTGCTGTGCCTTTCAGTGACGTATCAGCCTACCCTAACATGGAAGTTTCCCAGAACGTCCCTGTGGACTTCCAGGCTATGATTAACGCAGCTGTCGCTGCCTCTGTGGAGAAGGCACTCTCCAAGGCCCGAGCTCCGGCTCCTGACGTACCAAAAACCCGCAGACGTACACGCCACGAATCGGATTCCGACTTGTCCGACTATCAGACAAGGGATGACTCCCGCCCTAAAAAGCGCCATGACAAAGGCGAGGATTATGCACCCAAACCGCCTAAGGGTAAGGCACCTGCCAAGCTCAAATCTGCCAAACTACACACCCCGGCCCCGCGTCAGGAGTACTCTTCAGATGAAGAGCAGGGCCCTGCCCAGTCCATGTCAGTGCTGGATGAATGGCAAGCTGACGCTCGTGAGTCGGACTACGACGCATGGGGCTCGGACGAGAAATCTGTCTCCGCTTTCATGCGGGAGACCCTCCTGGGTGCTGCCCAGACTGGAGGTGTTGAGGACACTGCGGACGCAGAACCTCCTCTAGAATCAGACACCATTTTGGACCCCTCAGGTCAGGCGATGTTCGACCCCCGCAACATATGGCACCCCAGATCGGGTGACTGGTCACCTCCAGAACACCTTTCCAGGT